ACTTAACCGTTCAGTCGTATACCCTTATTTCCCAACCCCCGTGACTTCTCGAACCCTCGCTTTCTTGAACAGAACCTTTCAATATATTGAACCTAAACTAACTTCACTTTTCCAGTTAAACACGTTTTTCCCTCTCCTCAACTCCGTTTTTCTAATCTTCCGATAATTTGGACGAATTTCCTTTTCTCTATATACGAGGTTCAAAATGAACGGGATTCCATGAAATCTGATTTAACCTTAAGATTTAAAGTATTAGATCAAGGAAGGTTAGCTTCACACCACCAAAATTTACCCAACCCAGCGAACTTTACTAGCTTTGGTATGGAAATACTAGTCTGTTCTCCAGACCGTGGCGAATAAATCCGCCGCGCTTGGCGTAGACGGCCGGTGACTAGACTTGTAATAAATTGTTATAATGACTTGCCATAATAAACCTTTTGTAACCCTTGACAACCCTTTTTCTTTGGTATGCATCGAGTATTTGTCGTCTAAAACGCTAAGTTGGAAAGGTTTCCTTTTCTGCCAAATTTCTGTGGGGCTTGTAAAAATCAGACTGAATTACACTAAAAGGGATAATTTTACTGATATGTAATCTTTTTTTCCGGCACTCTTACAGATTCAAGGAAAACCCCTAGGTACTGTTAAAGTAACTCAACAAACACAAGGAGCCCAAACAACAGCAAGAGCACAGGGAAGGTCACCTGCACAGAGAAGAAAATCACAGAATAAATAAAGACTGAATACTCGATAATATATTGAAAGTTCAAGCAAAACCCAGATATCGTCATGTAAAACTGGCGGACAAGTGATTGTCCTCTGCGGTTATTTATTCAAATACAAGTTCGTTTGATTGTCCTCCATTGAACATGTTATTGGGGGCCAGTCCCATTGTCTGTTCTAATTGGTCTTAACAACCGCAGCGAAAGGGGATGTGTAACGAGGATTTGCAATTAAAGTAACTATACAGCCTATGCATGTTGCCTCAAGTGAGATCAACAATAAGACGATTCGATGCTGGCCGCAATTCTAAAATAGCTACAAATATACAAAAGAAGACAATAGGCTTAGTATTCTTCTACCACGGGTTAAGTAAAATCACTCTATCATTCGTATTACATGAACAGGGTTATTTTGAATTACTCCAGACATTTGAGCCTTTCTGTTCATACACTGTAGTGTAGAATGGTGAAATAGTCTGTAATTTGGTAATATTGAAATATTTTAGCTGTATCAGATAAATATTATGATGGCAGTTTTTATTTAGAGTACATATGGAAAAGCTCACTAAAACACTTCGTAGACTCGCACAGTTGTCTATTTTATTCACAATCTCGCTGGCAGGGTTTTTTTTATAACTGAGAAATGTGAACACGTCTAGAGTCATCTATTGATAAAGATGTGTTAGCTCTGAAAGATAATTTGCATTTGTTAAATCCTTCATAGTTGCGGTGGCCTGTATGGCGGTTCGGCGTACCTGGTGCTAAAGTGAAAAAGGACAGTGTATGACTTGAAGATATCTATACTTTCCATGCCAGCTGCAAAAATTTTAAGTAAAGTGAACTGTGTACAGATGATTTTCGACTTAACAAACAGCGTTTTAGAGTGGGCAAATGCATCTTCTTGGCTAGACTTAATGAGATACATTTTCCAGTTTACAACTCTGTCGACTGCAACTCTGTAACTAACACCCGCGGTATTTTTAATTTCCACTCGTATTATGTCGAAAAACTGCGAACATTCCGCAGCTCAGAACTTTCTATGAAGTATTCTATATTTACGACGTAGCTTTTTAGTGAGTGCATCTCAGTGTTTTCCCTTTCGGTTTCGGCTTGCTTGTCTTCGACAGTTTTTTACGTACTATTTTAGAATATATATTTTATTGGCCTTCCAGTCCGAAGCTAAAATAAGGCCATCCGGTGTTGTAGTTATTGTTGTGAGACCTTTAAACTTATGATCAGTTTTTCCAGTAAAACAACCATCCAATGTAAACTGATAAACATGACCATTGTTTCTGTCACATACAAGAAGATTATGGTGATCGACACATTTCTGGACACACAGTCCACATGGACCCAGCAACTGTTCATCATCCTGACGTGGTTTTCTTATCTTATACAAAAAATTTCCAGTATTATCGTAAAATTTCACGGAATTATTATCATAGTCAGAAACAATGAACTTTTTCTCATGGTAAATACATTCACAGGGGTGGTTAAGTTTTTCTGGCCCACTGTCTCCAAATTTAAACAAAGGTTCACCATCCCGTGATAAAACTTGGACTCTATGGTTACGGCAGTCAGCCACGATAACGCGTCCTTCATCATCCACACAAACACTGAGTGGACTCTGAAACTCCCCGTCTCTTATCCCTTTCTTTCCAAAGCCTTTCACAAAGTTTCCAGTTTGAACATTAAATTGTTGAATGCGATGATTTAATTCATCCGCCACAAGAATGTTATCATCATTAAGGTAGGTAACGTCCTCTGGACGGTTTAGCTGTCCGTCCTTGTTTCCATGGCAACCTACTTTTCTTATACAGTTTCCTTCCATGTCAATTATTAGAACACAGTGTTTTCTGCTGTCAACAACAGCAACTTGCCCTTTGCTGTTTACAGCCAACCCCCTTGGTTGTTCAAAAGTTTCTTTTTTTAATTCCAATTCTCCCAAAACCTGAACGAGCCGTTGCTTCACCTGGACAGTCTTGGTTAAAAGAACCTTCCCATTTATTTTGACTGTGATGTTTAAAGTACCAGGAACTTTAGGTACAAACTTCAGCAGTGTAGCATCTTCATTCTCGTGGATTTTCAAACTTCCTACCTTCTCAGCGGGTTCCACGAGCACCTCACATTGGAATTTGCATTTAACTCTGCCTTGCGCTTGTTCTTTAGGGATTCTGGGGTTAACTTCGAACTCTGATTCTACACCAGCTTGGATATCTTGATTCAGTCCCTTGATGATCGGTTCACTTGTAGCTACAAAACCAACGCTAAATTTTTCTAGTTCCAAATTCGGGAAGAACTTCACAAAGGAACTGACCGGAAGTTCTGGGATGGGAGCGTTTTCAAGGTCATTGTATCGCTGCTGTAGTTTTGCTTTGCTTTGAATTATGTCCGAACTGGAGCTTTTTTGCACGAGTTGTTCAGCAAACTCGACTGCTTGGTTGATCTGCTTTAGCAAGGACTGTACTTGTGTCTTTGTCGAGTTTAACAATTCCGATCGAGACGCGCGCGTGTTCTCGAGATGGGTGATGATCTCGCTTTCACTTTCACGAATCTTGGCAATGATTTGTTCCACTGTCTGGGAAACTTCATGTTTAACATTAGCAGCATTTGTATGCAGCTCAAGCTCTGTTTGTTCAAGCTTGAAAATCGCATCGCTGTAAAGTTTGGTCTTTTCTTTTAACTTTTCGGCTCTCTCTAGGATGTTGACTTTCTCGCCATCCGCCACTTTATCCAGTAGTTCCACACCATGGCCCTCGTGTGACTTGTGATCCGTAGCGATGCAAATTTGGCAAACACACAGTTTACATTTGAGGCAGAAAAATCTTACAATCTCTCGCTCGTGATACTGCTGCGAGCAAAATGACTGCCTCTTCATAAGGGCTTCGTAGTCTTGAGGTTGGAACTGTTTGACTGGAGTCACCTTGTGTCCTTCTGTGAGGTTTTTAAGTAGTTGATGTAAGTTTACACAGTCACTGCACATGAATTTAGCGCATTCGAAGCAGTAACTTATCTCTCCGCTCTTTTTCTTGCAAATGCCACAACTGATTTCGTTGCCATCGCCGCTCTGTCGAACAGCGAGAAGACTGAGCAACCTGTTATGATGAAAACTGGACGATAGTTTGTCGAAACAGTTTGCTTCGGGAAGATCAATTTCAGCTTGACACTCGGGGCAACGAAACTTTCCATTCTTTTGGCTGATCAGTGCGTGTTTCTTCAAACACTCACAGCAGAATGTATGCAGGCAGGTTATTGTCTTGGGATCGGTAAAACTATCCAGACAGATTGCACAAGTAACCTGTTCTTTGAGGTTTATCAACAGAGATTCCATTGTGAGAGATTGCTCAACAGCGGCACGTCCTTTCTTGTTCTTTGAGATTCCGGGAAACTTGAACCATTTATAGCGTCACAAAACATTTTGCTTAATACCCACAGGCATCCAACTAGATTTGGAATAATCTACCCTCTGACCTTAGATGCGGAAGTTAAGGAGGGTTTTTTCCCGCATTGTTTAGCTGGGAATATTGACATTAAGACAAAAGACAAATATAAAATCTTGCTATAGAAGTGCGCGTTTTTAATGGATTTTTTTTTTGGTATATTACTTTGAGGGTGGAGAAACTTTGAGCGTTTCAGTAAAGAAGAATTAAACGCCAACCTGTGTGACAAAAATCTGAGGTTGGCTGTCACTTATCATTTCAAACGCGAGGCAGTGAAGTAGAACCTCTGTGCATTTTCCTAATAACGTTTGTTAGTAATGTTTCTCATTCTTTGATTGTGTTTGTGTGTTTGTTTGTTTCTTTTGCATGTAGTAACATGTAGTCAGCGGCTATTCCACTCTAAGCTCAGTTTTGGCAGTAAACTTGGATCGCCCAGCAGCGAAGACGAGAAATCGAGCGAGAGGAATGGGGTGGAGTCGTGCAAACACAAACCTAGTTTAGTACTTCAATGTTTCTAGCATAACTCTTAAACAATCTGTTTTTCAGCCCTGAAGAGGAAGTTTATAAAGTAAGGTTTTATTTTCAGAATCAAATTTAGGAGAACGAAAGACGGATTTAGAGATTTGGGAAGGGTCACGCGTTGTACGTCTTATTCGAGAATGAGAGAGGAGAGGGCAAAAAACATAGTTTCGTTTCAAAAACAAACAAACAAATCAAACATCCCCATCATAAATTAAAATGTAGCTTCCCTAACCAGGTAACTCCTTTAAAAACCAGCGAAACTTTTTGAGGAGGGATCTTGGAATTACACTGATAAGAGTAGGCAATTTTGAATTAAAAAAATAGTAAAACTGCAGAATAGTTAGTACGAAATGTTTCACGTTTTTCCTCATTCAGTTTAATATTTTCTTTAAAATACATTCTCCACAGGTATAATTATGTATCAATGTCATCACAAGCTGTCTGGATTAGATCTCTGACTTCTTTGCCTCTTCTCACCGACTTTTTAAAACATTCTCGTAACTGGTCATCTGTCAAAGGAGATCCACCTTTAAGAAGAAAACACGAGAGCAGTAACTAAGCAACAAGAAAATTTCACGACCTTGGCTTCCTCCTGCAGAGTTTATCAAATACTGTTCACACCGCCTTCGCACAAAAAAAGGTTGACACTGCTTGAATTATACGGTAAATGAACTGAAATACGAGACTATTTCAGGAATGCTATCGACTTTTTTTTTTTTGGAAGTTTCACAGGCAACTTGGTCAAAATTTGTTTCCCAAAACAGTCCGAATCCTGATATTACGTTCAGTCTGGGAAACTGCCCACCTACCCCTCCCCTAAGCCAACATTTTGCCCTAAGTCAGAAGTAAGTAATGTTGGCTTAACGGAGGGGTAGCTGGGTAGTTTCCCAGAACCATACAATGATCCAACAGTCCCTCATAGCAAATTATCGAACCCACCGTCTGACTCTATGCAAAAATGAATGACTACTCTTTAGTAAGTGGGATGATGGATGCTTTAACTAAGCCCCAACTTATGTTTGTTTGTGTGTGCAGGGTACCTCAACCGTACAAACTCAACAAGCACAGATAGTGTGTCAAGCAAGATCACCATCTACAACTTGCACGGTAAATAACTTAGGTATGACTTGCGAAATTAGGACGTCGTAAGCAAAACGACTAGGGGAACAAATAGGGTTGACTATTAAGCTCACTTTGACTATTATAATAGTATCATGATAGCTTAAATACTATCCCAATAGTATTGCTATATTAGGACTACTATTATTTCGATACTATCGCGATACTGACGTCTGCGACTAGAATCAGAAACTATTAATCATGGAGAAATTCTACTATTCCCAGTGCTCGCTCGGTTACACTGGCCTTAATTCTGGCTAATTACTAGCGAGAGCTTTATTTTAGGTATGAGTTTTGGTTTCTTACCTGGAAGTGGCCTTCTGTGTATGATTAAACACTAGATAGGGCGGGGAGGATTGGATTCATGCGCCGTCGAAGCCCCTCGTGGGGGAGCGGGCAGGAGTTGATCCAACCCCCCTTTTTTAGTGACTCTTGTTTGCTCCTCCCCCCATTTTTTCTGTTATCTTGGTCTAGTTCTGTTGTCTTCTCGCCTGCGGACTCACATGTCTCGTAACTCATCTCTCGAGTCCCTAGGCCTTTGTTAAGCGAGCGTCCACTGAAAATGTATTCGTTACTAGTCCACAGTTGAGGAAACGATGTGCCTCTTTTAGCGAGAAAAGAGGGCTGGAAGATGTTGATTGAAAACTATCGCACGATGCATCGTTAGTTCATTGTTTGTTGCACCGTAGAATTTTTCCACAGTCTCAAATAAAGTAATGTAAGAATGCATTGAACTTGCCTGACGGATGCTGTCCTTTTTAACAGATTCCAGGTAACTTGGTGCCAATAACCCACATACAATCGGCAGGTGGCGCTACGATAAGTGCACAGATCCAAACAAAAACCTCTCCTCAAGGTACCCCCACTGGGCAACCAACGCCAATACTGCCAAACACCCCACTCTCCCCTCCCTCAGGGATGACTACTGTGACACTAAACACGAGGCCTATATTACCACAGCAACAACAAAAGCAAAGGAAAATCAGCGCAGGTAAGCCATGAGACCTCCAATTAGTTAGTTGTGTCTTCACACCATGCTCCTTCGCAAACGTTTCTCGCTACCTAGGAGACTAGTGAATCGTAAGAGGAGGTTGTTGTCTTGAATTCCAGCTTCCTTCAGCTACTTGGAGAAAAGACGGGTCGTGTTGAAAGGAACAGGTGGGGGGAGGGGAGGGGCACGGAATTAAAAGAATATTTTCTCCCATTTTACCAACTGTGTCAGGAAGGTGAATTTGCTGGCTTTCAAAAGCTGAAGTTTTTTTTTGTTTGTTAGCAACCGGATCTTCACCAACTGCCATAGCTGCTCTAACATCAACTGTAAATCGCACTACAACAAACCTGCAGCCTCTGGTACCAATCGGAACACAGCTCCAACAGCCTCAGTTCCAAGTTCGAATGGTTCAGTTCCCACAACAAAGTGGCCCCGCCCAGATTCAACAGACCATTGTACAATCACCAAGAGGTGCTACTACACCGGTTCAGATTCACACTCAACAGGCTCAAGTCGTTCAAGGCCTACAACAGGTAAGTCAACCGACAAGGGGACTGCTAATGTCGAACGGTCGATACCTTCATTTTTCGGTGGGATGAATCAAATAAGAGAACTCATCTTGTGAAGTACTTTCAGACTTAACCGCTCAGTCGTATACCCTTATTTCCCAACCCCCGTGACTTCTCGAACCCTCGCTTTCTTGAACAGAACCTTTCAATATATTGAACCTAAACTAACTTCACTTTTCCAGTTAAACACGTTTTTCCCTCTCCTCAACTCCGTTTAATTTGGATAATTTGGACGAATTTCCTTTTCTCTATATACGAGGTTCAAAATGAACGGGATTCCATGAAATCTGCTTTAACCTTCAGACTTAAAGTATTAGATCAAGGAAGGTTAGCTTCACATCACCAAAACCTACCCAACCTAGCGAACTTTACTAGCTTTGGTATGGAAATACTAGTCTGTTCTCCAGACCGTAGCGAATAATTCCGCCGCGCTCGGCTATCTCTAAAGAGAAAGTGGACGGCCGGTGACTAGACTTGTAATAAATTGTTATAATGACTTTCCATAATAAACCTTTTGTAACCTTTGACAACCCTTCTGTTGGTATGCATCGAGTATTTGTCGTCTAAAATACTAAGTTTGATATTTCTCCTTTTCCGCCAATTTCCCGCAGGGGTTTGTAAAAATCAGACTGAATTACCTTAAAAGAGATAATTTTACTGATATGTACTCTTTTTTCCGGCACTCTTACAGATTCAAGGCAAACCCTTAGGTACTGTTAAAGTAACTCAACAAACACAAGGAGCCCAAACAACAGCAAGAGCACAGGGAAGGTCACCTGCACAGAGAAGAAAATCGCAGAATAAATAAAGACTGAATACTCAATAATATTTTGAAAGTTCAAGTAAAACCCAGATATCTTCATGTAAAGCTGGCGGACAAGTGATTGTTCTCTGCGGTTATTTATTCAAATACAAGTTCGTTTGATTGTCCTCCACTGCACCTGTTATTGGGGGCCAGTCCTATTGTCTTTTCTAATTGGTCTTAACTACCGCAGCGAAAGGGGATGTGTAACGAGGATTTGCAATTGAAGTAACTATACAGCCTATGCATGTTGCCTCAAGTGAGATCAACAATAAGACGATTCGATGCTGGCCGCAATTCTAAAATAGCTACAAATATACAAAAGAAGACAATAGGCTTAGTATTCTTCTACCACGGGTTAAGTAAAATCACTCTATCATTCGTATTACATGAACAGGGTTATTTTGAATTACTCCAGACATTTGAGCCTTTCTGTTCATACACTGTAGTGTAGAATGGTAAAATAGCCTGTAAGTTGGTACTAATTGAAATATTTTAGCTGTATCAGATAAATATTATGATGGCAGTTTTTATTTAGAGTACATATGGAAAAGCTCACTAAAACACTTCGTAGGCTCACACAGTTGTTTATTTTATTCAAAGTCTCGCTGGCAGGATTTTTTTTTATAACTGAGAGATGTGTACAAGTCTAGAGTCATCTATTGATAAAGATGTGTCAGCTCTGAAAGATAATTTGCATTTGTTAAATCCTTCATAGTTGCGGTGGCCTGTATGGTGGTTCCGTGTACGTGTTGCATGCTAAAGTGGAAAAGTACCGTGTATAACTTGAAGATATCTATACTTTCCATGTCAGTTGCAAAAATTTAAGTGAAGTGAACAGTGTACAGATGATTTTCGACTTAACAAACAGCGTTTTAGAGTGGACAAATGCATCTTCTTGGCTAGACTTAATGAGATGCATTTTCTACTTTACAACTCTGTCCACTGCAACTCTGTAACTAACGCCCGCGGTATTTTTAATTTCCACTCGTATTATCATGTCGAAAAACTGCGAACATTCCGCAGCTCAGAACTTTCTACGAAGTATTCTATATTTACGACGTAGCTTTTTAGTGAGTTCATCTCAGTGTTTTCCCTTTCGGTTTCGGCTGGCTTCTCTTCGACAGTTTTTTACGTACTAATTTAGAATATATATTTTATTGGCCTTCCAGTCCGAAACTAAAATTAGACCATCCGGTGTTGTAGTTATTCTTGAGGGACCCGTTTTAAACTTATCAGTAGTTTTTCCAGTGAAACAACCATCCAATGTAAACTGATTAACACTGTCGAAATTGCAAACAAGAAGATTATGGTGTTTGCGACATTTCTGTAAACACAGTCCTTTAGGGGATTTCAACTGCCCATCACCCTCGCCTTCTTTTCCTATCTTGTACCACAGCTTGCCAGTATTATCAAACACTTTCAAGCAATTATTAGCCCGGTCAGAAACAATGAACTTGTTCTCATGGTAAATACACGACCTGGGTTGGCTTAGTTTTTCTGGTCCACTGTCTCCAAATTTAAACAAAGGTTCACCATCCCGTGATAAAACTTGGACTCTGGTGTTATGGTAGTCAGCCACGATAACACGACCTTCATCATCCACACAAACACTGACAGGATTGTGAAACTCACCACCCCTTTTCCCTTTCTTTCCAAAGCTTTTCACAAAGTTTCCAGTTTGAACATTAAATTGTTGAATGCGATGATTTACTTCATCCGCCACAAGAATGTTATCATCATTAAGGTAAAAAACGTCCTCTGGACCGCTTAGCTCTCCGTCCTTCTTTCCACGACAACCTACTTTTCTTAGACAGTTTCCTTCCGTGTCAATTATGAAAACACAGTTTCTTTCGCTGTCAACAACAGCAATTTGTCCTTTGCTGTTGACAGCCAACCCTCTCAGATTTTCAGAAGTTTCTTTTTTTAATTCCAACTCTCCCACAACCTGAATGAGCCGTTGTTTCACCTGGACAGTGTTGGTTGAAAGAACTTTCCCATTTATTTTGACTGTGATGTTAAAAGTACCAGGAACTTTAGGTACAAAGTTCACTAGTGTAGCATCTTCATTCTCGTACGTTCTCAAACTTCCTACCTTCTCAGCGGGTTCCACGAGCACCTCACATTGGAATTTGCATTTAACTCCTTGCGCTTGTTCTTTAGGGATTCTGGGGTTAACATCGAACTCTGATTCTACACCAGCTTGGATATCTTGATTCAGTCCCTTGATGATCGGTTCACGTGTTGCTGCAAAACCAACGCTTAATTTTTCTAGTTCCAAATTCGGAAAATACTTCACAAAGGAATTGGCAGGAAGTTCCGGGATGGGAGCGTTTTCAAGTTCGTTGTAACGCTGCTGTAGTTTTAGTTTGCTTTGCATTATGTCCGAACTGGAGCTTTTTTGCACAAGTTGTTCAGCAAACTCGACTGCTTGGTTGATCTGCTTTAGCAAGGACTGTACTTGTGTCTTTGCCGAGTTTAACATTTCCAATCGAGTCTCGCACGTGTTCTCGAGATGGGTGATAATCTCGCGTTCACTTTTACGAATCTTGGCAATGATTTGTTCCACTGTCTGGGAAACTTCATGTTTGGCATTAGCAGCATTTGTATGCAGCTCAAGCTCTGTTTGTTCAAGCTTGAAAATCGCATCGCTGTAAAGTTTGGTCATTTCTTTTAACTTTTCGGCTCTCTCTCGGATGTTGACTTTCTCGCCGTCCGCCACTTTATCCAGTAGTTCCACGTCATGACCCTCGTGTGACTTGTGATCCGTAGCGATGCAAATTTGGCAAACACACAGTTTGCATTTGAGGCAGAAAAATCTTACAATCTCTCGCTCGTGATACTGCTGCGAGCAAAATGACTGCCTCTTCATCAGGGCTTCGTAGTCTTGAGGTTGGAACTGTTTGACTGGCGTCACCTTGTGTCCTTCTGTGAGGTTTATAAACAGTTGATGCGCGTTTACACAGTCACTGCACATGAATTTAGCGCATTCGAAGCAGTAACTTATCTCTGCGCTCTTTTTCTTGCAAATGCCACAACTGATTTCGTTCCCATCGCCACTCTGTCGAACAGCGAGAAGACTGAGCAACCTTTTATGATGAAAACTGGACGATAGTTTGTCGAAACAGTTTGCTTCGGGAAGATCGACTTCAGCTTGACACTCGGGGCAGCGAAACTTTCCATCCCTTTGGCTGATCAGTGCGTGTTTCTTCAAACAGTCACAGCAGAATGTATGCAGGCAGGTTATTGTCTTGGGATCGGTAAAACTATCCAGACAGATTGCACAAGTAACTTGTTCTTTGAGGTTTATCAACAGAGATTCCATTGTGCGAGATTGCTCAACAGCGGCACGCCCTTTCTTGTTCTTTGGGATTCCGGGAAACTTGAACCATTTATAGCGTCACGAAGCATTCTGCTTAATACCCACAGGTATCCAACCAGATTTGGAAAGATCTACCTTCTGACCTTAGATGCGTAAGTTAAAAAGGGTTTTTTTCCGCATTGTTTAGCGCCCGTTTTTAATGGATTTGTTTTTTGTATATTACTTCGAGGGTGGACAAACTTTCAGGGTTTCAGTAAAGAAGAATTAAACGCCAACCTGTGACAAAAATCTGAGGTTCAATCTAAATGGCTGTCACTTATCATTTCAAACACGAGGCAGTGAAGTAGAACCTTTGTGCATCTTCCTAATAACGTTTTTCAGTAATCTTTCTGATTCTTTCATTGTGTTTGTGTGTTTATTTGTTTTTTTTTTTGCAAGTAGTAACATGTAGTCAGCGGCTATTCCACTCTAAGCTCAGTTTTGGCAGTAAACTTGCATCGCCCAGAAGTGAAGACGAGAAATCAAGCGAGAGGAATGGGGTGGAGTCGTGCAAACACAAACATAGTTTAGACCTCAATGTTTCTAGCATAACTCTTAAAAAATCTGTTTTTCAACGCTGGAGAGAAAGTTTATAAAGTAAGGTTTTATTTCAGAATCAAATTTAGGAGAACGAAAGACGGATGTTAGAGATTTGGGGAGGGTCGCGCGTTGAACGTCTTATTCGGGAATGAGAGAGAGGAGGGCAAAGAATCATAGTTTTGTTTCAAAAACAAACAAACAAATCAAACATTCCTATCATAAATACAAATGTAGCGTCCCTAACCAGATAACTCTTTTTAACATCGGCGAAGCCTTTTGAGGACGGATCTTGGAAGTACACATAGTACACAGTATACATAGTAAAATTACAGAATAGTTAACACCAAATGTTTCACGTTTTTTCTCATTCAGTTTAATAATTATTTTGTTTAAAATACATTAGGTATAATTATCTATCAATGTCATCACAAGCTGTCTGGATTAGATCTCGGACTTCTTTGCCTCTTCTCCCCGACTTTTTAAAACATTCCTGTAACTTGTCATCTGTCAAAGGAGATCCACCTTTAAGAGGGAAAAAAAGGACGAGAGCAGTAACTAGGCAACAAGAAAATTTCATGACCTCAGCTTCCTCCGGCAGAGTTTATCCAATACTGTTCACACCGTCTTCGCACAAAAAAAGGTTGACACATAAATCAGTTATTCAGCAAAAGGATTCAGGAGAACCTTGATTATGGGATAACATGTTTTGCGCGAAGAAAATGGCATTAATTTACGAACAGGGTTGCTATTTCTAACGGGCCACTGACAACATAAAATAATAGGGCACAACTGTAGATCACTGCCACACTCGCGAACAAGACTTCAACAATAACACTTCCAAGTCTCAAGAACTCCGGACTTCAAGCGCTGGGAAAGCGGAGTCTCGGATGTATACAAAATAAAGAAAAATTATCCCTCTCCATAATGAGCATATCGTAAGCGGATTAAAAAGCAAACTTTTCGAGGACTAGCCCTTTGCAGAAGTGAATTCGCTATGATAACTTCCATGATCTTTGGAATCTCCTTACGGTGGTCAGGAAATTGACCTTATCTCACAAACTCAACTGATAAAATTTTAACTTCCACGTCGACTCAACACCATAGTTTCTAAAAGTCAAAACTTACACCGTCTTAGAAAACAGATGTATTGCAAGTTGCGGTTGTATTGGAATTATCTCGGTGTAACAGCCTCTAAGTTTATCTTTGATTTTATAGCTACTTGCTAGGTTCTATTGTGTTCATGACTTTCTTGTGTTCTTACACTAAGATGATTAGTTCTTTTCTTCATAATTTTATTCTATTTTAAAGCCTAAAATTACCTGGCTTATGAACAGCTGCAATTTTATCATCATCTGTCACAACTATAGTGACGATTCCGGAGACTAGATTTTCTTCTTCATCAGTTGGATCAGCAAATAATACAGAGCTACAAATAAATAAGATTCATTTATGTTAGCTTTTTTTACAGTGGCTAATCGGAATCTCCGAGCACCGTTATGAAATTAAAGAGACCATAGAGCATGCGCAGAGTGGAGAAGAGGAAACAGAGCTACGTAGCGTTAGGTTGCAGAACGGGATCAAAGAAGGCGTAGGTTCGATTTCCTAGAGCCGAACTAATATTGAGGGTCTTAAAATAACTGAAAACGCGAGTGAAGGTACTGCGGCCATTAATACCCCAGCAAACAGCTCGACCTCCGCATGGCTCAAAAGACAAAGAAATCGCGGTCCCATCTCCAGTAGGAGACGTCAAAACAGGGAAATCTGCTATAGTACTTTTATGGTAACTTTGATACATTGTCACTTGAATAAGGAAGTCTTTTTTCGATAAGCGATTGGCGATCTAGAGAAAACTACATTGTTGGTGGCGTAAGCTGTGAGATTCCAAAAGTGAATGTTAAAAACTGACTCGAATCGCAAGACTCGGTTTTACGCTATCTGATTGGTTTATTGGTAATTCAAACTTTCTTAGGAGATATGGGTGCTCCTTTAAAGCTTTATTTAAGCTGGCAAATAAATAAATGGGTGCTCCTTTAAAGAATAAGCTTTTAGATGTTAGGCAGGTGTACTTAGAAGGTATGGCTTATTTGAAGATAGTCGGTCACCATTAAAGAACAATATCAGCCTAGCCACATGTACATATGGAATGACTCACTCATCGAATATCCCGAAAGTAGATGCAACTGGATGCTGTCTTAGGTTCAGTGAAACTTCTTTTTTCTCTGATGGTTCTGGAGTTTGCGTTTCTTCATCTATCTTTACGGAATGAAGTCGTGCTTGAAAACAGGAGAAAGAAGATTTGTAAGAAACAGGCCAATTAGCATGATGAGAAGAAGAATTGGCTGCATTCCGTCCAACATTTTGCAACGTGTTAAAACAATGAAAGTCAATCCAAAAGGGCTGAGTTTGTTTCCTGTATTCACTCAAAACTTCAACAAGGTTAACAGATGCTGAACCATATTTTTTTTGCCGTATATAACGATATAATATTTAAAAATATATTAATAATAATAAAGACAAAACAAAAGAAATATTAATTGTTTAATGAGTGTCTTTATATCTTATAACGACACGACTAAACTTTACGTCCAATTTTTTAGACCAAAATAACCCCAATCTAAATGTTAGTGTAAGAATGAGTTGATCTATATATCAGAGGTTTTGAAGCTGTTCAAAAAACCCGCAGTCGTGTATTAAAAACTCGAGACAAAGCTAACAGTTTTTAAACCTGATAAACTATACACTCCCGCTCGTTTTAGAAACAGCACATATCAATACACAACGACTGTTAATTATTGCTACTCACTGTTTTGAAGAGCGGCAACTGCTGCTATTAGACATGCATCTGTGATGTTACCATCATAACTTAAGCACATTATGTCCACATACAGGACCCAACATAACTAAAAATAGAAGCAAACAAATATTTATCAACATCTCAGGAATAAAGACTCGTTTGATGTTGAAAATGCTCATGTACAGTTAAGCCGTGGACTTCGTATATAATTTATTATGAACCTGCATGTATGATGTACATGAGTGTTCACATTCAACCAAATTTAAAGAACACAATCCTGTGTGTAAATATAGATAATCTGCACCATAAAATGTAAAAGTTTGCTTCAGTTACAATGTATTTTCCTTAACCTCAATAATACCAAAATATACAAAGACCTTACCTTGCCTTCTACAATACACAAATCCTCAAGACTGATTGGCTCACAGCTGGTGATTCAAAGGAAACACATGCAAAGCAAATTGATTAGCAGAGAACTGTACACAGCAGCTATGCAAGAGATAATTCATAGTACACATGTCTGTCAACACTCTGCAGTGTAGCAATTAGAAAGACTGCAAAAATCTTCCAAAACCTTTGTTGCAGGCTCTTATAGCAGCTGGTTATCAAGACTACCTCACCAAATTCTAGGAAGAAAGTTTGAAATGAATTTATAATACACTGGCAAATTTGCCTTTGATCTGCCTGTAACTGCATTTAAAATCAATTGCCTATTAGCAAGGCAAATAAAGACACAATATGTTTGGACCAAATATGTTAGATCATAGAGTATGTGCCCCAATAATAATACCAAATTATCTATGTTGTAGTTAATTTTTCATTTCAGGTAATTTTTATTTTTTCCTTTGTTTGAACATCATTAGCATACATTACCATACCCAAAAACAAAAGGAAAACAAAAATTCCCTGAGATAAAAAATTAACTACAACATCTACATGAGACAGATACTACATTTCTTACTTTGAAATAATATCTGCAACAAACTGGCTGAGAACTTGTGCCTGTTCACTAGGAGGTCCAGGACGAAATCGTGATGAACAGAGAGGAGGCAGATCTACGTTGGGAACTGATTGAAAAAAAATGCATCAGTATACATACTAGTTACCGGGGGGATAAGGGGACACAACAAAGTGTTATATGGGGAGGCTGTGCTCTGAGGTCCAGCCCCTTATCCTTTATATACAGTTTTTGACAGTAAAGTTACCTCTTTTGCAGTATACCTTCTATTGACAAATGGGGCTCCTAATCACATACCTAGTTTAGAAAAATGTAACCCCTTTAACTGCTCTTAAATTACAAACCAAAATTTTTTACAGCCATAAAATGCTTCTGTTTTTTTACAAGCCAATTTTGGGCCTCTTTATTGACCAAAATGACAGATTCCTAACCTTTCATATACATGTACTTAAAAAAGTGCAATCCCTACCTTTTCATATCCTAAGCCTGAAAAAATCACCCCTCTTGGATGGCCATAGGAAGCACCACCCCCCCCCTTCCTGGGCAAATTAAATAGGTGTATAATTTATATACTAAGCAGAAACTAAAAATCAACTCACCAGGGACAGAACCAAGCAAAAAAAAAATAAATGTGTGTGGGAGCGGGGGAGGGGTGGAAAGAAGTGGGGACAGCAAGGGAAGGGTTCCAGTTACTAACTAGTAATAACCAAAGGTTAAGAAGTGCGGGCAACAATGCTGTGCTTTGCATACGTTTCACTTGATAGATGGTCAAAACACGTGTGATCAGATTATGAGGGGCAGAAGTTTGAAACACTCCTGATCAAAGTGGGTTTTGTGCATTCCATTCTTTCTTAGTGGAAGTCCAAACGAATGCTGACTACATACATGCAATGCATGCGTAATAACAACCTGGACCAAGATTGCAGGCTCCTCTTGTCCTCCGCAATAATAACTAACAATAAAAAAATTCTACTTTACAGTTTGCACACCTTTTCAATGTCCTGTGTGATCAATTTTACCAAATTCAAAAATAATGATTAATACAGTAACTATATTCAATTCAATTATAATAAATTAGATACCATTCATTTTAAATTAATTAGTTGACTATCATAATTTATTACCTTAACTTTAACTGACCTATAAATCCAAGTTTAGGTTTCTCCTGACTTGGCACAGCAAATTCCTGGCAATTACATCAAAATGGTATAATTAACCAAGTTTCATTGTTTTAAGAGATTTAAGTACAATGAGGAGTACAACATTTTGATAGGACTGCAAATCTGTACCACCACAATTTTGACAATCACGCAGAGTCAGACCACATTTTATATTGTGGTTGAACATTGCTGTCTTCTTCTGCATGGCCAATACCATGCATGTCTATTCAGAAGTGACTGTAACTTCCTCAATACATGTACATGCACCGCATAGGCGTCGCAATATTGATGAATGTCCCAACAAAAGACAGATTTGTGAGTTCTGCACATGACTGTGAAACTCACTTCAGCACCATGTCAGCAGATCAGACCTGATTCCTACCCGAACAAAACTGATTAACCTTAGTACACAAGTTTTATAAATCACTATGTTGATGACTAACTGCCTTTACTCCACAAACAACTGTTGTATTTCCAAGCTTCACCAAAGCTGATCCCTCTGCTGTCGATATTGAACCTGTGAAAAACACATATTATAAGAAAAGGATGAGATTTATACGAAAAAAGCACAAGCTTTACAATAAATAAAAGGTGAAAAGAAAGATAGTTTGTCCCATAGATTACATAAATCCAAGGAACTTTCCATGTTAAGGAATCTGGACAAACAAGAGGCCCTGGTCTGAAGATAAGCGCATAATTGAGGGGTGGAGAGAAAGGGGCAACCTTATAGTATAGGAAACTGCCAGAGGCTGGTAATCATGGCCGTCCTTACATGCAGTAACAACTCCTTTCGTATGCTCTCTCACTGAATATACGTTTTTTTTTAAGATACGTCCCAGATGGAAATGCCTCATGTGAGTCAATGCTATATGAAGCACCCCCAGCTCTAGGGTTAGATACAGTATACCGACAAATTTTGCCAAAGTTGGAGCACTGAACATAATGCCAGCAGGTAATAAATTTCATTGTTGTTATCGTTAGAACTGGTGTATTGATTATTCTTTTGGTGTATTGTTCTCATGCAATTATCGCAACTTTTTACTTATTTAATTTTACTCACTAGAAAGGAATGTTCCTCAAAACCTCACGAAACTCCTTGGTTGCTCTTGGATAGTTGATCTATCAAAGCCTACCTGCCATTACTATACTCTCTATCAGACGCACACCAGTCTGAGAAGGACAAGGAGCGCTTTTGTCGAGAAAAACACTTCAAAACGGAGATGCAGGTGCTGACTCTGACAGTAAATTTCGATTTGGGGCAGTAAACGTTCGTATCATAAATAAACAAACACCTGACTTCTAGGTGGTGTTCTATTGGAATCAACCGTTTCAAATGGTTTTTTCCCAATAGAACACGAAAAAACCCAACCAACCCAACCCAAAACGCTTGATCCCAGTGAAGCACCCTAGTTTGCAGGTTTGCTCATCTCAACGACCTGAAACAGACGCGTGTTAATTGAGAATAGGTTCAGCGTTATTTTCTCCGAATTAGTGGTGTCACGTTGCCTCGACTCTCTGTTAGCCGGACACCTCTGTAACACGGACAGTAGGGGCCGGTCTAAAGGTAAGCCTTTATATATAAAGAAAACCGTTTACATAAAAACCCATAAAACGGCTTAAATCGGCCCGTGGACCACACAGGAGAGACGTAACACACATTTTATGTAAGGTAAGCTGTTTTTTATTGAAATCCTTTCATTTTCGTGGGTTATAGAAACGATAGGTTTTTTCCCATACAAATACTTATATTTCGAATCTTACGCAACAATGCCGATGTTCGCCGATGCTCATCGTGCTTGGGCTACCTATGGTTACCTCAACTGAGATCAGCAATAAGACGATTCAAGGCAGTTCTAAAAGTTGGAATCCGTTTCTTCCTTGGACATCTATAAACCCAATGCGAATTATATTAAAATATCATTCGCATTGCATTAACAGGGTTATTGTGAATTAAACTGGATATTATTTGAGCCTTTCTGGCTGTTTATACACTAATAAATGGTAAAAATAGTTCGTAAGTTGGCAATATTAAAACATGTTAGCTCTGTCAGATATATTAAAAGTTTTATTTAGAATTTAGAACTCGCGAACAATATACAGTTGAACCTCCCGTAAGCGGACACCCTCGGGACCAAGGTTATACGTATCCACTTACAAGAGGCATCCGTTAGTGGAGGTTAGATTGTACCACAGAAAAATAAATTTTCTGCTCGCAGCGTAGTTCATTTAAAACACGTCTTAAAATCATGCAGTTGTTTATTTCATTCGCAATGATCTCGCTGGCAAGGTCTTTTTTGCTCTGGCTATAAGCGGGAGATGTGTAAACGGCTAGAGTCATCTCAGTATAAAAGGTGTGAGCTCTGATCGTTGTCGTTCCCCGTAATACGTGGTGTTGTACGGAAATAGGGACGTTGAGGTCCAACGACGCGGACGGCAACGAGAACGTCAAAAAACAATAGGTTTTATAAGCAAAATAACGTCTTTGCACGTGCATCACACTTTTTTGTACATTTCTTTGCCCGTTTTTGTACGACTACGACGTGAAAATGCCCGCTAATTTCGCGTTTTATGGAGCAAGCAACAACGAAATTTTATTTCTCTTTCTGAACTTGGATATGGTCCCTTGGAATTCAACTTCAGGAGAGTTCGCCTACATTTGACAAAGAAAGTGGGTAGGAATAATCACGATAAAGACAGGAAGAAACAAATTCACTTTTTAAGCGAAGTTCTCGTTGTCGTCGCGTCGTTGGATCTTTAAGTCCCTAATAAGGACCAGGGGCCCGTTTCTCGAAAGTCCCGATAATTAACGGGCCCGGTATGCAGTCTCCGTTTACATTACGTGTTTGGCCTGTCAGCACCTTCCACCAATAGTTTTGCATCTAACATGACTATCAGTTAATGAATCAAAATGGAGTAGTTTGCCTACCAGGACCCACGCTCTTATTCTTTATATTTCGATTTGAATATTTTATTTTTCGGGCCCGAAAAGTTACCGGGACATTCGAGAAACGGGCCCCTGGTCCGATTGTCACTGTGTGACAAGCCTCCTCGATCACCGACACGATACGTAGACTTTTCCTGTCGGTTTCGAAAATCGGCACAAGTGAAAAGTTCAACTTTGAAGCTAACCAAACTTGGCACGATTTGTGTATACAAATCAACAGATCTTTTCTGACATTTAGTCCCATCTAGCCGTTGTTTTCGGTGCCTTACTGGTTAGTATTGTACAAACACCTCATTTATTGGGGCGGAAATTGCTCTCTCACTGGGCTATTTAAGTCACACATATGTGTTTTTTTCCCCTGAATTTTATAGGGTCTGCGAAATTGTGTATAAACTGTACAAGGAAGCTTAGTCTTAGCTTCTTGCAGTCCTGCATGCGCACAGCTCAGATGCTTAGTGAAAACGTTTTTTGTAGAAACTAAAATCTTGAATTTGGACATTTCATCTTAGTGGAGCACAAGAGCAACAACTAACCACGAATGCTCTATTTTAGGTAAGACGAAACGTCTTTCAAAATTAAAATTTTTTTTTACAACGGTGCCATTCATGGTCCGATTTTGAAAATTGAATTAGCGCCTCACAACCATGTCTTGTGAAAACTTAAGGTTGTTCGAGGTTTACAGTGTACAGCAATATAGTGCATGGATAGTGCATGGTAACAGAACCTGAGATACTTGCAATCAGCGTATTAGAAACTAAGTACATGAGGGCCATATTTTAGCTTAAAGTGGGACTAAAAAGGAGGTGCTTTTGAGGAATCATGCAATTGCAACTAAAACGTTCAAGGATTGCAACTGAAAACCTTCAAAAAAATTTTTAACTCATGGAATATATTGTTACAATGGTGACTAAGAGGAAAGCAGAACAGAGTAGTTTGAAAATTATTTACAACAGCCACAGCAAACTTTTTAACATGGCATAGGTAACAGTACAGGTCGTACAGTCTATACAGTAGCTGTCCTTAGAGCGATTTTCGTGGTTTCGGTAAGTTTTCATTTTGTTTTATCAGCTAATGGCTAAAAAAATCAAAGCAAGGGCTCAAATAGCTCTATTCACCGTTCCTTCGTTGTTTCTGGTTTGTTCGGGCGTTTTCGTTTCAAGGTCATACGAAAATCGCTCTAATCATGTAACAAACTAGTTTTGTTTTCCTGATGGAACACAAAGATTCTGCCAACTTGGTTGCCAGGGTTCTCTCTCTTGGGAAACTGACCATGTAACTGTGTCAGGTCGACTGAATAGCCTGAGAAAACAGCCGACATTTGGCGACGCTACCGCTGGTTTCCCGCCAAATGACTTCTGAGAAAAGAGCACAGAAATTCCATACTGATGACGCGTCACTACCCAGATCTGGGAAGTGCTTCTGATTGGCTGAATCAAATTTCTCACGCGGCACGACCAATCAGAAGCACCATCCAGATCTGGGTAGTGACAAGTCATTAGTATGGAATTACTGCGCTCGTTTCTCAGACGTCATTTGACGGGGAAACCAGTGGTAGCGTCGCCAAATGTCGGCTGTTTTCTCAGGCTAGGTCTAAAACTGAGTCTGAGGTATCATTCAACTAAAAATGTCAGTATGTACACGACTATTTTTACATGGTCTATCGGCATGTTACAAAGTAAAAGGGGGCATGCAAAAGCAATAGTCTTATTATGAAAACTGTGAAATATTATTTTGACCATTTGCACAGGAACTTATTAATTTTGTCACTAAGATTACGCTCAAAGTTTGGCTTGTGAACTCAGGGGCACCCAACGAGAATATAAATCAAAACCACTTAAAAATAGCATTGTTAAACGTATATAGTAGTTAAACGGTAGATATAGGCATATTTTTATCCCTAAAAATTTTTCATCTGTTCGGATTACCTAGCTGAAAACCTTCTAGTGATCCGAAAATTATAGGGATCAAAACCTACCTTTTCGAAAATTTCAGCCAGAAAAAAGTCCCCCCAAAATTCTAGGTGACCTTTTACGGGTAAAAATCCGTTAAAAATGGGTAATTATACCATTTTTGAGATGTTCGAAAATCCTAGGAGATGTAGGCAAGTAAGAAATTTTGCAACAAATGTTCCGAAAATTCTAGATCTCAAATCGTCCTCCAAACAGATATATTGCGAAAATTGACGTTGGGTGCCCCTGTGAACTTGAACTCTATGTGAATATACTAGCAATTTAACAAGTTTTTCTTCTCTTAAATAAAACTGTTACCCTAATTTGAGTCCTAAGTTCCCCCACCCTTAGATCCTTTAAACTAGGCTTTCTTATTGTTTCCAGAAAATATTTGTACTTTTACTTTTCGGTGTGGGATAACTTCTCTTTGACAGTTACATACGCACAGTTTCAAGTGACATGTACTATTTTAGAATGTATAATTTATTGGCCTGGAAGTCCGAAACTAAAATAAGGCCATCCGGTGTTGTAGTTATTCTTGAGAGACCTTTAAACTTATAATCAGTTTTTCCAATGAAACAACCCTCTAATGTAAACTGGTCAACACGACCATTGTCTTTATCACATACAATAAGGTTATAGTGATCGCCACATTTGTGGACACACAGTCCTGAAGGACTATTCAGCTGTCCATCACCCTTGCCTAGTTCTCCTATCTTATACAGAAACTTCCCTGAACTGTCATAAAATTTCAGAGAATCATCATCACAGTCACATACAATGAACTTGTTCTCATGGTAAACACATTCAAAGGGGCGGCTTAGTTTTTCTGGTCCACTGTCTCCAAATTTAAACAAAGGTTCACCATCCTGTGATAAAACTTGTATCCTATAGTTACGGCAGTCAGTCACGATAACGCGTCCTTTATCATCCACACAAACACTGAGAGGACTCTGAAACTCCCCGTCTCTTGTCCCTTTCTTCCCAAAGCTCTTCACAAAGTCTCCAGTTTGAACATTAAATTGTTGAATGCGATGATTTAATTCATCAGCCACAAGAATGTTATCATCATTTAGGTAAGTGACACCCGCTGGACCAAAAAGCTGTCCTTCATTTTTTCCATAGCAACCTACTCTTCTCATACAGATTCCTTCCATGTCAATTATGAGAACACAGTGTTTTTGGCTGTTAACAAGAGCAATTTGCCCTTTGCTGTTCACAGCCACCCCTCTTGGTTTTTCAAAAGTTTCGTTTTTCAACTCCCCCAAAACCTGAATGAGCCGTTGTTTCACCTGGACTGCTTTGGCTAAAAAAACCTTCCCATTTATTTTGACTGTGATGTTAAAAGTACCAGGAACTTTAGGTACAAATTTCACTAGTGTAGCATCTTCTTTCACGTACTTTCTCAAACTTCCTACCTTCTCAGTGGGTTCCACGAGCACCTCACATTGAAATTTGACTTTAACTCCATGCGCTTGTTCTTTAGGGATTCTGGGATTAACATCGAACTCTGATTCTACACCAGCTTGGATATCTTGATTCAGTCCCTTGATGATCGTTTCACTTGTTGCTACAAAACCAACGCTTAATTTCTCTAGTTCCAAATTCGGGAGGAACTTCACAAAGGAACTGACCGGAACTTCTGGGATGTGAGCGTTTTCAAGTTCGTTGTAACGCTGCTGTAGTTTTGCTTTGTTTTGCATTATGTCCGAACTGGAGCTTTTTTGCACGAGATGTTCAGCAAACTCGACTGCTTGGTTGACCTGCTTTAGTAAGGACTGTACTTGTCTCTTTGCCGAGTTTAACATTTCCAATCGAGACTCGCGCGTGTTCTCGAGATGGGTGATAATATCGCGTTCACTTTCACGAATCTTGGCGATGATTTGTTCCACTGTCTGGGAAACTTCATGGTTAGCATTAGCAATATTTGTATGCAGCTCAAACTCTGTTTGTTCAAGCTTGAAAACCGCATCGCTGTAAAGTTTGGTCTTTTCTTTTAACTGTTCGCCTCTCTTTCGGATGTTGACTTTCTCGCCATCCGCCACTTTATCCAGTAGTTCTACATCATGGCCCTCGTGTGACTTGTGATCTGTAGCGATGCAAATTTGGCAAACACACAGTTTGCATTTGAGGCAGAAAAATCTTACAATCTCTCGCTCGTGATACTGCTGCGAGCAAAATGACTGCCTCTTCATCAGGGCTTCGAAATCTTGAGGTTGGAACTGTTTGACTGGCGTCACCTTGTGTCCTTCTGTAAAATGACTCATCAGTTGATGTGCGTTTACACAGTCATTGCACATGAATTTGGCGCATTCGAAGCAGTAACTTATCTCTGCGCTCTTTTTCTTGCAAATGCCACAACTGATTTCGTTCCCAACGCCGCTCTGTCGAACAGCGAGAAGACTGAGCAACCTTTTATGATGAAAACTAGACGGTAGTTTGTCGAAACAGTTTGCTTCGGGAAGATCGACTTCAGCTTGACACTCGGGGCAGCGAAACTTTCCATTCCTTTGGCTGATCAGTGCGTGTTTCTTCAAACACTCACAGCAGAATGTGTGCAGGCAGGTTATTGTCTTGGGATCGGTAAAACTATCCAGACAGATTGCACAAGTAACCTGTTCTTTGAGGTTTATCAACAGAGATTCCATTGTGAGAGATGGATCAACAGCGGCACTCCCTTTCTTGTTCTTTGGGATTCCGGGAAACTTGAACCATTTATAGTGTCACAAAACATTTTGCTTAATACTCACTGGCAGCCAACTAGATTTGGAACAATCTACCCTCTGACCTTAGAAGCGGAAGTTTAAGAGGGTTTTTTCCCGCATTGTTTAGCTGGGAATATTGACATTAAGACAAAAGACAAATATAAAATCTTGCTATAGAAGTGCACGTTTTTAATGGATTTGTTGTTTTGTATATTACTTTGAGGGTGGACAAACTTTGAGCGTTTCAGTAAAGAAGAATCAAACGCCAACCCGTGACAAAAATCTGAGGTTCAACCTAATTGTCTGTCACTTATCATTTCAAACACGAGGCAGTGAAGTAGAACCTCTGTACTTTTTCCTAATAACGTTTTTTAGTAATCTTTCTCATTCTTTGATTGTTTGTGTGTTTCTTTGTTTTTTTTTTGCATGTAGTAACATGTAGTCAGCGGCTATTCCACTCTAAGCTCAGTTTTGGCAGTAAACTTGGATCGCCCAGCAGTGAAGACGAGAAATCGAGCGAGAGGAATGGGGTGGAGTAGTGCAAACACAAACCGAGTTTAGTACTTCAATGTTTCTAGCATAACTCTTAAACAATCTGTTTTTCAACCCTGGAGAGGAAGTATATAAAGTAAGGTGTTATTTTCAGAATCAAATTTAGGAGAACGAAAGACGGATGTTAGAGATTTGGGGAGGGTCACGCGTTGTACGTCTTATTCGGGAATGAGAGAGGGGAGGGCAAAGAATCATAGTTTTGTTTCAAAAACAAACAAACAAACAAATCAAACATTCCCATCATAAACAAAAATGTAGCTTCCCTAACCAGGTAACTCTACACTGATAAGAGTAGGCAATTTCAAATTAAAAGAAAAGTAAAACTGCAGAATACTTAGCACGAAATGTTTCACGTTTTTCCTCATTCAGTTTAATATTTTTTTTAAAATACATTCTCCACAGGTATAATTATCTATCAATGTCATCACAAGCTGTCTGGATCAGATCTCTGACTTCTTTACCTCTTCTTACAGACTTTTTAAAACATTCCTGTAACTTGTCATCTGTCAAAGGAGATCCACCTTTAAGAAGAAAAAACGAGAGCAGTAACTAACCAACAAGAAAATTTCACGACCTCAGCTTCCTCCGGTAGAGTTTATCAAATACTGTTCACACCGCCTTCGCACAAAAAAAGGTTGACACGACACTGATTGAATTATGCGGTAAATGGAGTGAATTGAGAACAAAAGAAGGATGGGTATAAAGGAAATAAACATATTATATATATTTAAAATCAGTTATTCAGCAAAAGAATTCAGGAGAACCTTGGTTATCGGATAACATGTTTTGCGCGAAGAAAATGGCATTAATTTACGAACAGGGTTGCTATTTCTAACGGGCCACTGAGAACATAAACTAGGGCACAACTGTAGATCACTGCCACACTCGCGAACAAGACTTCAACATTAACACTTCCAAGTCTCAAGACTCTGGACTTCAAGCGCTGGGAAAGCGGAGTCCCGGATGTATAGAAGATAAAGAAAAATTATCCCTCTCCACAATGAACATATCGTAAGCGGATTAAAAAGCAAACTTTTCGAGGACTAGCCCTTTGTAGAAGTGAATTCGCTATGATAACTTCCATGAACTTTGGAATCTCCTTAATACGGTGGTCAGGAAATTGACCTTATTACACAGCCTCGTTCCCAGTCGTCCTCTGCGATTTCGGATGTGACGTCACCTGTCAAGCTTGTCGGGAAAGTTCGCCGAGGACAATCGCACTCGCACTCGCACTCGGTTCCAAGCCTCCTCCGGTAACTCGGATAGCGCGAACTGGCCTGGGTACGAGGCTGCTTATTACATAAACTCAACTGATAAAACCAAATTCTTGTTTTTAACTTCCATCGACTCAACACCACAGTTTCCATAGAAACTAACCTCTTCTTTTAGACTTTCATAAAGTCAAAACATATACCGTCTTAGAAAACAGATGTATTGTTGTGCTTGTATTGGAATTATCTCGGTGTAACAGCCTCCAAGTTTATCTTTGATTTTATAGCTACTTGCTAGGTTCTATCGTGTTGACCTTCTTGTGTTCTTACACTAAGATGAGTGGTTCTTTTCTTCATAATTTTATTCTATTTTAAAGCCAAAAATTACCTGGCTTATGAACAGCTGCAATTTTATCATCATCTGTCACAACTATAGTGACGATTCCGGAGACTAGATTTTCTTCTTCATCAGTTGGATCAGCAAATAGTACAGAGCTACAAATAAATAAGATCCACTTACCGGTATGTCAGCTTTTTTTATAGTGGCTAATCGGAATCCCCGAGCACCGTTATGAAATTAAAGAGACCATAGAGCATGCGCAGAGTGGAGAAGAGGAAACAGAGCTACGTAGCGTTAGGTTGCAGAACGGGATCAAAGAAGGCGTAGGTTCGATTTCCTAGAGCCGAACTAATATTGAGGGTCTTAAAATAACTGAAAACGCAAGTGGAGGTACTGCGGCCTTAATACCCCTTCAAACAGCTCGACCTCCACAGTGACATGGTTCAAAAGACAAACATCTGCTATAGTACTTTTATGCTAACTTACTACTTTGTTAGTTGAATAAGGAAGTTTTAGTTCGATAAGCGATTGACGATCTAGAGAAAACTACACTGTTGGTGGCGTAAGCTGTGAGATTCCAAAAGTGAATGTTAAAAACTGACTCGAATCGCAAGACTCGGTTTTACGCTATCTGATTGGTTTATTGGTAATTCGAACTTTCTTAGGGGATATGGGGGCTCCTTTAAAGCTTTATTTAAGCTGGTAAATAAATAAATGGGTGCTCCTTTAAAGATAAGCAATAAGCTTTTAGATGTTAGGCGGGTGTACTTAGAAGGTATGGCTTATTTGAAGATAGTGGGTCATCATTAAAGAACAAAATCTAGCTACCCACATGTACGTATGGAATGACTCACTCATCGAATATCCCGAAAGTAGATGCAACTGGATGTTGTCTCAGGTTCAGTGAAACTTCCCTTTTCTCTGATGGTTCTGGAGTTTGCGTTTCTTCATCTATCTTTACGGAATGAAGTCGTGCTTGAAAACAGGAGAAAGACGATTTGTAAGAAATAGGCCAATTAGCATGATGAACACTATCGAGAAGAATTGGCTGCATTCCATCCAACATTTTGCAACGTGTTAAACGATGAAAGTCAATCCAAAAGGGCTGAGTTTGTTTCCTGTATTCACTCAAAACTTCAATAAGGTTAACAGATGCTGAACAATATTTTTGTGTCGTATATAACAATATAATATTCAAAAAATATATTAATAGTATTAAAGACAAAACAAAAGAAATTTTAATTGTTTAATCAGGGGCACCCAACGAGAATATAGTTCAAAACCACTTAAACATAGAATTGTTTAACGTATTTTAGTATTTAAACGGTAGATATAGGCATATTTTTATCCCCCCAAAATTTTTCATCTGTTCGGATTTCCTAGCTGAAAGTCAAGTGATCCGAAAATTATAGGGATCAAAACTTACCTTTTCGAAAATTTTAGCCAGAAAAAAGACTCCCGAAAATTCTAGGTGACCTTTTTGGGTAAAAATCTGTTAAAAATAGGCAATTATACCATTTTTTAGATGTCCGAAAATCCTAGTAGAGGCAGGCAAGCAAGAAATTTTACAACAAATGTTCCGAAAATTCTAGATCTCAAATCGTCTTCTGAACAGATATTTTCCCGAAAATTGTCGTTGGGTGCCCCTGTTTAATGAGTGTCTCTATATCTTATGAAGACACAACTAAACTTTACATACAATTTTTTAGACCAAAATAACCCAAAATCTAAATGTTAGTAAAGGAATGAGTTGATCTATATCAGAGCTTTAACCTCTTGAAGCTGTTCAAAAAACTCGCAGTTGTGTATTTATAACTCGAGGCAAAGCCGACGGTTTTTAAACCTGATAAATTATACACTCCTGCTCATTTTAAAAACAACACATAATAAAATAAATAGCAATCCACAAGGACAGTTAATTATTGCTACTCACTGTTTTGAAGAGCAGCAACTGCTGCTATTAGACATGCATCTGTGATGTTACCATCATAACTTAAGCACATTATGTCCACATACAGGACCCAACATAACTAGAAATAGAAGCAAACAAATGTTATCAACATCTCAGGAATAAAGACTCGTTTAATGTTGAAAATGCTCATGTACAGTTAAGCCGTGGACTTCGTATATAATTTATTATGAACCTGAATGTATGAAGTACATGAATGCAGAGTAAAAAAATTGCTCAGTAGAAATGACAAAGTGTTCACTTGGCCATGCCGTTTCCTGGTACATTTTGACAAGTTTGTCTACAGGTAGACCTAGGCCTGGTTCAAAAGTCAAATTTTACTTGGCAATCCTAATGGAAATGAGCACTGTAGAACAAAAGATTTTCCTCATAAGTATTGGCCTGCGAACAGCAGACGCATTTCCGGTCATCGCTTCTCTCGCTCTGGAATTTTTTGGAGAGAGAGAAGCGACGATCGGAAATGCGTCTGCTGTTTGCAGGCTACATAAGTATAAAATTCAACCAAATTTAAAGAACACAATCCTGTGTGTAAATATAGATAATCTGCACCATAAAATGTAAAAGTTTGCTTCAGTTACAATGTATTTTCCTTAATCTCAATAATACCAAAATATACAAAGACCTTACCTTGCCTTGTACAATACACAAATCCTCAAGACTGATTGGCTCACAGCTGGTGATCCAAAAGAAAAGTATGCAAAGCAAATTGATTAACAGAGAACTGTACACAGCAGCTATGCAAGAGATAATTCATACACATGTCTGTCAACACTCTGCAGTGTAGCAATTAGAAAGACTGCAAAAATCTTCCAAAACCTTTGTTGCAGGCTCTTATAGCAGCTTGTCATCAAGACTACCTCACCAAATTCTAGGAAGAAAGTTTTAAATGAATTTATAATACCCTGGCAAATTTGCCTTTGTTCTGCCTGTAACTGCATTTAAAATCAATTGCCTATTAGCAAGGCGAATAAAGACACGATATGTTTGGAACAATGTTAGATCATGGAGACAGATTTCTACTTTTCTTACTTTGAAATAATATCTGCAACAAACTGGCTGAGAACTTGTGCCTGTTCACTTGGAGGTCCAGGACGAAATCGTGATGAACAGAGAGGAGGCAGATCTACATTGGGAACTGATTTTAAAAAAATGCATCAGTATACATAGTAGTTACCAGGGGAGGGAGGAGGGGGAAGGGAACTCAACAAAGAGTTATATGGGGAGGCTCTGCTCTGAGGTCCAACCCCTTACCCTTTCATATACAGTTTTTGAGTTAAAAGGTACCCCTTTCGTATACCTTCTATTGACAAATGGGGCCCCTAATCATATTCCTAGTTTAGAACTTTGCGTCCCCTTAACCGCAGTTAAATTACAAACCAGAATTTTTTACAGCCATAAAATGCATCTGTAAGCCAATTTTGGGCTTTTTATTGACCAAAATGACAGATTCCTACCCTTTCATATACTTAAAAAAGTGCAATCCCCACCTTTTCATATCCTAAACCTAAAAAATTTACCCCTCTTGGGTGGCCATATAGGCTGATATAGGAAGCACCTTCCCCCCCCACCCCGCCTGGGTAAGTTTAACAGGTGTATAATATATTTTTATTTATATGCTAAGCAGAAACCAAAATTCAACTCACCAAGGACAGAACCAAGCAAAAAAAATAAATGTGTGTGGGAGTGGGGGAGGGGTGGAAAGAAGTGGGGACAGCAAGGGAAGGGTTCAAGTTACTAACTAGTAATAACCAAAGGTTAAGGAGTGCGGGCAACAATGCTGTGCTTTGCATACATTTCACTTGATAGATGGTCGAAACACGTGTGATCAGATTATGAGGGACAGAAGTTTGAAACACTCCTGATCAAAGTTGGTTTTGTGCATTCCATTCTTTCTTAGTGGAAGTCCAAACGAATGCTGACTACATACATGCAATGCATGCGTAATAACAACCTGGACCAAGATTGCAGGCTCCTCTTGTCCTCGGCAATAATAACTAACAATAAAAAAATTCTACTTTACAGTTTGCACACCTTTTCAATGTCCTGTGTGATCAATTTAACCAAATTCAAAAATAATGATTAGTACAGTAACTATATTCAATTCAATTATAATAAATTAGATACCATTCATTTTAAATTAGTTAGTTGACTATCATAATTTATTACCTTAACTTTAACTGACCTATAAATCCAAGTTTAGGGTTCTCCTGACTTGGCACAGCAAATTCCTGGCAATGACATCAAAATGGTATAATTAACCAAGTTTCATTGTTTTAAGAGATTTAAGTACAATGAGGAGTACAACATTTTGATAGGACTGCAAATCTGTACCACCACAATTTTGACAATCATGCAGAGTCAGACCACATTTTATATTGTGGTTGAACATTGCTGTCTTCTTCTGCATGGCCAATACCATGCATGTCTATTCAGAAGTGACTGTAACTTCCTCAATACATGTACATGCACCACATAGACGTCGCAATATTGATGACTGTCCCAACAAAAGACAGATTTGTGAGTTCTGCACATGACTGTGAAACTCACTTCAGCACCATGTCAGCAGATCAGACCTGATTCCTACCCGAACAAAACTGATTAACCTTAGTACACAAGTTTTATAAATCACTATGTTGATGACTAACTGCCTTTACTCCACAAACAACTGTTGTATTTCCAAGCTTCACCAAAGCTGATCCCTCTGCTGTCGATATTGAACCTGTGAAAAACACATATTATAAGAAAAGGATGAGATTTATACGAAAAAAGCACAAGCTTTACAATAAATAAAAGGTGAAAAGAAAGATAGTTTGTCCCATAGATTACATAAATCCAAGGAACTTGCCATGTTAAAGAATCTGGACAAACAAGAGGCCCTGGTCTGACGATAAGCGCATATTTGAGGGGTGGAGAGAAAGGGGCAACCTTATAGTATAGGAAACTGCCAGAGGCTGGTAATCATGGCCGCCCTTACATGCAGTAACAACTCCTTTCGTATGCTCTCTCATTGAATATACGTTTTTTTTAAGATACATCCCAGATGGAAATGCCTCATGTGAGTCAATGCTATATGAAGCACCCCCAGCTCTAGGGTTAGATACAGTATACCGGCAAATTTTGCCAAAGTTGGAGCACTGAACATAATGCCAGCATAACAGGCATGTTGTTAAGCATAAAGCGATGAATGATAAAGAGAAAATCAATATTTCGCCACAAAAGTAATAAGACATTTAAATTTCAAGTGCTTTTAGTTAGAAATTAACTTATTCAAAGGCTTGATTGCTAATTTCAGGGCCTAGTTGCCCCATAGCATCATTTTCCCAGGCTGCAAACTGATCAGAGAGTGCATCCTAACGATAGAGAGTTCCATTGAAATAAGACATTTTGAGTGTTTTTGAGCATAATTTATTTGTCGTTTATTTCTTGTAAATTTGCAGTTGATGCAATGAAACGTTGTGTTTCTGGTTTATGGAGGGTTTTTTTCCGGCAGGCATAGAAAGGGCATCAAATATATATCAGTCGAGCATAATGCTACGTACTTTTCGAACATAATTTTAGGCATAATGCTGATGTTTTGAGGCTGGCGCTCAAAAGCACGATGCTCAAATTTTCGAGCAAAATGTAAGCTTATCTCACCCTCCCTAGCTCAAAGACGGAACGTTGATTGCTGTACGTCTTACCAACATTTAGGATCGTTTTTCTGAACTCCAAAAGTGCACGGCCATCTGGTCGAACATCCTGTTTCTGAAAGATCAGAACATTGAAGTTTGACAAAATTGTACTTTCCGAAGTCCCGAAGTCACTTTAAATTAGTTGTAATTTACAACTTGATCTTACCAAAAACTGCCTGTAATATTCCAAAGGCTGTGCAGTTCTGTAGAAGGACACAATAAAGAGAGATAACTGACGAGAAATAAAACAGCACTGACCAAGAACACGTGTTGTGAAAAAACAATTCACTCACTTGAAATCGGCCGCCATTTTTCTTTCGTACAGTGATTGGTGATAGCCGCTGACTTTGCAATGGGCTCATTCAGACACTGGTTGGGGCGGGGCGGCACCCACGGGCAAAGTTGAAAGGTGTGCGGAAGGGTAAGGTTACGCTTTTTATGTGGCACAAAAGTCAGGGTATAGCTATTATAGCATGGTGGTTTGCACAATGTTCTTCCAACTGGCCATGACCTAGTCTGCCTCACAGTAGCCTGAGTATCAGGCCTTCCTAAGGGGAAAGGGGAGACGAGATTTTTGATGGGGGAGGGGGGAGGGGGGAGAAGAGCTCTCTCCCTTTTTCGCTTTCATCTTTCCCCCTTTCCCCCAGAAACGCCTGATACTCAGGCTAGCCTCACAGCCATTACTTGTGTTGTTATGCAACGTTCTTCCCTACTAGGGGGGAGGAGCGTGAGTGTTGCATAACACAAATTATGGCTGTGAAGCAGACTAACCACGAATGGTCTGATCAAATATAGTGGAAATTGAAAAGTGTAGGTTTGCTGGCACATTTCGCACATGAGGTGAGGATTCTAAAGGCCTAGTAGCACGTACACCGCCATCAATATGTATCAAGTAGCACATTGGCCCCGTGAGAATTGTTGGCTGGGTATCCCATGGAATGTACTGAACAGGCGAGTCAAATGGCTTATTATTGTGGGACATGGGGTGGGGAGCAGAGTGGCAGAGTTCAGGGTAAACAGACCGAACAAAGCAGTGTAGTAGAATAACCATTGTTCTTTTTCATTATTTTATTAGCTTAAAATTAAGAAATTATTCATAAGAATTTTTCTCAATAATTATTATCCAGTAATGAAGTAACTTGATATTTTCTACACTGAGTTTGTCTCTTGTTTTTTAAATAGTTATGGAACAAGAGTTGTACCAGAAAATAGTATTCACATGTATTAATCCATTTATAAAGACTATGAAAGATGCAATTGACAAAGCAAATTTTATGGTCCCGTGATGTGATATATCAATCACTCAACACAGCACTTTCATTCAAATAGCTGATCCAGATGCAGTCAACTTCCTTTATGGCAGACACTGTAGGGACCCCAAGTTAGTGTCCAAAGTAGCGAGAGTGCATACTAGTGGGAGTTTGTTTCAGTCAAACATCTGTAATTTATTTTTGCCTGGGATTTAGCTGCTGTCTGTATTGTCTGGGTGTTTTGTTAACAAATTATGGTATAATTTTATTAAATTATAATTGTTAAGATGAGATATTTAATGTCTTACCCCTTATATTGCATACTGTTTCTGTGAAACTCACTAAACCGTGAATGCCAGAAATATTTATGGAATGTTATTGTGTTGCGAGAAATAAGCCAATAAGGTGCGAGATAACTAAACCACAAGCCGTTTGTGGTTTTGAGGTTTGCTTGCATATCCTGAACTTTATTGTGATTGGTCAGTACACAATCAACATTCCTGAAATTTTTCAGGTGTTCACGGTTTTCTGAGCTTGAAAGTAAGGAATCTGCCACTTATATTAAGCACTAGGCTTATACATCTTCGCACAGGATTTTAGGAAGATTTCTAAACAGAAGTGGCTTACATTTGAGGGGGGTTATAACTAGAATAAAACCAGCTTCAAAACAAGCTATTCAAGTTCTGATCAAAATTTGTTTTGCCATAATTTTGTAATATATCAATGAAAGTTCATTTCAATACATTACTTTGAAGAGGGGTTTATATTGCAAGGGCAGGGGGGAGAGAGTTAATAATCAAGTGTACTTTTTTGTCTACAGCTGGATGGGCCTATAACAGGGGGGAGGGGGGTTGGGCTGATAAGCAGCAGGTTATAGTAGGTCAAATCTATTCTTAGATTAAACCAGAATTTCCTTTGGCTCCTATAATAATAATAATTTCAGGGCATGGAAATAAAAGGAAATTTTGAATCAAACTAGGTTGAATGCTGATTTAACCTCAGAACAGATAATTTGACAGTAAACCTCCACATTGACAAGTTAGGTTTCTATTCAATGTACTCTACAATCTTTAGTATTAAATACTATTAAGACTCCAGCAATTCTTAGCTTTTTATTTAATTTGTCTATGGATAGGAGCCTTTTTAAATTTATTACCTTTTAGTTTTTATCAAAAATTTAATTTAAAGCATAGTTATCAAAGTGGAATGGTTGTGACACCTGTTAACTGTTTTTGTTAGCCTTTTTGGACCTGACTGCGTACAACTTTCAATAGCATTCCTATCATTTTCAACTTACTGACCATTAATTTATTCAGTCACAATTTGTAAACAAAAAACAAAGGATTGTGCAGAGTCAGGGAGCTTCCAAAATAAACTACTGCACCATTGTTTTCAACTTCAATGTTTGCCAGTTTGTCCCAACCAGTCCCCTCTACTAACTATGTTTAAAGGTGCTAAAACCATGTAATGTGAAATTTAACAGTGTCTCTATTTGTCAAGTTACAAATACTGTAAATACTTAAAGTATTACTTTTCAATAAAACTAATCAGATAAATAGAGGATATTACACGGTGGCGAGAAGATATGAATTTTATGTTCGAGTGGCAAGAAGAATATCTCACGAGTGAGCGAAGCGAACGAGTGAGATATTGTTTTTGCCACGAGAACATAAAATTCATATCTTCGAGCCAATGTGTAATGTTCTTTTTATTATATGGAGAAACCATTTCAACAAAAGCAAAAGGCGGGAATCAAGACGTCATTGAACGATACGACACTCACAAAGGTGACATACGGAAAATACGCCACTCGGGTCCCGGATGAAGTGGCGTATGGAATCTACAAGTGGTTTAGTTCCCAGTAAAACACTCTCCTCCATATAATAAAATGAAATATTGCTTGCTGCAGGCATTCCACATATTTTATTCAATATACTGTCGGTAATTATTTTACTCTGACCTTGCAGTGTCACCTAGAGCAGATAAGATTTTTAATTTGCATGTTTTTGTTTTACATCTGCTGCAAACCTATCATTTAAAACAATTATTATTTAATTTTACTACGTGGGTTGGATATAATCGTTCAAGCAATAAAATGTCATTGATAAATACAGCACTCACTTGAATATAACACTGACCTTGAGACAGGTAAATGAAAATTCATTTACTCTCAGTAACCAAAATCCTATTCAAATTACTTATGACCTGTCTACTAGGCTAAAACCATATTATTATTCATTATTTTACAAATATTAATAATTTTAGTCTTTGATTAATGAAACAAACACTTCTTGTCCTGAGTGTTATTGTTAAGAATGAGAAGTTGGTTTATTTTCTGGTGTGCTCATCTGATATAACACCTTATCAAGCCACTGCAGAGGACCACGTAGATGGATTTCAATCCAACACGGAGTACTAGTGACGTCCTGACGGTGATACTCTGCACCCCAGCCTTTGACGAAGCTTAAACGAATGGAGCACATCTTGACCAGCTCAAACACAGTCTTAAAATCATAGTTGACCGACTGAGAAAGCAGCTGAGCAAATTCTTGGTTGTTGAAAATTTTCAGTGTACATCCAGATGGAATCTTGCAAACTGTTGTTGGGTGAAAACCATGACTGTGGTTACAATTTCTGCTCTGCACAAATATGGCTGAGTCGCTAAGGCATTCAGCATAAACCTCCCCTCCAACATAATACAGATGCACACCTTTCCCAATGTGTCGTCTTGTGCTTTCAATGGTTGAATTTCGGTTGATGTTAGTCAGCAGACCCAAGCAGAATCTTTCTGAGTTTGCAGTGTTGGGGTCGGTAAATCCATCAACAACGATGCTAGTGCAGTTGGCATGGAACTGCTCACCAACTCTGTTATTCAATTCATAATAGGATATAGAACACCATGAGGAGGGTTCCTGGTAGTTCACTGGTGTAACATGGGATAAATCTAAGAGGAAAGAAAAATCATGAAGTATAAGAGCTTAAGTGACATAATACAATGCCTATGCCACAAACATGACTGGTGTAGTGACCAATCAAAAACATGGGCACATTTACAAATGTACAAACACAAAAAGCCACAAAGACACATATGCTCAGACCACTGACATAATTATAGCTATTTTTTTTCAAAACAGCTCAATAAAGTTCATGACACACAAGCAAACCTCCAAACCACCACAAACTCATTGATTACCATTTGCTACTTGCGGTTTAGATTGCTCATGTCTGATTGGCCTTTTTTAACAATGGAATAACATCATATTTCTGGTATTCATGGTTTTGTCTGTGTCACAGTAACACAAACATTAATTTCCAATTAATAAAATAACCCACATCCTGGCTGGTTGTTGACCATTGTTGGTGGAGCACTCATTGAATCCACGTCCATGGTGTTTGGGTCCACAGGACAAGGTGAACCACCATCTTCAGAGATGTAACTTTTGGGTGATTCTACAAAAAAAAAACAAACGAACTTAACAAACTTGCTGCTATTTTGGAGGTAAAGTGACTTTTACTCAGCCCATTCTTCTCACATGCAAAGCAATTATCCCTGACCTCACACAAGTGACTCTGCTTGCAGGCTAATTACTTCAATCTGTGACCATTTCTTTGGGTTTCTTAAAGTCTTGTATGTTTTAACTGCATCTTCCTTCTACCTGTTAAGTCTTAACAGGTAAAAGAATCACTCCCGGAATGAATGAAGGAGCCATGTAATGGAGTTGTAAAATTTGAGTCTGTGCTCCAAATCCTATGGTGTGACCATTCAAATGGAACCTCTTCAGCAGTACTTTCACATGGTACTATGAACTGTGCTTCAAATCCTATGGTGTGACCATTCAAACAAAACCTCTTCCGCAGTACTTCCACATGGTATTATGAACTTAGTATGTGTAGCTGTAACTTTTAAGTCTGTGCTCCAAATCCTATGGTGTGACCATTCAAATGAAACGTCTTCAGCGGCATTTCCACATGAAACTACGTATTTACTCTGTAGTTCTGAGTCTGTGGACAAAATCCTATGGTATGACCAGTCAAATAAAAACCTCTTCAGCAGAAATTTAAAATGGTATAGTAGTACTTACATTATTCATTTTGTCAGTGCCTAATCATTTTCAAGTTACAGATACCCCAATGCTAAAAGGAGAGCAAAACCACTCCCTAAAGTGTATGCTCACAAAAATTAATGAATAGACCTGCCTATCTATGGTTGGAGTTAAAAACATAAAAAGCTTATGATGTAGCCTGAGTAAAATAAAAAAGCCAACATTTCGTGACGTAACCAGTGGTTTCCCCACGAAATGACATTTGAGAAACGAGTGCAAACTTCCATACTGATGACACGTCACTACCCAGATCTTGATAGTGCTTCTGATTGGTTGGAAATTTGCTTCATCCAATGGAATTTCTCCACTCGTTTCTCAGATGTAATCTCGCGGGAAAACAGTGGTGGCATCCCGAAATGTCGGCAATTTTCTCAGGCTACTTATGATGAAATCTAGGTACAGTTGCAAGGAATATACTCTACCTGGAACATACATGGCTGGGCTCTGATTTGGTTGAGGTTGATGAGATGTTTTAAATGGAAAACAAGCATTGTATGGCATTGGTGGTTCTTCAGCACTTCTGAATGGTAGTGGAGGAGGAAGCTTCGGGTATGCACTGTTCGGTCTTGGAACCAGGACTGGTGGTAAAACTTAAAAAGACAAGAATATGCCAGAAAATGTTAAACTGGGAAGGTTTTTCCATTCCATCCAGCAAAATACTTGTAGAATGCTGTTCTCTGTTCACTTCAATATACACAAAAAATTCAGGGCTGAGTAGCATTATCCCAGTAAGAGGGGGAAGGTCTCTCTCCTCCCTATTTTGTTCCTTTCCCCTCCAGTAACCTACATGGTCCTCGATACGGTCAACTCTCTTTTAACGCACACCTCTGCTAAGACAGACACCCAAAATAATTGGTCTCTGCCTTTCTACATTCCTTTAAGTTGACTCTCTATAAGATGGATACAATATGTGATACAGTCAACTTTCTTTTAACAGACACCTCTACTAGATGGACATGGACACCTCACTAAGACAGACACCCAGAGTTGGTCCCTGCCTTTCTATATTCCATTAAATTGACTTGACTCTATAAGACGGATACAATCAACTCTCTTTTAACAGACACCTCTACTAGATGGACATGGACACCACAGTAAGACAGACACCCAGAGTTGGTCCCTGCCTTTCTATATTCCATTAAGTTGACTCAACTCTATAAGACTGACATTTCTCTAAGACGGACACATTTATTAGTGCTGGTCCCGAAGATGACAGTCTGTCTTGGAGGGAGTTAACTGTACAAAGTCTTTAACTGTTGCATGTAATTGCAGTGTGACTACTATAACCACAGGACCATCTAGACAAAGTTGACAAATGAGATTACAGAAAAACAACATTACATTCCGGGAAAGTTAGTTCTGAATCATGATCAAAATAAACAACAGGGATCCAAATCACCAAATTACAACCTGCAGATGTGACCTTTTGAACCCGCTGAAGAAGGCATTCCTTTCCTGAGAGGTCTGTTAGAGTGAATGACTGTTGCAAAAGTTGTAGACAGTAGTTATATTCTTTATGTTATTGCAAAGGGCGGCAATGGTAGCAAAGAAATAGGTAAAACAAAGAAGTGTATCCCGGGTGTTATGAGTAAAGTACTGAACCGAAAAACATTGTCTGGTGAAGAGAAGAGACCATGGCAATGACGTGATGCTGAAATTTGTTTTTCTCTTGTGTGTGCCATTTTCCAAGAATGGACGTCAAAAACTGTCAGTGTTATAGCAACATTAGGGCCATTTTATACATGAGCATGCATTTATACACGAGCCTCTGGCTCAGATGGTCAGGGCAACCCCATCCCACATATTGACGTTAATAAATAAATTGATTGATTGACTGTTTATACGAGGAAAAATGACACCCATCTCACAAAAGACACATCCTAAATAAGAGGCAAACTATCCTGTATAAAGGGCACATTTTGTCTGAACTTTAGCTAAGAGGCATCTCATCTAAGAACAGCCCCTAACACCTGTTCTTTGGTAAGATGCGTCTTAGCTAAGTCCCGTCTTAATGTGCCATTTATACGAGATAGTTTGTATCTTAATTAGGACATGTCTAATGAAAGATGCGTCTTATTTTTCCTCGTATAAATAGCCCTATTGACATCGATTTCTTGAGTCCTCTGTTTTTCGAAATTCCCAATAATTCGATCACAACCTAACTTCTCTTCTCCAGTCAAACATTGTAATTTTACCCCTGATTTTTCACACCTCCCGGATAATTCAAACCAATTTGCTTTTCTCATGGTACTGGAAATTCGAAAAATCGGGATTCCAGTTGAGTCGCTTAGCTTGGTGTCCATAGATTTTCTCAGACGAATTAGAGTTTTCAGATCAGAGCTATCAATCTGAACACTCACCGGGACTTTCGACTCGTCTGTAGTGATACGGATTTATGCAGACTTCCTTTTGTTTCAGCCCAAAAGCATACTCGCAACAATCCAACGGTTTTAACTCGTGGTGGCTTTGAAGATCAGGCCATCGCCATACTCGACAGTAAATTACATGCGGCAAACCTTTCCTATGTAAAATTTGAATACGCCCGTCTAAACTCCGAGGGATGGTGACGCATTTTGACTGCTGGCCAGGGCTGGATAATGCCTTCTCCAGCTCCTCAAGGGCACCCTTTTTCTTTTTCAGTTTCTTGGATAAATATCCAATGGCAATTTCTGCCCACTTCTCTTCCTCATCACCTTGTTTCCAACCAAGAAGCCTTTTAACAGCTGGATGAGTGAATGAAAACAAAGACGCCATGTTCGCCATTTTGTTTCAGGTACACTGTTTTGAGTACTCAACGCTCTGATCGAAAGAATTACCCACTAGATGATTTCTTTGTGCTTTGCTAGTGATAAATTCACTAAGAAGAATCGGAAGGAAGGGGCACTTTGCCGGAAAATCCCTTTGTCATGGCGTCCGTCATGGCAAATCAACTACAAGAGGGAGGGGTGGGAAGGTAGCATGTTGCTACGTCATCTAAAGGCAAAGGCCAAGTGCGCATGAGTTTCTCCGCTGAACGATAATAGCTTGGGCGCATCAAAGTCGCGAAAAGTCGCGTTAGAGCACTAAAGTGTGACGTCATAAAAATGAAATTTCTGAAATTATGGGATTTGTCAGGATATTCTGAAAGAACAATGTCCAAGAGGCCTACTTGGCAAAAATGAGCATTTCGGTGCAAATTGTCTCTGAGATCGTAGCCCAGTTATGCTTAGCACACTCCATACAACCCTTCTAAATTTAAAGGGTTTATATGGAGTTTTCTGAGTATAACCGGCTAACATCGGCTCCTGCTCAGAGACAATTTGCCCCGAAATGCTCACTTTTGGTAAGTAGGCCTCTTGGACATTGTTCTTTCAGAATATCCTGACAAATCCCATAATTTCAGAAATTTCATTTTTATGATGTCATTACTTTAGTACTCTGATTTAAAAGCCATTTTGTTAGTGCTTTGAATACCATATGCCTTGTTGCATGGTTGCAAAGCAGGAAGGATGATAGGAACACCCCAGTTTCTGGACAACATCAGTTGGAGACGTCCCTGGATGTCCATTTAGCAGAGATGTTACTGATTCAAATATTAATTTTAACCTACAACTAAACGACTTTGTTTTCCTCATAATTACTTTATTATGATTTCATGATCGCTGCCCAGAGGCTTTGATCCTTTTATCCCAATCTTCGTTGCTGACCAAAAAAATCAGATTGGTTTCAAGATTCATTTCACTGACAGTAAACAAATAGAATTACAGCTTTTCATTAGTCTAAAGAGTGGATTGTTTGCATAACAATTTTAAGACGGAATCCACCACGAAATTGAGTGATTTAAATTGTCAGTGGACAAAAACCTTGTACCAAATAAGTCAAAGAATATTAAATTATTTTTTACATTTTTCAAGGGCTAAAGATGTAATTAGTCATCTATCATACAAATTTTCTTTGGTGTTATTACAGATGACTAATTACATATTTAGGCATTGAAAAGGTAAAAAAAGAATGCAATATATGTTAAATTATATTGGTACAAGGTTTTTGTCCACTGAAAATTAAAATTACTCAATTTCTGATGGATTCCGTCTTAATTATTGTAACCAGTACCTACAGCTCAAACTTTTTATCTGTGGATAAAATAGTGCGGTGACCATTTAAATGAAATGTCATAAGCATGGAGAGTGCTTTCACACGGTAATGTTTAACTACAGTGTATGATACAGACCAAACTCTTCTAAGTAGCGATTGAAAAAGTACTATTCTGCAATTTCATGAAAAAAAGGAGGAGAGATTGGGGCAGTTTGTCGCGGCTCTCCCCTCCTCTCAATCTAATGCGACTCAAAATAAAAATAAGAGAGTGCTGACAGTCCCGGGTGTCAGGGACAGCAGAAGGCACAGTAGCTCAGCAGTTTTGGAAGAGCTGGAGGAAATGGCACAAGATTTTGTACTTTAAAAGAAGAAGAAATAGGCCGACTACGTCCTTAAAACTTAGCAAGAATAGCACAAAATTTGTGCTATTTAATATCACATGGCAGAGAGGTCTTGTACCACCCTCAAGTTGTCATCACCATACTCGACCTCAACCAGTAGTTTCTATTATATTATTTTTAAAACACTAGACTTTAGCAGTTACCTCTGAATTTAAGGTATATGCAACCTGCCACACACCGTCAAGTGGTTGCCTCCTAGAGATGTCAACATTATTTACCGGTGAAAATATTAAATTATCACCCAAAAAGGTAGTAACTGTTGTTCACATTTGGTTTCCATATTTTATAGTACTGTGAGTGGAAAATCTTGATATGGGTTTGGACAGGGGCTCCCTCTAGAGAAGGTGCACAGTTATAAACAGAAGAGGTTTAATTTTTTAGATTTTCAATCATATTTTACAAAAATTTAAAAAATTAAAGATTTTGACTTTTGGCATTTTTAGGAGGTAAGGGTTCTGAGATTTGTACTAAATGATAACTACCTAGTTTGAAACAATGAATAGAAGTTATGAGATATAATAACACCATTATTATTAGTGAATTTTACATTACACTGAAGCACAGCTGGTTATACAAGACAGATGCTACATGTAAATGGAAAATAAAATGTTAACAAATGTACAGGTTCATTAACAGAAGAATATTAAACAATGATCTTTGCTTAAATGTGGGATAATAATAATTCGAAAATAGCGACATACGAGCTAACCATGCATAATTTTACCAACAAACTGTAACACAACTTGATCGTCACTTTTTCAAGTAGCTCACAACTTTTGCACATCTTTAATAAAAATACCTGATTGCAACCTTTTCAAGCAGTTAGTAACTTTAAACCAGCTTTGATAAAAAAGGCTTCAAATCAAGCAAAACTTGATCACAGAATTTCTAAGCAGCTTCTATGTAAAACTTTTATTGAGCCTAGCTAAAAAACTGAAAAGTCTCCTATTCGAGTCAAGCAGTCCGAGTTAAGAGTACCGAACAGAACACAAAATATTAAGAAACATCAAAGCCTTTATAGTCCAATTTAAGAAACAGAAGATATTGGGTTTCTTGGTGGACCCATTTGACTAAGGACTTTATCTAACCAATGTAAAGGGCCATGAAGGTGAATTTCAATCCAGCATGGAGTACTTGTTACATCTTGTCGATGGTATTCGGCTCCCCAGCCTTTGACAAAACTCAAGCGGATTGAACACATCTTTGTTAACTCATAAACAGCCTCATATCCATAATTGACTGACTGAGAAAGCAGCTGAGCAAATTCTTGGTTGTTGAAAATTTTCAAAGTGCAGCCCGATGGAATCTTGCAAACTGTTGTTGGATGAAAACCATGACTGTGGTTACAATTCCTACTCTGCACAAATATGGCCGAGTCGCTGAGGCATTCAGCATAAACCTCTCCTCCAACATAATACAGATGCACACCTTTCCCAATGTGTCGTCTTGTGCTTTCAATGGTTGAATTACGATTGACATTTGATAACAGTCCCAAGCAGAATCTTTCTGAGTTTGCAGTGTTGGGGTCGGTAAATCCATCAACAACGACACTAGTGCAGTGGGCATGGAACTGTTCACCAACTCTGTTATTCAATTCATAGTAGGATATAGAACACCATGAGGAGGGTTCCTGGTAGTTGATTGCAGTTGCATGAGAAAAATCTGAAAAAAAATAAACATAGCATTATTTAGATGGTCCAACTAACAACAGCTCTGGTGACCTCAACATACAGTTATTGACGATACTACACAGCCTACAACAGCAAAGCAGTTCCTCACATTCTTACATCCTAAGCAAGAAAAGACACCTAAAATAACTAACATACAATGGCTATGCTCACAAGGCTTCCACAGCTGTGTTCTCAATAGAAGCCGGCACCTGGTGATTGATCGCTGCCTACTTGGAATTTGTAGCCGCTTACTTTATATTCTATTTGCTGCTTTTCCCTCCCTAGTATATGGCCCTTCTGTTTGTCACAGCCTCCTAGTCAAGGTTGAGCAGACAATCACTTCAAATCCAATCGAGAACCCTGCTTACATTGTAGAATATAATAATTATTTTCCTCGAGTCAAGGTAGGTGACCACTTTTGTCTTGAATTATTATGATTACATTCTATATCAATCCTTCTGAGAAGGTCAATTGCCTCCTTTCTAAATCATTAAAAAAATTGTTCAAGACTGAACTAAACATTGATTCACACCCACCTTGTTGATGCGACACAGAAGGCGGTGAATTCACAGTATCAACATCCATGGAATTGGGGTCAACTGGGCGGGGTGAGCCACCATCTTCAGACATATAGCCAGTAGGTGTGTCTGAACAAAAAAAGGACCTTATTACAGAGAACCATTCATATGAGCAAGTAAGTCAAGTGAATGCAAAGCCAAGATGGCCTACATGATGGGCCATGCATCACACTTTGGCATGCAAGCATTCCAGTAGCTAAGAGTACTATTGCTCCCTCCTGGATGATACCTTATTAAGTGCATCACAGGGTTTCCCTCAACAACACTAGCAAGTACTCATATTACAGTCCTAGATATATTTACTATTGGACACCGGTTTAACGTTAAAAAAGTAAAAAGTACTCATATTATAATCCTTGATACACTTACTATTGGACACCGGTTTGACATTAAAAAAAGCAGAGTTTACAAGAGTTTTTTCTGCTTATAATACTTAAAAACTGGCCAACGCTGCACTGAACTTTTATTGAACAATTTTAAAAGTTAGAGTACATCAACTTCCGATCTTCCTGCTGTTAAACTTAGAACTTACAATATGTGCATACGAAATCTAATGAAGATCTGCTGTTCTCTTTTATGCTAAACCTTTGGCTTTTAAAGCTGAATTAGACCATTCATGGAAAAAATGTTTGCAGGAATGTAATATTGCTATCTTTTTTGATAAATTTTTCTTTCTCTTTAAACCTTAGCCTGAACTTAAGCCTTCTCCTACAGCCAAAACTCCCAAGAGGCATCTCAATCAACAAGCTGCTAATGCAGTCCAGTGACGTCAACTACCCTTTGCCTAATTCATGGCAAATGGTATACCTTTTAATCATAAACAAAGAAATCAATTTCTCCAGGATTAGGTCTACAGCCTAGAGAGTCATTTGTATTGTTTCCCTCAAAACTTGTATTAAATGTTCAAACTGTCAACTGTATGGCTGGATGGATCTTTTGCTTGTACAGCTCCTAAATTTAGCATTAGCTTCTTCTCGATTCAGATGTCTCTCTTTGCAGTTTGCGACAAAAGGAAATGAGGAGACAGCTGAAATTTAGGCTATGTAAACCTCAAATGAACCAAGATTACAACTTAGGGTCAGCTTGCACCTAAATGTTTTGGTTAGACTTTGATGACTATGGTTGTTAGTGATCATGGCTTAAATATGTACATGTACATGTGATTAACAGTAGATTATTACAAACGATTATCAAATAAAACATAAATGTTCCGGTCCATAACTTCTTTCTCTCTCATTACAACAAAAAAGTCTTGAATTTTAAAACATGTTTTAGTGGAACAACAGAGTACATGATTCAAAGGGAGACAGAGCATGAAAAAGGACTGGCTGCTCTAATTTAATACCTGGACAATGATTAGTTATATTGATCAATGATCCTCAAATTAAGTGGAGCAATAACAAACTTGCGGTTTTTTCCTCAAAAACAGGTAGTTAATAATATTATCCAAACATGACCCAAACAATGATAGAAAACTGCAACACTATGATTTTCCATCAGATTCAGTGTAAACTCTTGTCTTTATGATTTGCCAGTTCTATATTTATTCCTTCAAAAACAATAACTATATTGCTGAAAGTCACACAGTGACTTGTATTTGGATGACAGTTACTTTGAAAATTCCTGACCCACACCAATATATCTGCATTTTCAGTGCTATATCAAGATATCTTGACCTTCAAAAAAGGCCAAAATAAAGATTGTCTAAAAATGTTTTGCCCAGTAGGCATAAGGAAGACGAACTACACATTCCATTACTCTTAATTCTTCGGAGAAAAGTGACATCAATATCAAAGCATAGAAGCTAGAGTGAGGAAAGACTTCAAATAAGTGGAGGTTACAGATAATTAAATAATTATTTTGCCCTTGCCCAATTGCAACCTCAAAGATTTTGGTCAAGCCAAAGCAGCAAAAACTTTGTTCCCCAAGGATAAAATGGTTATGTGACCATTCAAGTTTTTCATGACAACAACAATATTATTAATATATTTAGCGGTGCCATTTAATTTCAGTAATTAATAATAATACACTATTACTAATACAGCATGGAATATGGGGATTTTTGTTAAGCCATGATTTTTTGCATTTAAAAATGGGAACCATGGGGATATATTTAGAAAAAAAACTATGAAGATATTCCATACCCACCTGGCATGTCAAAGCTGCTTGCAGGACTGTGTTCAAGCTGAGTTGGTCGATTTGAAAAGGGATATGAAGCATTGTAGGGCATAGGTGGATCATCGACACTTCTAAATGGAGAGGGCAACGGCGGTGCCGGTCTTGGATACTCGCTTTGTCTTGGTACGAGTACTGGCGGTAAAACTACGAAGAGAGAACAGGAAATATTCATTGGTTTTTAGTCTTTCTCTAATGTTGCAAAGTCAGGTAGCATACATGTATGTTGCTTGGTTCTCGTGATCTCCGACATTTTCTATTACACAAAAAAGCCTAATGAAAATTAAAAAAGAACGGAATAAAGAATAAAACGGTACACTAAATCTTAAAGCACTTAAGTGGTTCGTTCTTTTATAGTCTTTTCTTTATAATTCATCACAAAAAGTCTCTTCAACTCACAAATACCAAGTTTAAACCTACCAGGACTTTCGACGCGTCTGTAGTGATACGGATTAATGCAGACTTCTTTTTGTTTCAGCCCAAAGGCATACTCGCAACAATCCAACGGTTTTAATTCATGGTGGCTTTGAAGATCGGGCCATCGCCATACTCGACAGTAAATTACATGCGGCAAACCTTTCCTGTGCGAGACCTGAAGGCGCCCGTCTAAACTACGAGTGATTGTCACACATTTTGACGGCTGACCCGGCTTTGACAGTGCATTTTCCAGCTCCTCAAGGGCGCCTTTCTTCTTCTTTAGCTTCTTTACCAAAGACTCAATAGCTTTTTCCGCCCATTTCTCCTCTTCATCGCCCTGTTTCCAACCAAGCAGTCTTTTCACGGCAGGAGGGGTGAACGAGAAGAGCGAAGCCATAGTCGTCATCTTGGTCAGATTTACTTTCTTCTCTCAAATAAACTTAATTTCTCGCCTGTTTGGCTCCGCAACACGCTGTTTCTCTACAAATGACGAAAAAACAGTAGTAAATTACGGCTTAAACGTTATAGTTGCCAGAGTGTTAATGCAAACACGACGAGCAAAGCTCCGCCAAACCTCTCACTCCGAACTATCAAATGTTCCACTGGCGCCAGAATGGCGTCGCCTGTAGAAGAATAAACAACCTCGCCAATGTGGCGACAACTCCTGGCTTAACTTGCTTCCTCACCCGTTAACGACACTTCGATCAACGAGCTCCGAAAGAGCGTAGAACAAAACACAAACGTTAGTGAAGACCGTAAACTAATTGTTCTCTCGCTAAAATTGTGTTCCTTGTTCATGAGCGAGGCTTTTGCTGTAGTGACGTCATATGTACTGGCGACATGATGTCTGGAAAGTCTGACAACGTGACAAGCTTTCAACGGAGATATTGTAATTTTGTCAAAGGGGTTAGGGGTAAGACGATTTTCTCTCGGCACGGAAAGCTAAATTGACGATTGACAGTTTTTAAAAACAATTACTTTGGAAGACCAAAAATTATGAAAACTAACATTTGCTTTTTCAATTATTGAGTCTTCTTATTTATTTTGCAACAAGGGCACAATTTTCAATGTCATCGCTCTACCCCCTCCCATAAGTATAGATATTTTGTTCGTTCTTTTTTGTGGGTAGACACCCAACCCCCCGGTGCGTATCACGACAGCGCTTTTTTGGAGCTCAAAGTGCTCGATTTGAATAGCGATGATAATTTTTGCGCTCATTCTAATTTCCTTTTTAATTGATGCAGTAGTTACAAACCACCAGAAAATTGCGGGACTTTTAAGTTGTTGCTCAGGAAAATAAAAAATGTCTAGGATTTCTCGGAAGTGGACACTCCGCGGCAGTGTAATGCTATTTGATTGCTTCCGGTGTTATGTCCTCTGTCTGATTAATGAGGACAAAGGACAAATTCTTCACGGTTAACGCAATTTAACTTAGGAAATTGCTTTTACTGCCTCGAAGAAAGAAAAAGAAAAGAAGAAAAAAAACATTAAAGAGAGAAGTTAGCGGCGCCTGATTAATCTTAAATTTCACAAAGCTGTAAAGCACTCAATGAAACGCGACCAATATACTACAATGCACTAATTTATGTTATCTAAGATTGTGGGTCATTTGTAATAAGTATTGTGAGGGGTGTAACAAGTGTTTACCTTGGAGATTAATATTCTGAAACAGCATTCACTGAGTAGATTGTCGGCTGGACATTCCGGCCGGTGGGTGAACATTTTCGCCCTATTTTTCTCGGGGTAAATTTTCTGGAGTTTTGAAAGATCGACTAAATCTCTAAAGATATACACACTGTTTACTACGGCCATCGTTTTAGTCACGATGAGTTATAGTTTAAAGCATTAAGTTTCTTTTGTCCGTCACATTAGAGAATTAATATCCCTCAGATTTAACTTAGGAAATTTGCATACGTCCTCGTGTTGGTTTAGCTTGTTAATTGTTGAATAACATGTGTTTTCACCTTTGTCTATAAACATTTAGGCCACAATAATGCAAAAATATGTAGAAACATCTTTCCCATCTCAACCGATGATCTAGAATGAGCCAGCCCGCCTATTGAAGCTTTCTCTTTTTCCGAACGTATCAGGTCGGAACTGTGAGACCACAGCTTACCAGTACTGTGAGGCCACAGCCCTACCAGCCTAATGACTCATTGGCGGGTTTTTTGATCTCGAGGAACATACCTTTAGTGAGTGACTTCAGATCCGTTTTATTTATTTATCTTGTATTTATTTATCTAAACTAAATTATCTTTTCAGCCCGATTAGCGTCATTAGGGTCTAAATAGTTTATCCCAGAGTAACGGTTCCCTAACTTTGAGGGGCTGTATCACGAGGCGAGGATATACTGCTGTTTTTAGGTCAATTCTGTGCTAATGTCATTAATAAGAACCTTTACCCTACATAAAAAGCATCCTTGCCATTAGCAGAAGACGATTGGAAACAGTTTCAATAACTAAATACAGCATGAAATATCAAAACTGGACCATTATTTATAATTTTGGAATCTCAATTGATCAAGACACGTTTTTAGCTTTTTAAAAAGACAAGCCCCCTTGAAATGAGTTTGAACAGCAATCGTCTCCTAGCTCAAAAAGCTGCTGTTCAGTGCCCTGTAGACCCAAAGATGAAGCGCGGAAAATTTTCCAAAGAGGGATCACTGACTTAAAACGACCAACCATTACCATGCCAGTCCAATCCTTAGTTATAGCAGCGACAAAGTCATTTTTTGTTTTGGTAAATGCACTAAGTAATGACTTTAGCAAAGGATTAACCTGAAACAGCAATAATATCCTGGTGACATATATAGCCCCTTTAACAGGTTTAAGGAGGAGAAGAATATTACGCATATATTTTTTGAGTGTTTTTCTTTCGTTTAACACATGGTGCAGACCGCTCTTCAATATCAATATACATACCAGCGGTGAATTGAGGTCAAAGGCCCACAGGCAGAAAAACAATTAACAAATAGTAATAATAAAAAACAAATGGTAAAAATAATCATCATCATAATAAAAATATTTAGTGATAAGTCGCGAAGAAGGACTATTTCCACTGCCATAGCTGAAAATAGTCACTGAATAGTGCTCTCATTCAAATAAGAGCTCCACCCTCCCCTTCTCACGCTCCCCCGAGAGAGAAACGACGACAATGACTAAGAAGAATAGAAGGATTTCAATACCAAAACTAAGAGGACCTTTGAGGGAACATGACTATGGAAACGAACACATAAGTTTTGTTTTTCTTTACAGTTCTACCGATACGATATCGAGCATTTTATTTGGAAAGAACGAGTAATTTAGTGCGAAAACAATGGAGCGTTTAAAGTGGAGCATTTTAGTGAAGGGGGGGCAAAACAAAAGCATAATGTACAAAAGCCTGCACGCTTCTCTCTTCGTGGCGTCACAATGGCCAAGCTCATTAGGACAAACAAACTACCAAGTTCACCCCCCTGTGTCATACAATCATTTCATTGTTTCCCGCCAAAATGCAGACTCCAGACAGAAGGAAAGAAAATAATAATAATAATAATAATCATAATCATAATAATAATGATAACAATAATAATCATAATCATAATCAAAAATAGGTTAATAAAGTAATAATCATAATGATAAAACGAGTTCTCAAAAAAGCAATTTTTTTTTATTCTAAGAGATTTATCTTTTCAAACAATTGATTCATTTTAATAGTGAACCAGAACCGATTAAAAATAACTTAATGAAGATCACGTAAAGAAGATTAAAATAAGCCATTTAATACTTAATATTTCATTACCATGAAATATTCAAATAATTTTCTTTGCATTTTTAGTTATTACTCCAGTAATTGTGAAAATTGACAAGGTAGAAAGGCAACTTTGGAAGAGTGAAAACTATGGGCATATGACAAGTGCAGGCAGCCAAGAATTTTTGATTCCGATAATAAAGAATTTAGAAACTACCTTTACTGACTTTGGACGGGCACGCCTTAAACTGAAAGGTAAAGTGAATTTAAAACAACACATTAACTGACACTAAGAGAGAATCCTCCCTTTGCTAGCGCTAATAGCTCGCGTCACTCGGCGTCTCAACACTCTAAAGGATCCCTAAATCGTAAAGGTGATTATTGAATAATTGAGAACCCTTAGAGATACAATTCCAGAAATTTCAAGCCAGGTCAGGTAGAACTAGCACCACGTCATTTTTATCGCTAGAGGTTTCCACTACACGAGGTGTGCGGAAGAGTGACCAACATCAATATTCTCCAACACAACAAATACAAAATCAAGAGAAAAAGTTGTTAGAATTGATAAAATGATCGCCAAAGAGGAAATTCTTTGATCTTTTATCAAATTCTCTTGGCTTATTGCTGTATGAAGAAGATTAGTCTGGAGAATTTGTATGTAGATCTTGAGACTTAAAGGGGTTTTAAACTAACGGAAGTTGATACTGCGACTGTTATGATGAACAATGTTTTATGTAGTACACAGCAGAAACAACGGAAACTATGACTTAGGCCGGTTATGTAAATGGAGTTTAATCAGTGTTTAACAAAACCGCGTTCTAAGGCATTTTCAGTTTACCCAACGCTCTTATATAAACACCAATTGTCGTGAACAGTTTCATTAAAGCATATAGTGTGGACAAGAAAAGCATTTATCTTCTTAAATTAACCTACCAAGGAAGAGAACTGAAGGTCCAAAGATTTCTTAAACCGCGTTCTAAGTTAGACTTCGTTAAAATAACCGACCCTTAGTATCTAGTAATGCATAAGTGAAAGAACTGAAAGTCATTATAGGTTATTATCAGAAACCCATAAGGGCTTTAACCCCTTATGGGTTTCTGTTATTATAATAAAAGTCATTTGCGGCTGAGATAACTTCTGGAATCGCCTGTACTATGAAGTTCCAGTAGAACAAGGTAAATATACTTTGCATGTTCTGGCAAACGAACCTGTATCTGAGATAAATAATCTCTTTAAATTTATAAATCGGATTACTACAATGCCGGTTTATTGTCTCACAGACAGATAATTCGCTTATATTAGGTTTATAAATGAGTTCAAAAACCTCGCCTGTCTGATCTTATAATTAAAGCACTGATACTGAGAACTCGTGTGGGCAACCAGAAAAGAGTTATGTTGGTTTATAAGATGGCGGAGATACCACGAACGGGTGCTGACTAGTCGGTATTTTCAATAAAGAAGGAATTCTTCATAATAAGGCAAAAAAGGTTTTGCCTCAATTTTCCTAAAACAATATCTCTATTCAAGACAAAATAATTCATCTGCTAAAAATATTCGAAAACAGGTAACTTGTCTTTGGCAGAAATTGATTACTTTTGAAAAACCTATTGAGATTTAAGCTTCATTGGTTCAATTCTCCATGCTCCGACAACATATCGCAAGCTTATAAGAATAAGATCTTTGCCCATCTGAAGCCAACTCCAGACTGGAATCATCTTTGAACCTTCCAAAAATAAAACATACAATAATTAGTTAACAGTTTGTAAATAAAACCAGGAAGCAGCTGAATGTATAGTCTTTTTACAACCCCAAACGAAAGAAGTGCATGTGTAATCCAAACTTGAAAGAGGCGAGTTATCTTTGAGTAACAATTCACAACCAGTCAGCGTTGACCTATGCTTGTTTATGTCAGACCTGCTATTTTTTAATTACCACAATACAAGTCTTGGAATTGTTGCAATTCCCACTGAAGTTAATTTGAAAAAAAATTACTACCGCACAAACAGAAGAAATGCAAAGAATTTGGTACACAAACGAGGCTTGGTGGTGAAATAAGCAAGTCTGACGTCATCATGTAAACAGGCTATTGGTATATTTGTACTAATGACGTCATTGTACAAAATATCGACAGCAAAAAGCTGGAGAAAACGGTGAAAAATTTGAAACGTTTTGCCGAGAATAGATGGCTGAACTACTGCCAAAAGAGGGAACTAAGGGCGGAAAATTCACATCGATCGAGGTAAGCAATGTTTTTACTATAAAATGTTTGAAACAAAAATGCGACAATCATTGAATTTGGCTTTCATGTGATATGAAGAACTACTTCTTGGATAACACACTCTTCCTCTCTGATGTGCCTAATGGGCCTTTTGCAGAATACGGTCACATGGTACAAAAAGCACCTCGTTGGATGGCAAACGACGCTGAGGGGCAAGAAAAACGAGGAGATTACATCAGCCAAAAAGCTAATATCCTTTTTCCTTCAAGGTCCCAATGTGTCAGCCAGATGCTTTTTGTACCAAGTGACCGTATTCTGCAAAGGGCCCGTTCTCCAAAATCAGAATCTAATTGGTTAATAATTTGCTGTTAGGATGAAGTTTTATTTACCGTCACAAGCCTAGAAACAAATTACAAATTATTTATTGAGTTGTCCCTTTCTAACCTTGTTGTTTTTGATACCTTTGATGCTTGAAATTTACGGGAGGCAAACTAAACAGTAATGTTTCTCGGGTGTTAGAAGGGAGTATTCGAGCACAAGGAATTTCATTCGAGACAAGTCTTCCATCTTTAAAAGCATGTATGAATTTGTAAAATATGTTGTGTACAAACCATCTATTTCTGTCCAGTTGATAGCTACTTCTGCCAGGGCAATTTTCAATCGCTGAGCAATGTAAAGCAGCTCAACATCAAAAGCCCTGCAAAGGAAGAAAACGTGGATGGTCAGCTAATAGCAGACAAATACACGTGAAAACAACAAGGAATTGGGTTTTTTAAAATAAATACAGTAAAGTGGACGTAAACATATAAGTTCTTTCTACACTTCTGGAATGCCTGCGACAGTCTAGACATCTCACCGAGTTTGTTGAGGGAAAAAACCCTACCAAGGTTTTGAGTCTTTTTACATTGACCAGTTAGCGAAAATCCCTGGACACTGCTGGAAAAGGGGCCTCTAAAATCAGCAAAGTTACTAAGTTGGAGAGTAATACCCCCAACAAACTATCGAAGATATGGCTCTACAAAGTCTCGAAATTTTGCATACGTTTGGGTGGTAGCAGCACATATTTGCGCCATAACTTCACTCGTTACTGAAACATCACCCTCAAACATGGCAAGTTAACTAATTCTAAAGCATTCTTTGCAGTAGTGTCGAGTGCTAGCTTGTCCTTTGTCAGAGCAAATCAGGGAACTGTGAGACTTAGTTTCTATAACGACAGAGGGAGCTCCGCTTTTGCTTATAGATAAGATAAAGGAATAAAAGATTAGTTTAATGAAAAGAAGTGGTGTTACTCTGGTCAAAGAAAAAGAAAACTACTTGTCACTAAATCTGGCCGCACATCCTGCAATTTGAAATGGGTCATTCTAAGGTGTTACTCGAGACGATTCGTAATGAAGATTTTTAGCGCAACACAGCGTTGCAACTTGTTGCAATATTGTTGCAACATTGTTTCGAATAGTTACAACACTGTTACAACATTGCAACGCTGGGTCGTCCCGCATAACATCACCTTTAAAGCAGTTTTCCTCACCCTTTTAAGACTAGCTTGTTGTTAGGGTTCTAAGACTGATAACCTGGTCAAATACTGGTTTATCCTGAGGAGAGATTTTACCGACAATATATTTCTACTGGCTAAGATTCTTAAAAGCGGTTTATTAGAACTTACCACCGTTCCACATGGAGTGCAGTAAACGTTAACAGCGCTGCGGGTCTTGTAAAAAGTTTAAATCCACACTGAAACAATATGATGATCAAGAGCTAAGCAAACCAGCTTTTAAACTCAAAGATAGTGCGACACCTAACCTCACTGCAACACACCCTAAGGTCATGGTCCCAGCAAACTTAGAAGCAAAGACAGCTTGATTAACAACACTTTGACTGAAGTCACACCCACAGCTTCCAACAAGAAGTTCAGCAAGCTTACCACTCGGTCATGCTTGCTTATTCCAACATAGTGACAAATTAGTAAATATACATATAACTAAATATTAAATAAAGTTCTATAATTATGCAAAAATGACTTGGTTATTAAGGTGACATCCCTCACTCAGGATAATATTCTCTCACCTGTGTGTCTCTAATTCCTCGAACACAAAGAAACCACACAAGGAAGTGAAAGCCATACATCAGGATGTTCCTCAAAAAAGACCGCTACAACGAAAAACATTTCCTTTTACACAGTAGTCCTTACATTCCTTAGGCATAAAAGAGCAAGCAAAATACCCAGACATGCGTGGAAAGAGAAAAATATCAGAAGCCCTATCTGACATTCAGACTCAGAGTAAAGAGCATCAATCAGCACAGAGAAAATGAAGGGGTTATGAACTACCATCAATAACACGACTAGTTTTCTCATCACAAGTTAAAAAAAGTAGAATATTTCATCCTTTCTTATCTTTACTTGAAGCTTAAAACTTGAATTCGCTTTTCATTTATTGTTAACAAAATACTTGTTATCAGTTTATTACTTACTTTTGCCACTGCTTCATCTTGAAGATGTGCTCGTGAACCACAAACTATCACAAATTTATTCCCCTGAATAAAGAAAAATCAATATGACTAATCCATTAATAAAAGTAATGAGTGTGTAATCATACAAATAATTACACAAAATAGAAAGACTGATTTGTTTAATCATGAATGTGAGTAATGAGCACATTGGACAACACAAATACCAATATTATTCATCAAAACTAAAACAAAAACTAGGATCAATAATTTAAACTAAAAATAAAAGGACCAGATCTTCCAAGAGTTATTTCTAGATGTGAATGAGAGAAAAAAAGAAACCATTCAACACCAAAACTGTCCAGCTATTAAATTGCACACGATAATAGATATTGTAGCCTATAGCTTAGACATGACACATACTGGGCTGCTGATAGGCAATCACATTAGTGAATTTTGTGTTAGTTATGGTTAAAGGGACAATTACCACAAAAATTTCTCATGCATTCAGTTCAGTTCAGTATTCAGTTTTTAAGAGACTATGATAGAAATATCCCTAAGGTACACTAATCCCTAGTCCCTAATCCCTAAATTCTTTGCACAAGGTAGCAAACCAATACACCTTTTCAAGAGAGATTTTTTACCTTATAATGACATTTTTTATCATTGAGATACAGATGTCTCTCCTGCAAAATGCCTCATGCAGCAAGGAGTGAGGATAGATGGTTACATCCGCAGACTAAATCAGCTCATGAATCCAGTTCACCAAGCTTAGCAAATAATAACTGCCCCCCTCTAATTTTTTTGCATTTTCATTGGTTCTACTAGTTCATGAGTTGCAACCTCAGAGTCAGCAGAAAGCTCTTGGTTACATTTAATTAAAGAAATTTTGCACATTAGTAATGAGCATACCTTCCTGCCATTAAGATCATCTAAGGCTTGTTCTAGCCTTGCCAAGTCAGCAAACTTACTGGCCCCATCAGCATCAGCCATGAGAATTCTTCTTCCTCTTGAGCTGAGCACACCCTACATAAAAACAACAAAAAGATAAGGGTGGTGTGTATGGGTTGGAGAAAAATAAAATGAACTAGCTATACCTGCACAGAGAGACCAGGTCAATTGCAAATTGAGCAACAGCAAGCAGAATTAGCTCAGTCAATAGAGTGCTTGACTGCAGAGCGGAAGGTCGCGGGTTTGATTCCCGGAGCCAGACAATACTCACTCCCTTTGCACTGCAAGGGGCTAGACCGTTGCATGGCACGGATGACCACGTAACATGGCGGTCTCGTCATCAGTTTGAGACGTAAAAATAGTGTCCCCAATTAGTATTTTTATGCTAAATACCTTGACAATCAAATAGAGTGCTTTTTTAAAATCAAAATTCAAAGTTTACATGAAAATATTGCTCTATTTACTATTCTCAAGGTGGAGCTCTAGTATGAAAATTTGGGCAAACTATAGTAGAGTGTGGGTAGCCAGCATCAAGCTTGCCCTTGTCACCAAAGAGTACAAATCAGTCAAATGGGGCAATCAGTAAAGTAGGGGGGGTGGTTACTAAAGCCAGCCCTGATTCCTGACAAACCCTCCATACGTAGGCTAGCTTATTTTCAATAACTTACAAAGAAAAATAATTACTGGTTGATAGAGGACAGGGGCCTCTTGCACTGTAACACTGTGATGGACCGGACCAGGATTTTATACTGTACAAGCATAGTGCTGGACTATAACAACAGGGTTGGATGTCCTCGCATTTTGCACAAGCTGTAGTCATTTAGTAACAATACTTTAGATGTAGTACTTGTTCATTTTACATCTTTACCCACTGAGAGCTAATCAGATCCCTTCCTCTTGTCTCAACATAATTATCTTACCATCCTTACTGCACCACCTTTGCCTCGGTTCTGCTCAAAAGTCAAAAGTCGCATTTTACAGACACCATATCTCTTCACATACTCTAATGTCACCTATAACGATAAAATAAAACTTTAAATAAAATGACTAAATTTTTCAAAAAGTCTATTATACTGGAAGTCATGATATCCAGACAAGACTGTGCTCTAAGGAAAATTAAGGGAAGTCCCGTGCTCTGAAACTCTAAAAGGGTGCCCAGCATATGATTTGTACAAAAAAACTAATATTTCTTAGTCACCCAAGAGGAAAAGGTAGGTGCCATGGGACAACAGGCTCTGCTAGAGCACAACCCTGTCATTGACAGAGCTTCCAAACATTCTCCACTTTGTGCTAAAACAAACTGGGGAAAACAAAACCTTCAATTCACAGCATAATGATTTCAGAAGTACCCTGGCACCAGAGGTCTGCTCTTAAAAATGTAATAAACCCTACATCCATTAATTAAAGACAATAAACAAGGTCAAAGCTCTCTTAAGAAACAAAGTCATAAGTAGGCAGTTCTACTCATTGCATCCATAAAAATAATACTATTTTGAACTCTGTGCTAGTAGAAACCATTCCCATACTAAGCAGACTGCAGACCTTTTTTTCTGCTTCCTGAAGATATTCTCCAACTGTTTACTCTTGTACTTTTATTGTGATATCTAAGCAAGGCTTGACAGATTCTTTGAACTGTGCAGAATACCTATTTCTGTGTTCCTTTTAACTAACTTAAAAATGAATTCTCTCATTTTTATTGGCTGCAAAGTAGTACTCAAATCAGCCATCACTTGAGAGCAGACACCTGTAACAGCTAGCCTTATTCTTTCTCACTCACCTTAGAAGTTGCATCTTTGCTACCATCATCTACAACTAGAATTTCATATGTAAAAGATGGCTTATTTTTCTGAAAAAAAAAGGATGTCAAGCAATCAAGTTAATTATTTACTAGGGTAACTCTTATATAATGACCAACAAAAACACACCTATAACATCTATAAAAATATTATCATTAAAAAATTGTAAATAATATTTTTATAGATGTTATAGGTGCCAAATTATAAAACTACAACTTATTGTGTTGCAAGGAAAATGCCAATCTGGTGTGAGAAAACTTAACTGCAAATAGCAATGGGAATTAGTTTGTGGTTTTGTAATCTGCTTCTTAGTCAAGAGCTTTTGGCTTTTGGGGGGGCTTTGCAATCTACTTCTAAGTCAAGAACTTTCTTGTGACTTGCCAATAAACAATAAATAATACTGAAATATTTCAGGTGTTAACAGTTTTCCAGGTTTGAATTTAAACACCAATGGTATCATTATACTCCGGCGCTAGTCTTTTCTTGCATGCAGGCAACTGAAGCATCTGAGATGCTTCAGTGCGGCGACACTCATGAGAGACAAATGGTTTACCAAAACCAGATGCTGTACATAGAAAGTCTGTGCCACATGGAGTAACCATAAAACTATAATCGTCATCGTCATCATGGCCCTTTGGGCTAATGGGTGCATAAGACTGCAAATAGTAAAATCATGTCTCCTATAGTCCTTGATAAAGGGGAGAAATACAGTGAATGTGGGAAGGTATGCTGAAAAACCACATATAATGGAAGTTGAAGCCAACTTTTCCCTGATCTAAGGTCTAATCAAGACAATGACTGCTTCAAGAAATAAAGCACTTTAATGTGATCAGAGCTTTCATTAAGGGAAGTTTCAACTTGTTAGCACCTGTTACAGCTGAACTCATTTGATATTATGATCCAAGTGGAAAGCAAAAGATTACACTATAAATTTTTTGTAAGATGTTACGGGTGAATCTTCATTAATTTTGCTACAACTACTTTGAAACTTAATGACAGCTCTGATCATACTTAACTACTAACAGACTGTGTACACTTGGTGTTCTAGAACCAGTACCTGGGTACCAGCACACAATGGTTTTGTGTTCACACCCTTATTCTTTTGCCTCTCATTTCAAGTTCAGATAGTAGGCCCCAGCGCAAACTCTCTTGCTCACTTGCTTTGCCACCAAACACATAAAAAATTGCTCGCTCGCACTTTGTGCTCAAGAAAAATTTTGAGCTTGACTTGTGGGCAAGTCTAACACCCTGAGTACCTGATATGTGACTGCGTACATAGTTACTCCATTTTGCCTTTTCAGATGCCATTTTGAAATGTGAGCTTAGCAGCGACAGCATGCAAAGAAAGTCAAGTCCGATAGCCCAGGGCTACTGGATTTTGCTATCGGGCTAGTGATTTTTGTTCTTAACTTGCCCACTGGGCAAGTGCTGTTTTTCGGGGAAATTCAGATTACAGAAGGATTGTATAATTATCAATCCTGCTAATCAAAACAGGTTTTCGGGCTAGTTGAAATGACTTGCGGGCTGGTACATGCTAGCTACAGCTTGCCCAAATAGCAGGCTGTAAAACTGACTTTCTTTGCATCCTGAGTGAGTACAAATCAGTGGACTGCCCCAGAACTTACAAAAATTATGTGCACACAGAGACCCAGTACCCACTTGTGCCTGAGTATACTCAGGCACCAGTACTGGGCCTGAATTCTAGCAGAGGTGTGTTCACATTAGTGCCCACCATGTACTGTCTTCAGGCACAGTGCCCAAGAATGACCAAATGTGAACTCTGCCTAAGAAACAATATAATCATTTTTACCTCTTCATTTTCCAGATATTCTAAAGTTTCATTCAACATTATTGGAACTGTACAAAATAAAAAAAAAGATCTTCAGTACAGTGCAACCACCACCAGAGGATGAAAAGATTGAATTGAGTTGGTAAATTATTGTCAGAGTTGATTTTCCATTATATTCATTGTGATCATTTCTTTCTATATAGTTTAAATTTACCTATTTTATTTTATATATATATTTTTAAATTGGCTATTACTGTTTACACTTAAGTTTTTTGTGCATTAGAAGAAATTTATTTTTGTATGTAGCCATCCAGCAAGCATCTGATCAGATTTGAATTGTATTTTAAACTTTGAATTATTGAAATTTTCAAAACTTTTCAGTTCTTGCACATATATTAAAGCGTCAGTTAAAGCTTGAACTCAAATTTTCTAGGGACATGATAAGTATTGTCTCAGGTTTGATAAGAGAAAAGATTCTTGAAGTTAGGAACATGAAAATTATATATGTAAACTGTGGGGTGAAGAATTATATGAAAGTAGATCATTGCAGTTATAGACATAACTTTTGCAGCTGCGAAAGGAAGCCTGAAAAAAGATTCAGGCTTGTATGGGATTCGAACCCTTGACCTCTGTGATACCGGTGCAGTGCTCTACCAACTGAGTTAACAAGCCAACTGGAATTGGTTATTAAAAACCCATGAAAGGATGATGAAGACGTTATGAATATATGAAAATCATAAGATAAGATTCTTCCTATAAAATTTTAAAAACATGGGTCTTGCAGCCTCAAATTTAATCTTTACTCACAAGCCCGTATTTCCATTTTTTATTTTTTAGTTCTCAATTTATTACTATTAGCATTATTATTATTATGATTATTTTCATTATTATTGTTATTATTGTTATCATTATTATAATTACTTTTATTATTATTATTTTATGTTTTATGAAGCTTTTCACACCAGCGTGCAAAACATATACCAAAACACCAATTCGAATATGACCTTCCACTTTTTGGGCATTTGTCTTCCAAAGAAATTGTCACATCCACTTAACAAATGCATCATTCAAATGAACAGCTAAACAAATTAATTACACAAAAGCAAAGTAATTAGTTTGTAACTACTACGCATACGTACGTCTCTCCTCTTCGTTATATGAAGGTACTATCACAGACAGATCGATCGAACCTTCTTCTTCCATGAAAGGAAACGGATATGTTGCATTGTTTTTGTTTGGATCTTTGTAATACTTTTCGCTCTCGAATCTAGAAAACATTGCCACAGGATTCCAAGTAGTCAAGCGAACACCAATGAGAATCTGCAAAAAGATCAAATTTTATAAAAAAAAAAAATAAGATTGCGCCCCTGGGGAAATAGATTTTTTCTTGCTATGAAGTTTAAGTCTCATCAAAGCTACTCACCGATACTAAGATTACTGGAATTAAAAGAAGCAAAGCGTAGAAAAGAGTCGTCAAAGATAAACCGTGGAAAACAGAAATTACATCCATGCTGATATCGATAGAGAAGAAGAAAGGATCATGTCGTCACTTAGTAGCCGAGCCACATGTTGGGTCGAGAAAAGACTGAGCATAAGCACTTTCAGTTGTTCATGTAAGAACCCGCCAACCGTCTCTTTAACTCTCATTTCAACCAGGCCGCTGAGCGCCCTGCAAGTACCCCGTGGATGCCCCAGGCTGCGGAAATATTTTTCCGCACCTTAAATTTGAAGGACCGCAAACGAATATATATGCTGCAGAACGTAGGATATATAGAAAGACAGCAAAAATATACAAAGGATGAGAAGTATATGAAATAACTCATTTACTGCGATGATCATTCTTCACCTTCAAAAATATACAAACTAGACACATTGAATTATGCAAGGCTGATCGTAATACGAGAAAAAGTTTTATCTCCGGGCTAGAGGTGATTAAACCTACACCTACAGAAATAGCATTAAGACTGAGTCTTGGCCTCGAACCCTTTGAAACATGAGGAAAACTAAGTCGCCTCCGCGTAGTAAATTATTCACGGACTCAATGATTTCACAAACACGGAAAAGTCATGCGCATAAATTCAGGACTCCCTTTAACTCTAAGTACTCTAAGTAAAATGTTCCAAATACGTTTTTTCTAGATCCAAGATTTCCAATATTTAAAGCTCAAGATTAGGAATTTTAAGGCAACTCGAGCACGATAAAGAACTAAAACTACGCTTATCAGATGGGGTGCAAGAAATAACAAAAAAAGATTACGGGATTGCAAAAACTTTGGGCGGAGCACTTAGTCCCCAGGGCTCTCCCCCCTTGGGCGGAGCACTTAGTCCCCAGGGCTAAAGAAAATAAAAATATACTTACCTTGGTACTTACCCTTTTTTACCTACCTTGCCTCTTTGTTTTTTTCTGTTGGATAGTATGTCTGTTATCTTATTTCTATTACTTTTTTGTTGTAACACTCTTGGTTTTTTTATGTTATAATGTTTCCTCTTTTTTCTTTTCTTTGTTGTTGGTTTACGCTGAGGATTTTAGCTCTGGATAAGGTTTCGTTTTATGTACGAAACCGAACTTTCTTTACTGAATTCCAAAGCGTAAACTTCTTTTAGATTCTGATATTTTTTTTTCTGCCGACTGAAGAGGTTAAATTTAAAACTAATCAGAAGGTGCAATCGTCTTGGTGTATATACCAAACCAGAATTTTCAGAGAGACCAAAAAATTCACATCAAAATTAATGGAAAGATAGATGCAACATGAAAAGAAACATAGCTTAATGGCTGAGCCTTGAGAACTTATCAAGAATAATGACCGAGCGCGTAGTTTTCCATAGTTTTAGAACAATCATGCAGGTTATTATTATGGTCACTAAACTGAAACAGTAGGTTATTATTTCTAATAATGATCCTCTGTTTCACCTCAACGACCTGTTCTCAAGATTTATCTAAAATAATAACCTTTTGAAAACAATGGAAAATTGCATGTGTTGTGCAAAAAATGAACTTACCATAGGTTTGGTATATACTGAATAAATGACTGACACACAAATGAGTTGACTGCATATCCTTGTTAAGGACCGTGGCAGTACTTTTATTGTTATTTTGAAGACTTTCTTGCAAGGCAAATTGTTCCTCTTTTCTTTATGGTCAGGCAGTACCTGTTAAAAAATGGAAAGCGTTATTTGTCGTTGTAAATACTACTGTACTGACGTGTTAAGAATTGCTCTCCGAATTAACCTTATTTTCTTGTTTAACTGGTCTCTCGTTACCTTCAGTTTTATTCACACCTGTCTTGCCCCTCTGTCGACTATTATCTAATGTCAACCTGAACCGTCGGGGGAAGCATTGTAATTCTCTCCCGGTCCAAGCTAAGCACTCTCGGCCAAAATTGCCAACAGTTGCTTTGTTGGCATCGCGTCTCATGTCCGGAATAAACGCATAATTTACCTTCAAATCGTACATTTATTAATAAGGCCGCGGTTAATCAAATATAAAAGCATATGGTCTGAGTCAGAGTAATGAATTTTAACTTTATTTTATGAGTGTTGTCTTACAGAAGTTAACACTTCTTTAATCAAATCGAAAAATGTTAACTACATAACAATCGCAACTCGACGTAAACCTGGGGGGAGAGCCCTGGGGACCAAGTGCTCCGCCCAAGGGGGGAGAGCCCTGGGGACCAAGTGCTCCGCCCAAGGGGAGAGAGCCGAACTTCTTTTTTAAACTGATAGTTTTCGGGGAAGACTCAGAAAAAGTTAAATGTTATACTAAATGGAAGATGCATTTTTAGTGTGTGTATACCAAAATAATGTTTTTTGAAAGATTTATAAAATAGAATTTGAATATTTAGGGCTTTTAAAAAATAATGCCCGAGGGCGCCTTCACCTTTTCGTAGTTTTAAAATCAGCAAGCAGTTACTTTGGCCAAGCTCTGACTTGGAAGCTATTTAGAACAGTAGGTTATTATTCGTAATAATGACCTTCTGTTCCTCTTTATTGACCTGTTCTAATATTTATCTAACATAATAACTAGTTCAAAACAAAGAAAATGTGAATTAAGTCCCAATTAACTGACTCTTATGCAAAAAAGGAACTTACCACCGGTGTGGTATATACTGAAATAATCAACGCGACAACTGAGTTGGCTGCCCTGATATCCCTGTTAAGGACGGTGGCAGGACATTTTATTGTTATTTTCAAGGCTTTCTTGCTGGTGAATTATTTTGCTCTTCACAATGGTTTGGCATGCCTGTTAAAATGAATGGAAAGAGTCATTCGTCATTTTAACTACTTCCTTGTTTTGCGACAAAAGCATTGCACTGAAACCCCATTTACACGCACTAAAAAAATCGGCTCGGCACGCCAAATTTTTGGCACCGTGCCTGGTTTACCCGGGAGGCAGTCTCGGCACCCCTAAAATTTTTAGCTCTGGTGCCATATTACATCTGGGACCGAAGTACACGTCGAAATTGGGAGTGCCGTGCCCGATTTTTTAGCGCGTGTAAATAATGAGGTTTAAATGTACATTTTTGCCTCGAGTTTAACTGGTTTGGTGTTTGTTATTCACAACTGTTCTGCCCCTCTGTCTAGTCTTTTATTGCAGGCTGATCCTTCATGAAGAAGTGTCCGCAGTATTCCCCTCTTATATCTAAAAGTATGTGAGCAGTCGCACGCCAAAGTTTGTGAACATGTTGTCGAATTAACGTCCCTTCGTAATCACTTTTATATGACGAAAAATGATTTTCTTGAATTACATGTAAATCATGATTTACAACAGCAAATGCAGAGACTATCACACAAACAATCAGCTGAATAATGAACATGGGCCCGAGAGAATCAAGCAATAATCATGGACTACTCAGGCATGAATTAGACTCCCTATGTATAGTCATTTTGATAGCAATAAGCCCATTATTTGAAGCATCATAGCAATCCGGCACCAAACGAACTGTAACATTGAACCCCGCTCTGTTTTGGGTTCTTTCGGTGTCGTGTTGGAAATGTCATGTCTTGCAAAGTTAATTTTCACATAGTAGGTTCAGCTTTGCAGAATTCAATGTGTCTACTTGTATTTGAACCCCAAAATGAGACTTAGCCTGCGAAAACATCCGTTTCTCCTCGCTCTTCGCCGCTGGGGACGTTTCAGAAACGGATGTTTTCGCAGGCTACATGAGACTAGTCTGACGGGTGGTCAAGATTTATTAATGGATCTCTAAAATATGTCATTCAAATATAAAAAGGCAGATAATGTAAAGAAGTCGTCATTTATTGCTTTCTCTTCATTTCCTCACCACAACCTAACTTGTGTCACAGATCGTCTGAAAATCCGGCTGTAATCCAGGTTGTCGCAAAGTGATTCCAGGAGCACATTATGAAAAGAAAAAATAACTGCAATTTGGCGATCGCTTCAAATATAAAATTGACAACGTAACCAGAGTATCAGGCCCTCGTTAGAGACTAGGCGGGGGCGGGGGAGGGGAAATTTCAAACGACGAAGCGGAGAAGGGTGTTTCTCTTTGATACCGTTCTTGCCTCTCCTTTCTCCTTCACCTCCCGTCCCCCTTCCTTTAAAGAAACGCCTTATAATCAGAGCTAATCACGCCGGCGCAAATTAGCCAACCAAAGAAAGCTCATTGATTGTGTTTTTTTGGATAGTGTGTTGCTTGGCAACCTTGTGCTGGTAGCTAAGGCTTGGGTCGACTATCTTCGTTTGCCTGCGAGCAGACCCGAGCAGGCTGCCCTTCGTCTGCTTCGTGCAAGGATTTCACTTTTTCTGGAAGGCTGCCTTTCGTTACTTCAGCGGATTCGCACCTCAGAAATGTGTCGATATCTACGCTGCATTTCTTAAGTTAGCCATATGAATAACTTTGTTTCTATTTACATGATGCATTAGTCAATTTTTTTTCTTAAAATCCGTCGCAGTTACGTCATTGGACGTGAAAGTCAAAACAAATCGCCGAGGACCCGTAATAACACTGATGCATTCTGTTTTGTTATCGGTTTAAAGTCTAATTTAAACATTGACGGTTGAGGTTCTGTCAAATCAGAGATATCTGGTTAAGTGTGTGAACTATTTAAACTATTGTGCTTCTTCAAACAAAAGTTACTGAGCTATTTACCCGACATGATATATGCTATCTTATGCATGCGGGGTTTTAAATGACAAAAGTTACTTACTGCGATAAATTCAACAAGCGAAAAATTGCAGCTGTTTGTTACGCTTCGAGGAGCCTAATCAAAATTGGCTTTGCCGCTTTTTCCGCAAGAGAGATGGCTGCTACAGCCAGTGGTTCCTCTATACAAGAGGCACAAGAAGGTACATTAACTCGATCAAGTTTGCGCAACAACACAAGTGCCTTTGCCGGCCGACTTGCAAGTGTTTAGCCAGGTACCTGCTGGCTCTCGGTTGGCTAAATTTTCACTAATTGTTGAGGTTTTAAGACGAATTGTGTTGGTCTTCTAACGTTTGAATGGATTGAAAAGGCACCTCATTTAATTATTCCTCGACGGGAGATTGGAGTCGAAGAGAACTCGGAGCGTTTACTGAGGAGTTTAGAATAGAAAGCGCACCGTGTGAAAATCGTGGCGACCAAACTCGGCTTAACGATGCAAAGTAAATACTAAGAACGTGGTGTAAGTGTAATGTATATAGGAAAACGAGCGCGCTTCGATCGAAGGTTTATAAACCTTGATTTGGAAGGTTAAAGTGTCTCTAGCAGAACGTTTAACCTTGCTATCAAGACAAGAACTCATTTAACTGAAACCTTAAGAGACTTGTTTGTTTGTCTTAGTGGCCAAGTGAAGCCGTCCGGCTGGAGGATGCCGATTTCATCTTTTCATGGACTGAGAAAAAACTCAATTCCTACAAAACCATGGAACAGCACAAGAAGTTCCCCTCAGAGGAGCAGTCCCACAGAAACAAGAAAACGGTCAATCTTTGGTGTGCCGCAGTTGTGGACTTCAAATGAATTTCAGGACGCGTTTGAAGATGACCAGGATATTGAAAGATATTACAACAAGTGTAGTGGTTCGCCAGTTGTTAATCATACGCCGAAAAGCCGTGGAAAAACATTAAGAAAACCCTCGTTAAATTCTCAACCAAATAGCGCCCGTATAAAGAGAGTAGGTCTGAAAAGACGCGAAACGTTTCCAAAGTTTTCGGGGGAGTGTTCGCGTCGCAGTGAAGCAGCAAAAGTTTTGAGAAGAAGTCAAACAGATCCGACAATTTTTCCTGCTGATAAAAAACCCAGAAAAGACAGCTATAAACCTCTAAAAAGGCCGTCATTGTTGTGGACTGTCAGCAAGAAAGAAGAAAATTCTTCAGCCAAATTTCGCAGACGAAAAGTAAGTTTATACTCATTCACGACCAGTCACTATACATACGATATATTCAAGTATAACTTGTACACTACACGAGATTTTTACGTGATTTATTAAAGCCGGTCATCCAAGACCCCAATCTCTCAACTTGCAAACTGGCAGCATCCGGACTATTTAATTTTTTCCATGGTTTTGAATTTCTAAATTTAATCCCAAAACTCGTAAACATAGCGATAAAAATACCGGCTTAATGTGGCATAAACACTAATATTATTGATTGAGATGATGAAACCGCTTTGCTTTGTCAAATTGTTTTGATTTCAGGTTGCTACTGATTCTGATTGTTGTAACGCGTAAGAAAGGATTCAGAATTTGGACTTACTATCTGCTGAAAAAGACTGAAATCATGTATTACTAACCCGAAATAAATAGAGGGACTAAATTACAAAAGGTCGATTCTCAGACATCAATTGAAGAACCAAAGAATTATTTATAACCACACAATCCTTTCAGCGGAAGATGTAAAACAATATATATGGACAACACATGTGGAATTTCTTTTGTGAGCCAATCGCTGGTTCACGAGAAATAATGGAACCTGAGAACAACAAAAAGTTTGTCCTAGGGATAATGGAATAGTGTTCTTTTTTGGTGTTGGTTGGGGGGCGGGGTTGAATCCATAATATAGAATAACGAAATAACGTTTTCATTGCTCGAATATTGAGTAGATTTATCCAATGCAATAATAACTTTTTGTCTTTACAAAAAAAACAACATTTCCAAATTCCAATTCGATCCGGAATGCTCGAGCGTTTAATACAGGAGCCTCGGGCTCTGGAGATTGGGCAACCACTCCTCACGCTATCGAGCTTAAATAAAATTGATTTAATTTAATTTAATCTGAATCAAGAGAGAATGGAATAACGAAACATTTCCCGCTAAAATAATGAACTTATAAAAATCCTATTATAGCTCTTCACTCCCTGCTAAGTTTATGTCGGATTTATTCAGCAAGTCGTGATGTTTGTTGTCAAATGTTTTACTGGCCTATTGTAGCTACTGAGAAAGAAGGGCTACGCTAGATCTAAAAGAGTGCCCTTTTAATGCTATATTTTTCAATGTGACCTTAGGAGTTCCACCGGACTGTAAGGTCTTTCGACAAAATAGGGAAAATGTGAACAAAATCTCATAATTTTCATTGCAGGTGCGTACAGTTACGTGTGAGATTTTATTAAAGAAGCTAGGAGAAGCAAAACCGTTACAAAAGGCGCTGCTTTTGATTAGACTCGTTACCAAATGAGAAAAAGTTGGAAGAATTTTTCAGTTCCACGAATCAGACAACGAAAAAAAGGGAAACTATTTAATTAAAGAACTTTTCTAATGCATTATGATGCTTTTTAGCACGTGACCATCCAGTACTAAATAATAAGGCAAAACTCATGCTTTTTTGACGATGTTCAATTACTGAATAAAAAAACTTCCGCCCTGGACTTTTATTAATTGAAATTACAAATTGACACTGGCTTAGGGTAACTGCCAGTTATTTCTGACTAGTGTTTCCCACGCAGGCCTGCCGGATCACAACATGAATCTTAGTCAAACTCTAATGTATGGTCCACATTGCTCAAATCATTTGCAAGGTTCTCCTCAGTGCGAGTCTCACTTTTAATATTTTTCAGTTCGCTGCCTTTTTGCATTAAATCAAGCTCTCCTGTTGACATTTTTAAAGACATATTTTTTAAATAGTGTGTCTCCCGGGTTTTACTCCTGTCTGTTTGACTGATTCGTGCTCAATCAGCTCATTCTGGTATCTCTTCTTCAGCTCAAGTTCATGTCAATGTTGTTGTTGAGTGTTAGTTGATGAAGCTACCGTACATAAATTACTAAAGGGGCTAAAGGGGCCGGGAGCCACGCGCGCGGTAGCCTGAGATCATGCTCTCTTCTTGTTATTCCCAAGGAAAAAAATGCCTGATCGCGCTTACGACGGACGAAAGTTCAGGGACGCAAATGGCCTTAAAACCTCTAATAACCCAAGCTAAGAGCAGGCTCCTGGCTAGACTATAAAAATCTAGCACATGGCCCCGAGGCTTTCTGGTTCAGTATATTTCCAGGCTATATTTTTGTGAGGTTTTCTGTACTTGGTATTACGAGACAAAGAAATAGTGAAGTATTGGCAATTTTGTCAGAGCCGTTGCCAGAAAAAAATTATGACCGAGGCAGTGCCCATGGTTACATTCTTTTCCCATGTATTTAGGGTTTCACGCGCGCGTAATGACTGAGGCAAGTGCCACGGTTTGTCTCATACTGGCTACGGCCGTCAAGCCACGGAGCCTGCCTGTGTACAGTCGCTCTGTCGCCTAAAAAAATTGGTGGATACGCGCTACCTCGCCCGGGTTATGTAAGAGCTGTTTAGTATGGTATGTAGGTGGCCCGACTTGCGCGCACGTGGTTTACTGAAACCAGCAGAACAAGGATCGATCTTTTCCTGTAAAAATCATATTTTTCGAAAATACACTGTATAAGGTCTATAATTGGCTCTGCCGATAGTTGGAACATTTTACAAATGGCAGGAAATGGATATTTTATTGCTGTTAAATTTCACCTTGAGGATAGGTTATAAAACCGAGTGAAGAATGAGAGACCATGATCAAAGGCTATCATCAAGTTATACTTAAAATGTTAAGACGGGAAACAGATCCTGACGGCAATGCGATTAATATCAAAGTCTGAAGCAGTTTGTCAACTTAAATTTTATATATTAGTTGTTATTGTACTGATCCAGGTCTACAACTGTGAGATCCGGCACCACGCAACAGTTCGTCGTTGTCAGTGGGCTTGCTGCTATTTAATGTTATAAACAGCGATTAACTCTACATTTATAACAAGGAAGTTTTTTTCACAAAAATAAAAGCTATTTGCCATCAGTCTCGTCCCCAGGACGAGGCGGCGGTAAATGAGCCCGCCTGATAAACTCAGCTTGTAATCGATGTGATCAAATGACTTGAGGCATTTGAGCGTGACAGCACTGAGCAATATCACGAAGGTAAACAACATTGCTGCAAGAAAGTTACTACTGTTTTAGAGGGAGGCAATTTATTTAGGATTCAGGTGGGATAACTGTTTAGTTGATTTTTGAATTCTGCTCCTTTGCGAGGACATTGTGAGTATGGTTTAATGTTGAGCTTATTTCGTGCATGAAGCGAGAGACTCGCGAGAAGCTCGTGTCATATTTTTTTCAGCTTTGCGTGTTATTAAAATGATAGTTGTGGAGAACATTTGAGAGATAGTGAGCTTATTATGAAGTAACAAGTTTACAATATCATCCATTAGTTTTCAAGAGAAGATTGCTCGGCAGGGATCCTGGTTCTTTCAATAATAATCTTCCGGTGTTGTAAGTCGTTTTGAGCAACCTTCCGATAGTGCGATGAACCGTAAACTATCCTGACAATGAAGTTTAGTTTTAATAGTCGTGTGTTGTTATGAATGTACCTGCGTTAACATTTTCAAGAATGTATACGTTCAGAAAAGTATTAACATATAAAGCCTACTGTGAAAAACAATGACAGTTTGAGTAATATACTACGAAATATTAGCGCGATCATAGATGCCACCGCGATGTTCAATTTCATGGTAATTTGTCGCCTTCGCTCGAGCTTGCAAGCTATCGAAGTTACATCATCCTAAGTAATGGCCTAGAAGCGAATAATTTCAAGTAAAAGGACGTTTTACGTTTGATAAAACTTGCGCTCTGTAAGTCGTGTTTCGTCCGGCCCAATGGCGCGCAATTTTCGTGAACTTCAGAGGAAACCGTGAATTTGGCAATTTGAAGCGTCCACGTCGTTGTTAAAGTTATTTCTTAATACCTTTAACTTGTCGTGTAAATTTAGTTTAGTATTTGCCTGGTAAGTGTCTGTTTAGACTTTAAATAAAAATTTTATTGTTTTTCGCGCGCCTGAATAAACGTTACGCAGCAAAATTCGATGTTGCTATAGCGAGAAGGTCCATGTTGACTTATGAAAGTCATGTTTATTCCGCATTCACCGTAGGTTTCAATTTTCATTCAATTTCTAATATATTATAAATTATGAAGGATTAGTATTTGGGTACTAACTTATCTTTGTAATCTCATTTTTATAGATCAACAAAAGCCATTCTCCGCCGTCTTCCAGTTCCCCTGACGGAAGTGTAGATAGCAGTTTCTCAAGAAAACGACCGAGGCAGGGCGATAAAGTCGTTTGCATTTTGAATAAAACACCACAGCTCGGGATTTTAAAGTACATAGGCACGACTCATTTTGCAGATGGCGAATGGTGTGGCATTTTATTAGACGAACCCTGTGGGAAAAACGACGGATCTGTTCGTGGAGTTCGATATTTTCGTTGTAGAAACAAGTACGGAATATTTGTCCATTCGCACAAGGTAAAACGCGCCGATGAAACAACTCTTTCAAGGTTAAATTTGTTGGATGGATTTTCTAGTCCCGCATCAACAGAAAAACCGGATGAAAAAGGTCTAGATACCACTATATCTAGGATGTCTTCAAGCAATGTGGATAAAATCAGTGGCGGAAACAATATTTATAATCACCCCGACGTGAAATCTTTGAGGTTAACCAAGAAAAATCGGTCAGTTTCTTTGGATAGAATTCTATTCCAGAAAACCAAACAGCTGGCGAAAAGTTTGAATATTTTTATACAGAATGCTACCGATAAGGGTGATAAGAACAGCTGGGATCCAAATCGAATTAACCGTTCTGTTTCATTGCCTAAAATCACCAAGAATGGCCACTACAGTTCTACCGACGATTGCTTGGCAGGCGAAATGGCCCCTTTAGCAAAAGGTGAAAATATCGTTAAGGAAGAACGAAGCACTGCCAATGGAGAGCAGAAAGGTTTTAATAGAACCACCAACAGTACTTTTGATTCTGGCTGTGAAAAAGAAGATCTAAACGGTTCAAGAAAACCTAGTGAGTGTCAGGATGGTTCAAAACATTGTAATTCTAGCAGGAGCCAAAATGTTCCCAGAAGCGTGACTGCTGTGCCCAAAGTGGGTCATGCTGTTTCTTTGGACACCCATTTGTTGATGGAAAATGGACAGTTCACTTACACAGCAACTGACGCCAATGATGAATTAAGCTGTCAGTCACATTTTGGAAACAAGGATGATCCATTTTTACAAGGACGGCATTGTAGCTGCCCCAGTCTTCATAGTGATGACCATTTTTCTGAAGCTATAAAAACATGCCTAAGCCTGGGACGAGCAGAAAGGCCAGTCATTCATGAAACAAATGGAGAAACTGAAGCTACATTAGAAACTGCACAAGTTTCTGGTTTCTCTTTTAATCATGGAGTTCAACCACATTCCCAGTCTGAAGCTCTGGAAAAATTATTTCAGAAAACTGAAATCGGTAGGAGTAAATCTTCCAGTTCAAGAGATGCTGACCTGGGAAGGAAAGGTAGCTGGCCATGGCTGACTTCAACTCCTAAAAGCTCACTCAGAAGTTATGGTAGCAGTGACGATATTAATAGTGGAGACATGACTGGCAATGATAATGTTTTGGATGAAGGTTATAGACCAATACTGGCACATGCAAAACTAATATCAAGTCATTTAGCTGATAAGAGCTTTCGATTAGAGAAATCTGGCACCTTTTCAGGAACTGGTGATATCGTTGTAGAGAGTAAAGAAGCAGGGCCCGTGTCTTCTGGGAAAGACAGTGTTGATTCAAGTTATGCCAACAGCCCCTCCGGGTCTCAAGGTTCACTTTCATCTACGGGAACAAGTGATAGTAAAGGAAAGAAAATACCTGCAAAGAATAGAATTCCTATTAATTCTGCAAAAATTCCTGGTTCAAAACCAAGTGGCATACATGCACCAAAATCAATACCAAAGCAATCTAAATTAGAGCAAATTCGACAACAGCAACATAATCGTAAGAGTGCTTTACCATCAGCAGTCAAAAAAACACAGCTGGCAGATCAGACTACTGCCAATCCAGGAAAGAAAACTGACAGTAAAATGACAAAAAGACACACACTGGCCACAGTACAAGGTGTGAAAACATCTGTACCTCGGCCATCTGTGTGCAAGAGACCTGTTAGTGATGGAGTGGCAAGTTTAGTTGGGAATTCAGACAAAGAACTTGACACTATGTCAAAACTGCCGGTCAAGAAAATGTCAATGCCTCAGTTTTCAAAGCCATCAACTGCGCTTCATGATGAGAAGAATTCCAAAGCTACTACCTTGATTCACAAGAGACATAGTGTTGCTACAAGTCGACCCCCTACAGCACCTCTTGCAAAAGGAAACTCCTCTGTGGCAAGATCCAATTCCAAAACCCGAAAGCCGAGTGACGTTAATGTTGTTCAGAAGTCTGAAAGCAATGATCAAGGATCAGGTGTTGTTAGACAAAAGGTAACAGGTGCACAGCAGACACCTTCAGCATCTGCGGGTCTGAAGGGTGTGGCAGCATCTGGTCCCAAGTCTCAAACATCACATGCTATCCAGTCAAGCAACCTCCCTAAAGGTAACTTATGAGAGGGCTCTTTCTGAACTGGTCATAGATATCTGTCTGTTAGTAAGTTTAATTTTTTCACCTGTCGTCCCTACCAAATTCTCGTCACTAATCTCTATGCATTTATTTTACAGAATTAGTCGGGAAAATTTGATGACAGAGTAGAGCATTTTTTCTTGTGGTGATCATTTTACTAATTCTCAGAAACCTCTTCTCTTGATTACCAAAAAGTGTACCAATTGATACGTTAGAAGAAAATTGGTGTTTGTCCCTCTTGGGGCTTAAAAGGTTAAAACAATATGATTTGTTTGCAAACAGACAGGTCTTGTTGGCTGGTTCTGGCATACATAATAATGAACATGAAAAGTGACCAGTTAGGTCACAGTTTGCATGCACATGAATCAAGTGTGTTTTAAGTGACTTAGAAATGTTACAATTTAATCACTGGATTGGTTCAGTTTCTATCCTTGTTTTAAGTGTCCAGGGTGCAAAGAAAATCATTTTTACAGCTAGCCATTCTGGCAAGCTGAAGCTAGCATTTACTAGCTCAGACTTCATTTCAGCTAGCCCCAAATACTTTTTGACTAGCAGACTTGATTTCACAGATCTTCTGTTATTCGAATTCCTCAAAAAACATTACTTGCCCATTGGGCAAGTTAGAAACAGAATTCACTGGCTGGATAGCAAAATCCATCAGCCCAGGGCTATCGAACACTACTTTCTTTGTACGCTGAGTGTCATTTGCCTTTGTTTTGTAATATATTATGATAATAAGTTTGCAACAAAGGAAAACTGATAAGGATAAAATTTAACCAAAAAATAACAGGAAATGGTTATCTCCTGCCAGCCTGGTAACCGTAGCAATAGGGATCAGCTTATGACACACATGAATACTGGTAACAGCAAATAATATCCCTTAAATTATTCCAGGATTAAGGAGATTTTAAAAGAGTTAGACATGAGTAAGATGGTCTAAAGACTTAGTTTGTTATTTCCTCTTTAGCCTTTGTTAATGAAATGTGCTTGTTTTTCTCAGCTCACCCGTACTATGAAGTTTTCCATCTATTTATTTATAGCAAATTGCTCATAAATCCCTTTTATTTATAAGCTTTGACGCTTATTTACACGCAACTATTTTTATGCAGTTTCTGTTTGCAAAAAGGGTTACCTGTGATTGTTAAAAAATTGATTTTGAAGCTATATAAGCAAACTTTAAGCCCTTAACTTTTTGCCAAAAATGAAAGGTTGATTGCAATTTTCAAGTAGAAGTGTGAAAAATTGATGAACAAACATACTGTACTTTTGTTACACAAAAACTATACTAAGATGTCTATTCTTTAGATGTTAATAGATATTGTTTCAAAATGCTGACAGAAAAAACAAAAATATCATGACCACAATGACCAAAAAATGAAATTATTTTATTCTATACCATGGCTGGAATTGTTTTTAGTTGGCTCTTTGTTCACAAAATTTTGTGTTCAGGGTGATTTATGACATCTTATGTCAACTTTAAAATTAATAAAAGTGCCAAGTTGCCCATGCCAAAAACATTGTGTCCATAATATTAAAAGCATCATAAGCATTTGAAAGAATTCCAAAATGTAGAGAAATACCCGGTAAATTATATCACATGACATAGGAATTCTTTCTGTATTTACCAGTTTCATTTCTCCTACATAACATGTATTGTCTTGTAAAAAAATCATTGGTACTATTTCCAAAATGTATTACAAATTTGCAAATTATATAGAGAAGTCACTTGAAGAGAAATTTATAAGCTAATGTAGCAACAATGTCTCTTAAATATGGTTTACCATATACATGCAAAGCATACTTTTGTTACAGTAAACTTCTGTGTAATATTTGAAGTTTGAATGGAGATAGCAATATAATGCCTCTCAATTTGAAGAGAGTTTTTGTCACGTGAAATTGACTATTAAAATTTTAATTTATTTGGGCTGAAAATGCTACTTTGTTAGTTTATTCAGATATCTTTGCTTTCAAATCCTCCCTGATTAATGTATGTCCAAAAATAGGTCATTCTTCTTAGTAAGGCCTTTGTCAGCGGAGATTCAATTGACCAAAGATGTGTTAATATAAGGGTTATTTTAAAATTGATAAACATGGTAATGAAAGCTCTGTTTTAATCCATGCTTTGGTGGTTTAGCGAGACTTCCAATGTAAAAGTATGATATGTTGTATTTGGGCACAGAAGTCTCACATCCACTATTACTAGTCACTTACTTTGAACATTTTGCTTGGATCATACCACTTATAGAAATATTATCTGCCAAATTAAGCCAAGTCTTAAAAACAGAAGTACCTATTGGTCAATAATGCTGTAGCACAGCTGGTAAATTTGTAAATTTTAACTACAGATATTACTACAGGCAGTCTTTACAATTTCTTTAAATGTTTTATTTATAAGTGGTTTTAATTTCATCCATAATTGATGTTTTTCTAGTATATAAGCTTTGAAAATAATTTACTTTAAGCTTTTGTTCTTCCATGGAAAGAGTTATAAACTATAATTGTGATTTCTCTACTTTTTCTGTGATGAATTAAGTGGGACATGAAAGATCCAGGTTGTTGTCGTTTTCTGCTTCGATATTTTTGCGAAAGGAAAGAAGCAAAGTCTGAGACAAGTAAAGTTTACAATGAGCTGGATGATACAGTGTCAGGTAACAAATTGAATCTCTGGATGAATGCTAGTGAAGTGTTAAACAAGTTCTTAAATTTGTATTACCGGTACTCATGGTAAATGGGTTGATTTGGTAATAATATTTTTGCTTCATAATAAGTTTAATGATTGTTTCTCTGTATTATAGAGAATTATGATTTCAAGATTGTTTAATGCAAAACATTAAAGATAGCTTTGTGTGAAAAATTATCTAAAAAATTATGCTTGATGGTTGTCGCATGTCAGCTAATAAAAAGACACTAGTGATGTTTAAGAGTTTTTATTTATCTCCTACAGCCTTAAAAAATATTATAGAAAAGTGAAGAAAAGTGAGTTGTTTAAGGTGGCAATATTGTTTGTTTAATGAAGCAATTTCTTTGACCACCTACCATATAAAAACATTATTGAATCTTCTTAGTTTTGAAATATTTTGGTCAACACATTTAAGTTAGTATGGTGTTAGTTGGTGCATGAGTCCATTGTTGTTTACACAGAATTTTTCATTCCAGTCTTTATAATGTTTTCATTGTGTTTTTTTGTGGGGGAAGGGGAGGGTAGTGCTTGAAAAGTTTAAAAATCCGTTGAGATGAGTGAAAATCTTAGTAGCAACTGCTAGAAACACTCTACCAACTTATGTGCTGCTGGATATGTTAGCTGGAAAAAGTAAATAACAGAGGCTATCATTTTGAAGCTGAATTATTAATTACATACAGTAGTTAAAACTGAATTTGGGTGATGTAAAGTTTTCTGTAAAGTAGTCTTGTGTTTGCAGTCTCAGAGGTAGATTTCATAATAACCTTTCCAGCATGGTATTTCGTTCAGAAGAACACATAACTACAGTATTTTACCCAAATTTATTTATGAAATGTAAATTTGAAAAAATTGTTTGGCTGGGAAGTGGAAATAAATAAACACATGTAAAGATTTTGTGCCATGCAGACACTTTGTTGAGGAAGATTTAGTCAGTCTGTCATCCAGTGAATACAGGCCTAATAATATCTCTAGTTAGTATAACAATATATAGACATGAATTACTTAATGTGACTGTTACTTCACTGATGCTAAATGTTCTTTCATGCTCCGCAATGCAAAACATCGAAAGTGCATTCTTTATCTTTTAATGCTATGAATGATGACCATGAGAATTGTCACATAAATGTCGTGGTTAGGATTAAAATAATCAGATTTAACGAATTGCCAAAAAAATGCTATGCCAAACAAACTAGAGTAACATGACTTAAATGTTAAATTTTTCAGCCAAAGGACCCCTTGCAAAAGAAGCCAAAAGCCGACCTGCACCTATTTCCTCTAACAAAAAACCTGCATCACAAACAGGGAAACAAAAACAGCCTCCTTCAAGTCAAAGACCAGGATCCTCAAAATTGCCCAGAAAACTGTCTGCAGCACCCAGCAATGCTAGTGACAGTGCATCTGTAACAAGCAGCATTAAAGACCAGGATAACTTAGATGATCTACATGATGCTGATATTGACACTGTGTCGGTAAGCACTGACACATCAGATCGTGATACAAGGTTGCCATCTTATGGACATTTCCAGCAAGATGAAGCGGATGGAAAAGTTGAATCTCCTATTGAAGTACCTAGCTGTAGGATAATGCCGCCTGATATCCTCAGTGAGACACCTTATCTAAGCAAGCATTCCATCGGCATTCAGGTTGAAGATGATAGCGACTCGAAGACTATCCAAGCTCTCAAAGAAAAAGGACGACATCTTCATGAGCTGGTAAAACAGAGGACAGAGCTTTGTTGGCAGCTTCAAGATCAAATTGATGAGGATAGCCTTGATTTTGTTTCAGCTTCTGTCATGATTCTTTCTGTTGTTCATAAGGTAAGAGGGAATGTTTTACTAATATCAATGTCATAGTCACCAACATTAAAAATAAAAATGGATATGCTCATCTTATATCTGACATGATATTAATTTTTTCTTCTGTGAAAACTCAGTTACAGTGGAGTCAAAGGTGTTCAGACCAACTGCAAAGGAAAATACAGTCCACCATGGAGGAGCTAAGTGTTATTCAAGAAAAACTTGGTAAGCTTAGCTTTATTTTGTTAAATACCAATGAAATATGCAGATTACCATGTAAAAGTGCTTTTGACAAGGTTTCACTACAAATGGTCCCATCCTTGGGATTTGGTCCACAGACTTAAACGTTGGAACTGCTATCTAAATAAAATAATTATCAAATAGTACCATGCAGTAAAACTGCCGAGGAGGATTTTGTCTAGGGTGATTCTCTAATGATCCTGCAGGTCACTCACTGTTAATCACTCCCTTCCTTATCTAATGGACAACAATAGCCAAAACATTATACCAGTTCTCTCTATTGTGGTTAAATTGTATCCTTGGTTTGAATTTTATTTTCCTTTGTCTGAAACCTTTTATCATACATAATGGTAAACCAAAAACAAAAGAAAAAATAAGCCAAGGGTAAAATTGAACTACATCATCTCCCCATTAGCTTTAAAGAGTTGAAAAGGTTCATGTTTTTGTCTATACAGCTGAAGAGGAGGCTAACAGTGTTAAGCTACAAGAGGAGATGATGTATCAGAGCAGTGAGCATGCTGTTGCTATAGAAACACTTAAGGCTGATTATGAAAATGTGTTGGAAAGGACAAGCAATGAACTAAAGATGAAACATGAGGGAGAAATTGCATTAGGTAAGACATTGGATTTGGGATTTATCTTAAAAGTTATCAATGGAGCTGAAATTAAGGAATAACAACCTTGTTCTTATGTGAGCAACCATCCGTAAACGACCACCTACTGAGGATGTGCAGATTGGTAGTTTTTTAAGGGAGGTGGTTGTGTACCTGAGGTTCCTATGTTTACCTTGTAAGTCCACATACAAATTGTCCAGATTGATCTCTGTCCATTTACTTGAAAAAGTACTCGAGAGAGTTTGTTTAAAGATCAAGGCAATTTCCTTTGGGGATCATTTCATCAATTATTGTAACCCCTCTATGTGATGTAATGTATCGATGTATCGATATTGTTAGGAGAAAATTGATGTTGTTTACTTAAGGTTCTTTGAGTGGGAAAATATTTTGGGTATTTTGAAACTGAGTAATCAGTTACTTATGAGAGGTGCTCACTGCACATAAAGGTTTGACTGGTATTATTGTTCCAATTATTGATGTATTGGTCAATTTAAAACTCGATTAGTGCTAGTATAGAGTGCTGAGGGAATTGAATGACTACACTCAGGCCTCTCTTTTTGATCATTCCCATAATCAATGTCAGCACCTTTGAATTATGGACAGTTCGCAGTGTTGAGGTCCAAAAGGTACTAATCTTTGTGCGATGTCTAAATCTATAACACTGATAATCTGCCGGTATTGTTTTGGTTTAGCTATTGAAACACACAAGGCACAAGTTCATGAAATGAGACAGCATCATGAGAAAGAGGTATTATGTTTATTATTATGGTTATTTGTTATTACAAAACAAACTAAAAATAAATTTTATCGCATAAAATGATGGTTAGGTGCCACCTCAGTAGCCTCTTCATTTGCAGACTAAAAATTCAGCTGTCATTTTTTTGTGATAAAAAGGTTATTTGCTCAAGAACTTAACTGAATGGCTAAAGAATACGAATAACAAAAACAAAATTTAGTAGTTGCAGCGCGAAGGAACCGTGAAGATCAAGAGTAGATAGGTGATACTTGCATCCAATTTTTTGTACACCAAAGAATTCTTAGCATTAAGTTTGTTAGAATTTCAGTCTAAGCGTAATTATTTCTTCCTGTATTGCCATCGTAATGGCTTAAAACCCCTTCTAATGGGTTGATAAATGTATGATCTTTTTGCAGGTGTGCGAGCTGAAGAAGTCTCATGAAGAGGTTATAGCGTCCGTTAAGGAGGCACATAGAGATGAAATTGTGGAACTGGAGAGCAAACATTCCAGTGCAACTGACGGTAAGTAGAGGGGACCGCGATCGGGTGTGAACTTGTTTGGTGGGCATGGGAAGTGTTTGTTGAATTAGCTATGATGACTCAGAAACCTTTTTGATGCGGTGCATCATCGTCAAATAAAAAGTCATCCAAAGGGAGATCCTTCTCGTGATCTCTTAAATCCTGTTTTCCCCCACCCCTCCCACCCCCTTACCATACTTTACTTTGTACTTATAATTGACGAACCGTTATTGGGTAAGCAGTGTTGAATTTTGAGCTTGAAGAAGATAGACGCTTAAACTCACAGGCAATTCTGGACTGAAATCTGCTTTTTAGAACTTGTTGAAGAACACCAAGTGGAAATTGAAACCATCAAAGCTGATTACGACGAACAGCAGTTAGAATTCAAGGTGAGGCTGACTAGAATACAAACTGGGACCAGTTCGGTAATCTACGTTTAACAAAACATTCTACATTTTATGTCGAGGGGTAGATTTGGAGAAAAGGTTGTTTATCTCGAAGATTTAGAAAATCAATCTGTTAGGATCGCCTAGCGTAGCTACCATGCGAAGAAGACACGGAAAGACAATTAAGGTGCGTTCCGGAGCAAATGGGAATCGACTGGAAGTGTACGTAGGTTTCAAGGAAAATGGAAAACTTGAGACCAGGAAAAAAAAAACACTTTCAACATATAAAGGCTTTGCTTAATATCTCTGGTCAGATGGTGGAGAGTTGAATGCTCTAACGCCTATCACCCAATCACCCTTAGTCTGCCTGTTATTTCCCTCCTTCTTCAATGATTCCAATTATTAAGCGGGATGAAAATATGGAATGTGTAACGTTTAACAATGAAATGGTATGTACGTAATATAAAAAGACATAATTGCTTAAAGAGATAATGGAAAGGGAGAAAAATGCTTTTTCATGTGCGACAATCATTTGAATTCCCTTATAGGAAAAATATGACAAAGTAGTGAGTGACTGCAGCATGTTGAACAAGAAACTTCAGCAAACGCAGGATCAGAATCAGAAGGATATTGAAACAAGGATTCAGGTTATTATGTTTATAATTATGTCAATTATAAATTATAAATTATACTTATGTCGATTTTGTCAAGAGCAGTTATCTCGTTAAACTACTAGTTTTTTTCTCTCTCGCGCGCTTTTAAGATTAGTTTTTTGTTATCGATCCATTTAACAGCGCGCGTTAAGCTTAAATGTTCCGTCGCCAGGCTTTTGGAAGTGTGACACAAGACTAGAAAAAGAAAGTGGAGTGAAAAAAAAAATGGGAGAAAGGTTGAGTTGTGGTTTTGTTTGGGAAACTCAACTTTGTTTTGAACATTGTCTGTTTCAGAATTCATTAAGAATACTTTTCGGCGCCATGTTGAATGCACGGTAGCCAGCGCCATTGTTTACTGTATTTGAAGTCACTTATCGTCTTTTCAGTCGCTTGTTCTGGTTAAGAATGTACCACTGACGCCGTTGTTTGTAAGAATGCCATGATCCTAAGTTGAACGTCTTCCAAATACGCTGCAACTACGATTCTGCATTTTTTTTAGGAAGAGATTAAGAAGTATGAATCGCTGCCGGCAGAACTTGACAGCCTAAAAGCCGTGCTTGAAATGAAGAACGAGGAAATAAAACGGCTGAGAAAGGAAAAGATGGAGAAACACTTGGAGGTATTTAATATGTACTTCCTGGCATTTCCTTATGTTGTATGTTATTTCCTTGCTTTTTCACTGCAAAGAGTGTTCTAAATCATACTCCAAGCAAAATTAAAAATTCTTTTAAATGCTGAAAAGCAAGTAGCACCGTTTGTATGTTTTTTCCAATGTAAAATTGGGAAAATTGAGAAATGAGATTGAGAGTTGAGATGTGATCAAGGAACTAACGTTGTCGTAAAATTAATATTAAAAACTTTTCGGTTTTAGCTGGAGAAACTAGAAGATATCAAGACGCAGACTCAAAAACTGCAACACGAAAACGAGTCACTATCATTCGTCGTGGAAACAAAGTCGAGATTTGAAAGGTGAGTATATTTTATTGAAGGGTGTGTGTATTTTACTAACCTCGTCCGTCACTGAAAATCAAGACGAACACAAGAAGTCTCGTAACAATTAGATATTTGCAGGGGCAGCAATCGCTTCTAGACTAGTCTGTCCCATTTGATTTCATTTCAAAAATCTCGCATTCTGAAACTCAGCTAATAGAAACCTTAAGGGCCTGTTATTTAAATGAAGTTTAGCCAGTGTTTAACAAAACCACGTTCAGAGCCATTTTCAGTTTGCCCGACGCTTTAATGGAAGCACCATCCATCGCGAACAGTTTCATCAAAGCATATGGATTAGACTAGAAAAGCATTTGTCTTCTTCAAATAACCCACTGAGGAAGAGATCTGTAGGTCTAAAGATTTCCTAAACTACGTTCTAAGTTAGACTTCGTTTAAATAACCGACCCTAAGATTCTAAACGACTGCTACGAGTACTAGATTTTCTCAATACTTAACGTAGTGCGCGCGTGTGAACCAGCGTAATTTTGGCGGGAAAATTGATAGCCGTCGTCATTCTACTACTAGTTCTAGCGAGAATGTCGTTGAGACGTAAACAATATGTCAAATGTCACATTTCGTCTAGTAGACGTTTTATCATAATTTTGCGACCGGGAGAGGGCTCAACGTCCTTCAGGAATACAAATAACAGTTCTAACCCTTCTGGTAAAAGCTTCCCGGTGGTGACTTTTTAAGAATACGCAAAGAAACTTTAAGTTAAATCTCTTCTTCGGAGTTGACTTTGTCCTCGAATCTAAATGTTTCTTATAACGTCATTTAGTACCACAGAAACTAATGGGATTCAATTAAGGCCTTTCGAGGGTAAGTCTCCCTCGCAGCCGTTTTTGTCTCGTCACGCCATGCTCCTCCCCTCTCTTTGCTGGGGAGGAGTGCTGCGTTACGAGACAAAAACGGCTGCGATGAAGACTGTTGGAGCACTAGCCTTTTGTCAGAGCTAATCGTGACCCCTATTTGGTACCAAAAGATTCAGTCTTTGATAAGATTTGATAAGAAAGTTTGAGGTTCATGGCCGGGTGATGTGCGCAAACTGAAGACCCGCACCCAATAAGTCAGCTTTGTCGTCTATTTCTGAGACATGCAAATAGCGTTTTGATGTAGTACCACATGCGAAATACTTTTAAAGTTAAACTGAAACTTTTTTTTCATTTCTCTTTACTTATATTTCAGACAGCTTTCTGTTGAACGTGACTCGTTAAGGAACAGTTTAGAACGAGAGAGCGCAAAGAGTAAAAGACTTTCGTTAGAAAATGAAGAACTGCAATGGCGCTTAATAAATAGCACCAGTCCTCCAGGTACCCCATCTGATGACGGCCGCCCTCTGTCGGCTTCCAGCCGAAACAGCTTTCGTCTCTCAGCAAGTTTTCCTGACGTTGAAGCCATAGATGAGTAAAGAAAGACCGATTTTGAGAAGTCTGCCTTTTCGAGCGCGCGCTGTACAAATTCTGTGACATTTATGCATCCTGATCAATACGTATAACCTTTTCTCAACTCAGAAATAATTGTGCTTACCTTTATAAGGTTAAGGATGCCGCTTTATATAATACGCTGTAGTAAATCAATGTTTACGTGCTTGCTTCGCCTTACTTGCGGTCGAAGTTTGGTAGGTGACCTTTGCCTTCAGGCCTCGAATTAACACTTTTTCCTCAGTGCACAGTCATTTATAAACTGCGTGCCTTGTCATACTGAAATAAATCAACACTGGAATTACTCCGGTTACTGTAGTCCCTCTGTAAAACCGGCATGACTTCAAACTTAGATAGAACGTCATGTTAAATGAAACTATTGATAGGAAATTGTATTTTTATAGGGGAAACATATCGTACCAATTTGGCAAAGTAACATTTCGCTCAGTTAGTTGGCAGCATCCCCGTACTGCTTTACGTCGACAGTAAAATCATCGAAAAAAGAAATGTTCACCAAGAACTAAAAAAATTCCATTGTTTACACCAACGGAAGCTCTTGGAAACACAAACGTCAACGAACAGAAAGACCAGCCAAATAAATGGATGAATAGGAAGAATTTTATGTGAAGTTAGTAAAGGATGAGAAATATTATTAAGAATGAATGAGACTGAATGATTTTCTGATTTTTTTTAGTGAGTGAGTGAATTTATGTATATAAGCAGTATGCAACCCCATTCAGTTAGAATATTCTTGACACAAGTGAAAAAGGGGGCTTTAAATTAACCAATTTTAGCGGAATTTTAATGGTTGCTAAAGGTAGCTTTTCCGCATATTTAATGAAAATACTTAGAATTGTTTTAATGAAATTCATTGCGCATCATAGATCTTTCTTCTGGAGTCAGTTGAAATTTATTTTGTTAAAGCTTTTTGCCTATAAAGATTATTATATTTTCTTTCCCTAATTTAAATTTATGCGGTGTTTTATCGCTGCCGAACGAAATTTATTTTAGAATTTGAATTATACCTATATTAAAATAATAATTGTATTATGAAGTGAAATAAAGAATGCTTTTTCTTCAAGTTATTGATATTAACTGAACGGTTTACAATTAGTGCATATAGTGTACTGGCTAGAGAATACGTTACATGAATATATTTTTTTAATATCTGTATGTAAACTGAAATAAATATACCAAAAATACTATATCAACAATGTGTTTTTAATCGTGTAGTTGTTTATATTAAATGGATACCTTAAACTTATACTGAAATACTGGAAAAAGGAGGGGTATAACTTCACAATCGTACGCCCAGATCTCACTATTGCTTGAACACGCTGGAAGATCTGGATACGAGATCTGATACGCAATATGAAGACGAGGATTTTATACTGCATGAAAGTCAGTCAAGGTTATGGCCAAATCAGAAATAACAAAAATACGCAGAGAAGCGTAGAAACAGGATGAAGGTCCAGCAGTTTGCAGGCCAGGTATAAAGGCAGTACCTTCATTTCTCAGTCATTTTAAGACCCTGAGTATTTGTCTGGCCCCTGGAATCGAACCCGCGACGTCCCTGTCTGCAGTCCATTGCTCTACTGACTGAGCTAGTCCGGCCTTGTCCAGCACCGCGGAAACCGACAACTGGCCTCGAACTTAAAGTTGCGGGACGTTGCAGCTGTTCTCAAAAGTGTCCTTGACGAAGGACAGGTGGTGAAACTTGAAACTATCAAATTTGATGGGATTATTTGAAAATATTAAATCGCTCAAAATTGCTGTTAGACCTGCTACTTTGGAGAACGAAATTATTGCTTTCTGCTTGTTCTTCAGAAGTCATTTTGTGCGCGCGAGTGAACGTTCTTTTTGTAAGTAACTATTTTCAATTTACAACCCCAAAAAACAATAATAACAACAACAAGATAAAAGATACGTACTTAATTCCAGGGAAGTTAACACAAACTAGTTACCAAAATACTCGTGCGGTCAGCGCTATGGACCAGTTTGTGAGCGGTTTAATCGGATTGCGTGTAACACAAAAGAATGATTGTAAAGATTCCGAACAATATCTACACAGACTGAAACAAAAGAGCTAACCACGCACTTGTTGCCGCAACTCACGGAGATCGACCGCTTCAATGTACAGAGCGCATGCGCTCTCGTAAAGTAGCCGCCCTCTTCTCGTCTTGCGGTGTGAGGAAGTGTTTATAGCGGGGATCCACGTAGCCCCATACCTAAGAAAATGTGGTAATCTACCCATCCGAAAAATTTTGGTAATCATGTGTCCGTACGCCCGTCCGCCCGTCCGTCCGCACCACAGGTATATCAATGTAAAATAACTCAATTAACAGGTATGGCAAGCCAACTGCAACTCGAGGTTATTTTGGGGGAAAATCGCATAGCCGACCGCGCCTTTTGAAGCAGAGACAACTAAAGAGTCAATAAAGACAAAATTGTTTCTGTATCCGTGTTGTCTAAAGTAATAAGCGTAAATTAATTGTCATGTCCACAAATTTGGAATATAGAGAAAGAGAAAGACAGAGAAAAAGAGAAAATAGGCGACAGGCCACGAGAAAAAGCGCGATGAAAGAGCTAGAGCGAGAGATAAGAAGCCATTTTTTGTTTGAAGAACAAAATGAATTGGTAACGGCGGTGAACAAGATCGAACAAGATCAAAGATTTTTTATTTTACTTTTAGGTGTAGATTTGTCTCTCTTGAAAGAAACTCGAACAAGATCAAAGAATTTTATTTTTCTTTAAGATGTAGATTTGTCTCTCTGGAATGAAACTAAAAGTTACCTTTGCTTTTAAAATATCTTACTTTTGAAAACCTTTTTATCGAGTATTTGTATGTCTGAGTCGTTCAGAGTATAACACGGTCGGCTCTGTAACGGTTTTAGTCCTTTTCAGTAGGTGAACCGACAGCGGCACGCGCTGTTTAATTACTGTTAACAAAGAAAGTATTAAATGGACAGCGCTAGCCTATGCGGTTCGATAAATAATTTGTTTGTCGGTCCGCTAGCTTTGTTGTTCGGTAATTGCAGATTATAAATAAGGTTTCAGTTCCAAACGACTCTTCACTCAGTTTGTTGCTCAACTGTGAAAAGTTATCAGCTCAGTCAAATGGATTGTGCTCAGTTGAAATCTATCGTTTCCCTTGTGGATTCTCTTGTACGTAATACGAATGTCAGAAGGTTACGTATGCTGCCATTAAATCAAGTTCCTGTTGGTAAACCATCCTTGGCTTCAGTCTCCAGCAAGTCTCTAACGGACTTCTCCATCTGCAGTATCCTGGGTCTAGAACCTGAAATCACCCAATCTCCCTCAAGTTCCGGTAAGTTAAGAGTTCCATCCGTAAGATACTCGAGCCCTTAATTAGTCGAGGGCATCATTTGGCATATGACTGTTAGAAGTCAATTTTTATCCCGTTGCCTTTCTACTAGTTTAATCCATCTCAGAAACAGAAAAAGAGAAATACTCAGCTTTAGACGGGCGATTTCTGTTAGTTAAAACCAGCCGTTAGAGCAGTATTATATACATGAAACAACTTATCTACAAAAAGTGAAAATTGTCCGTAGGAATAAACACTAAAACAGATGTATTTATTTATGTTGACTACTTGTATTTAAGTGATATCAAGAGGAAATATATAATAGCTGACATGTGTAAAACTAAAATTCAATTCTTCTTTAATTTACAGAATGCAACAGTGATACCAGTCCGCCGTTATCGCCTTACTCCGACTGCGAAAGTCCGCGTCCCAGCCACAAGGCAACCAGTCCACCGTTAACCCCTTACTCTGACGTCACAAGTTCTAGCAGCGACTGTGACAGTGAGCCCGATCAATCTTCGACTCCAACCGAACATTCAACGAAGAAGAAGCGACAGCGAACGACCTTCTCACCTATCGAACTTGGAGAGCTGGAACTAGCATTCAGACGGCGGCCATATTTGCTAAAGGAAGACGAGGAGGAACTGGTACAAAGACTTGGAATCACGGCTAAAAGTCTGAAGGTGAGTTCCTATCTTTCATGTTTCCTATCGTGTACGTAAATTTCAGGAATCAATGAGCATTTGTAATCTAAAAGGAATACTATTTCAGTGCGGTTTGGTTCTGTCATTTTCGGTGTTGCCGGGATGTATGAAGATGTAAATGTTGATTGATTCAAAGCTCGGCAATTGCGATGTGATCTTTCACTCCAGTCAGAAAATGTTTTGAACACCGGTATGCATTTTTCGGACAGTAATTGTGATGTATGTAACCTTGCAAAGTTTTACTTCATCTTAGTCATCGATATTTTCCAAGTTATTTATTTTTTAGCAATCTTGTATAATTCTTAAGTAATTAAATTTACAACTCATAATGCGATTTAAACGCTACTTTGATGTCAGAAAATGTTTTGGAATTCATACAAATTATTATGGGTTCTGTGTGTTGTGTGAATTTTTGTTGTGATTGCCCTAATTGAACTAACAACTCCGCTTTTTTTCTCTTTCTTGTAGTATTGGTTTCAAAACCGACGAGCCAAATCAAGGAAACTGGAGAGAAAGATGTCTTTCGTCTGTCAGACTAGACGATCGAACCAGTTTGTTAGCGGACCCTATCCAGATCACTGGAAACAAGGCGAACGAGTGTCCTGTGCAGCGATGGAAAGCTACTTTAGAGACATAAACCAGAGAACAGTTGTCAGTCGTCAACTCTCAGTCATTGCCAATTCAGACCTTGTACCCAAGTTCCACTCTGACCAGTTCACAATCAGACCTGCTGAACCCGCAAGACTACCGTACAGCCGTGCTCTCTACAGATATCAACCGTACTAAGTTCGCATAAGACTTTTGAATAGTGTTAGAATATATTGAATTTGATGAGTGTCCTGAAAGAACTCGAGTTTATAGGTTTTATAAGTAAGATGTTTGCAAAAGATAGCGTTCAAAATTATGTCATACAGTTGTGTTATTATAAGAGAAAAAATATTTGAGTTCATTGCTGTATAAATAGAAAGTTCTAGTAGTGTTGTAAATAAACGGTTGTACTAGTGACAGCATGAAGTTTACTAGTCATTTCATCTAATCGTTTTGGAGAACGGGAAGAAAAGTTGGGAAGAAGGGCCGTGAGTGTTTGGGAGGTGGTAGGGAGAGCAGAAGGGTGGGAACTACCAATACTTTTCCAATGGCTTTCAGAGTAAAAGATGCTTCTTTTTTATTTAACAAAGGAGCCGGCAGAACTGAACAGGAATTAAATTTACGATGCGCAGCCTGTACTGGGATTGATGAAAGCATAGGGGTATCTAAGGTCGACGATAATAAATGACATTTTTGTACTGTATAAATGGTGAAAAAAGCAAAAAAAATCCTTCATGTTAGTTGACTTGCTTTACAAAAATGGCAGCGGGTATCACATCCTTAGAGTCAACGAATGCGCAAGTAAGACAAGAAACGTAAAGTTCGGCATAGTAGTTTTAACCAATGCTACTTTATTGCAGGTCAAAACGAGCGCATTTAGTCGGTGAGAGACGAGTGTTGTGTTGTTATTAAGTTAAAGGTTAGGGAAAAATTTGGAGGGATGTATCAGTGTTATTGCGGGACTATCACAGCTATCAGATGTGTTTTGATCTTTTGTTTTTGTCTGTTTACTAGATCGGGTAATTACTAGGTTACGAAATTGCAGAAGAGAAAAGACAGTATATAGCAAGAAATCTTTTGTCCAAGTCTCACTTATTGACGTTTATTGAGCGATTCATCTCATTTAAAGTAATTAATACTCGTTTGACCAATGAGGTTCAAGCTGTTTAAAAAACTTCGCGCGCCATATTTAAAAAATCCTTCATTCGGATATTATTACCGCGGCCGACGTCTTATTATTTAATGCAAAGATGGAAAGATTTGACGGCGCGCGTAGTAAGAGTAGTAATGTTAACTGTTCTAGAAACAGCAACAATTTAAGTTAACAAACGATTTGTTTGTCGGGCCGCTCAGCTTTATCTCAGCGTTGATTGACAGATGTAAGGGTACCGACAACGTATTATTTCGGCTCAACTAGACTCTTCACTCAGTTTGCTAGTATCAGATCCAGCTAATCAAATCTGTTGAAATGGATTGTCATCAAATGAAATCCGTTATTTCACTTGTGGATTCTCTTGTGCGTTCTGCGCATGCGACCTCGCAAAGTAGCGGCCCGCTTCTCGTCTTGCGGTGTGAGAAAGTCTTTATACAGTTCGCTCACTGTTATTGCTTTGAAGCTGGCTTGCGAAGCAAACGTTTCCGTGTGGTTTCGGAGCAAAGAGCAACCGAGGAATGACGTGTAACGGGATTTTCGGTTTGGGCCGCGCGAAAAATGGAACGAGCGGCCATTTTTCTCGCGGTCTTTGACCCTCATTCCTCGTTCTTTGCTCTGAAACCGCACGGAAACGCGCGCTTGATACGCGTGCTTCTCTTCAGCGCCCAGAAATGGCTATCGCTTCCCGTAGCTGGCAGCGTTTCACGAAACGTCGCAACGACGGGCAGCGGCGAAAGGCGCGGCTGTATTCTGCTGCAAGGAATTCATTTTTCTCAGCCTTCGAAACATATTGCGGCCTGTTACAGGCGTTCGTTGTGGGGATGGCGCAAAAAGATGTGATCCGAAAAAACAGCAAAATCTCCCTCCTTAATTATTTTTCCTCGCCTTTTGACTTCGGGCCGCACTTCACTATTTAAACGCCTGCAGCTGGAACAGGCTACAAGGCAAATTCAAACTTGAACATAACCTGGATAAACCACTTTAACTCAATAAATGACGAAAGGATATTATTAGCGACACGGTAATACTGGAGTTGATCCGATCCAGCTTGATCTGAGTTAGTGCTAAGGGCTACAAAATTCTTCTATCTTCCCACTGGGTCAACAAAACATCTAAATACTTCTACTGAGCTCAAACCGAATAAAAGTGATAACAAACATCAACTTTTTTCACCATGGTTGTGTTTATTTCTGATTAAGCTACCATGGTCCTGAAAACAATAACTGAGCGTTAATAAATCAATTGTCGCAGTGCCATGAAGCAGTTGTATTTTAGTCGCTCACAATGCTAAATTTTAATTGTTGAAATAGTTCGTTTAATGATTTTGAACGCAGTAAAACAAGAGTAGAGATGGGCTTTCTTCCTTAACAACGGAGAAGCTACACTTGAATAAAAACAAGCTGACACATCGGTGTCTGTCGTTGATCAACCAGGAGAAGTGATTATTTCTCATTAGAAATTACTCATACTTTTTCGTGGAATCTTAAAGTTTCATTAGGTTGTTTAACAAATTTGTTTTCGAATTTTACAGAAAATAAGGATTCGTCGCCATTAATAAACATAAAAGCAACTTTGGAAAACTTTGTTATCCAAAATTATCTTAGTTAGTCAGAGAATACCGCGACCGTCCCTGTATCGGTTTTAGGTCTTTTAAAAGAACCGCCGCCGGCCCGCGCAGACTATAGCCATGCGGGTCGATAAATAATATGTTTGTCGGGCCGCTAGCTTTGTTACTCGGTATATGCAGAGCCATAAATAAGGTTTCAGTTCCGAACGACTCTTCACTCAGTTTGTTGCTCAATTGTGAAAAGTTATCAGCTCAGTCAAATGGATTGTGCTCAGTTGAAATCTATCGTTTCCCTTGTGGATTCTCTTGTACGTAACACGCATGTCAGAAGGTCACATATGCTGCCATCAAATCAAGTTTCTGTAGGTGAACCATCCTTGGCTCCAGTCTCCAGCAAGTCTCTAACGGACTTTTCCATCTGCAGTATCCTGGGTCTAGAACGTGAAATCACCCAATCTCCCTCAAGTTCCGGTAAGTTAAGAGTTCCATCTTCAGATCCCTCTCGAGCCCTTAGTTGAGGGCATCATTTGGCAGTTTTGATTACCGCAATAACCATTAGAAATCAATTTTTATCCTCTTTCCCTTCTACTATTTTATTCCATCTCGGAAAAAGAAAAAGAAGAATACTCAACTTGAGACAGGAGATTTCTATTGTTAGAACTGGCCAACAGAGCGGTATTATGAAAAAACTTATCTATCTAAACCAAAAATTGTCCGTAGGAATAAACTGATTATGGTATGTTGACTAATTGTATTTAAGGGAGATAAAGAGGAAACTGTAGGTGACATTTGAAAAACTAAAATTCAATTCATTTTTAATGTACAGAATGCAACAATGATACCAGTCCGCCGTTATCGCCTTACTCCGACTGCGCAAGTCCGCGTTGCAGCGACAGAGCAACCAGTCCACCGTTAACTCCTTACTCTGACATCACAAGTTCCAGCAGCGATTGTGACAGTGAGCCCGATCAAGCTTCGACTCCAACCGAACATTCAACGAAGAAGCGGCAGCGCACGACCTTCTCACCTATCGAACTTGTAGAGCTGGAATTAGCATTCAGACGGCGGCCATATTTGCTAAAGGAAGACGAGGAGGAACTGGTACAAAGACTCGGAATCACGGCTAAAAGTCTCAAGGTGAGTTTCTATCTTTCATGTTTCGTATCATGTACCGTAAATTTCAGGAATCAATGAGCATTTGTAACCTAAAAGGAATGGAATTTCAGTTTGGTTTTGTTCTAATCATTTTCAGTGTTGCCGGGAAGTATTAAGATGTAAATGTTGATCGATTCAAAGCTCGAATTGCGATGTGATTTTTTCGGACAGTATAATTGCATGTAGTGTTGCAAAGTTTTACTTCGTGTTAGTCCTCGTTATTTTCCAAGTCATTTACTTTTTAGCAGTCTTGTAGTTCTTTTAGTGATTAAATGTAAAACTCTTAAGGCGATTTAAACACTATTTTGATGTCAGAAAATGCTTTGGAATTCTTTCAAATCAGTATTATGGGTTCTGTTTGTTGTGTGAAATTTCGCTGTTATTGCCCTAATTTAACTAATAACTAAGTTTTGTTTTCTCTTTCTTGTAGTATTGGTTTCAAAACCGACGAGCCAAATCAAGGAAACTGGAGAGAAAGATGTCATTTGTTTGTCAGACCAGCCCGTCAAACCAGTTTGTTAGCCATTCAGATCATTGGAAACAAGGCGAAAGAGCGTCCTGTCCAGCGATGGAAAGCTACTTTAGAGATATAAACCAGAGAACAGTTGTCAGTCGTCAACTCTCAGTCAAGTCAAACCGTGTGCCCAAGTTCCACCTTGACCAGTTCACAATCAGATCTGTTGAGCCCGCAAGACTACCGTACAGCCGTGCCCTCTACAGATATCAACCATACTAAGTTGGGATACGGCTTTTGAATAGTGTAAGAATGTATTGAATTCGATGAATTGTCTGAAAGAACTTTGAAGAGTTTATAGGTTTTGTAAGTAAGATTTGTACAAAAGATAGCATTCAAAATATGTCATTCAGTAGTGTAATTATAGGAGAAAAAATATTTGAGTTTATTGCTGTGTAAGTGGTAATTTCCAATCGTGTTGTAAATAAAAAAGGTTGCACTAGTGATAACATGAAGTCATTTTTAAATCGTTTAGGAGAACGGGAAGAAGGGAGGGGAAGGGAGACTTTGTAACAAGGATCGCGAGTGTTGGATGCCTTGTAGTGCGATACTAGCACCCTGCTAGCAGATCAGGCCTCTTTTCCTTTGTCATTTTCTGGTCATCTTACACTGTGGTTCGCGGAGTTGACAGAATTTTATAACTTTATATCAGATCCCGAGGGAAACGGTTCGATCTGTTTTCCCAAGAATCCTGATTTTTCCCGAGATGAAGTAAAGGGAACCATCAGGACTCGAGGGAAAACAAAACTAACTGGTCTCCCGAGGGACCACGCATCCTTGGAGACCCAGGAGCAGTCTGAGTCGGGACGATAAAATGTTCGTGGCCATGGTCAAAGCTGTAACTTTCATCACGAACATTCTATCGTCCAGACTAACTGCCCCTAGGTCTCCGAGAATGCCGAGGGACCTGATATTAACTGTTTTGTTATATTTCTTGACTTTCACCTCAACAGCGACAAAAGAATAACCGGAGCGAATCAAAACAGTCGACTCGGTTCTTACAAGGACACAAATTTAATTCTTAAAACCACTGAATGAATGATTTACAAAGAAGTACTTTCCTTATCAGTATTATCTGCATCTTTTCCCTCCACTAGCTGCTATTTCTCTTCAGGGATAACTTTGAAAATCGTTGCTTTTTAGCTTGAGGTTTCGTGTTTGTGTTGTGGACTCTTATTTTGTTCATCCCCGAAAGTGCAAACTGCCAGTGTTTTTCCCGCCTTCTGTTATGCCACTTTCCACCATGCTTTGATCACGTGCTGTAATTTAATTATGCATCCCGAGCAATCCCGAGCGGGGTTAATTCAACCAATGACAGTTCCTGTTTAGTTGAGTGAAAGTCTAGGAATATAACAATAACCAACCAACTTTTTTTTATTTTATTTAACCTGTAGCTTCTAAATTTTGCCTAAGCAAGTCCTGAGATGCATGGAATACCATGCAAAACACAAGCAACAAACACTGCAGAAATGTGACGCTATTTTCTGTAATTACAAGGTTATCTGTTATGGCGACACGTTTTTTTTTTGGCAAAGGAACTTTTGTATGCTTCTGATCTGTGTATATTAAAGTCAAAGCATTATGGAGGTCAAAATGTTGCTAAAAACGTTATAGAAAGTGTCGGCAAGGTTTCCAAATCAAATATAAACCAACTAATAAGAAAGGGAACAAATGCAAATATTCATATTTCATAACATTTCACTTCATTTATTGTAGACAGCTTAATTGACACTGATCTTAAAAACAGTTTCACAATCACCGTCCTTGGTAATATACATTACATAATAATAACAATTCCGAATAGGTATAGAAATAGAAAAAACGTGCAGCAGCAGCAGATCGAATTTGCCGTCAGTGTCAAATAGAATACCGAGAGTCAAACCCCGGTTGTCATAGAAAGTGTCCGTACTAACGGGGTGTCCGGCGTATTAGGCGGGGTGAATTAAGAGAAAATGCAAGGGCTTTCTTTCCCCAGGGTTAAAGAAGAATGTTCCTAATATTATGAACGAAACTGCTCTAATTGGTTGAGCGGTGATTTGAAGACTCTAAATGTGATTAGTAGTAACGGAACGGTAGCTATAGTCAGTCAAATTTTCCTCTGTCCAGTTATTCGTTTAATGATTCAGTGGCGTTTGAGTCTAAGTTATACATAACGTTAAGAGGTGAATAAGTAGAGTTTGTCTCGATATACATTGTAAACGCCCGATGCATTATGCAAGGAAATCCAAGACAGTCTTGCATTCTGGATTCTTTGTCAGTGGAACTTGGATTCTGGATTCCTCGAGCTGTTTTCCGGATTCCAAAGTCCAGAATTCCGGATTCCACATCCCACAGTAAACTATGGACAATCCAAGCAAAAAACGCTAAATTTTTTTTTACTTTTGTATTAATTGTGTATCTCCAATATGCTAGTTGATTATCTATAAGAATGTGGTGTTGATAATAGTAGCTGTAAAAAGTGTCAAATTTTTCAAATCCAAGCCTATTCAACCGGACCTATGAATAAATCGGAATAAACAAAAGCACCCAGACTTATAACATATCACTGATTTTATTGCAGACAGTACACTAACACCAAGGTGCGTAAAATTAACCGACAAAGTATAAAGCCACCATCATTGAACCATTACTCCTGCTGTTTTAGTTTCTATCGGCCTTTAGGGCGTCTTTCCTGCAATAAAGGAGAAAATGTCCCATTAATCTGTTTTGCCCAAACTAAGCAGGGTAAAAGTATTAATATTTTGTGATGTTTCGTTCGAAAAGATATTTTGCTCTAGCCAAAGTATCCCAGACGCTTCCTTCCCTCTAACATTGATCAGCATTTAATTTCTCCTAAAAAATTCACTGCTCAACCAAACCAGTATAACTGTCTTTTAAAAGAAAAAAAGAATTAATCATGCACCAAGAAAAGGAGGTTGAGGGCAAGATCTCCCGTGCTTATCATCAGGAAAATTTGCGAGGTACAGTGTGACAACTTTAATGTAACGTATGATGACTCGGATTGAAAGAGAATGGACGAGGAGTGACAGTACGCCCCCCCCCCCCCGGACAAAGTACGGCTCACCAAATTAATGTAGCAGAAACCGAGTACGGTAGTTAAACCCTACACGTGATTAGAGTTTTACTTATTAGCTTTGCAATGTTTGCCTTTTTTTTATCAAAGACAAGGTAGGCCTGCGGCCTTCTACGTAAATTCCATGTAGACACTGTCCAATGTAAGGCGATGCACTAAAAATGCCTTTCACAATCTCGGAGAAAAAGCGAAACATCATTTGTATCTATTTCAGTTATTTACATTCAAAACGGAATCCGATACCAAACGATCAGCAGTAGATCTAATTTCGGACAAAACCAAAATTGAATCTCGGGGGTAATATTTAGGGAGTTTGAGAAGTTTGAATTGGCTCCAGTGCCCGTAATCGATCGTTTCAGTAATGTTTTTTTTTCCTTTTCTTTCGCATTCTTTTCAACAGTGAACAAGAACTGTGATCATGATACATAAAAGAACAAAAAAGGTGCATTGAACACATGCCTACATTAATGCGTCGTTATTGATGGATTACATCGTACCACAAAAAGGATCCTTCGAGGTTGTTTGCAAGTAGAAGCTTCCTTCCTTTTTAGTAAGATCAGCATCGAAACCCAAGCTTGGACATTCGCCATTACAGCTTGTGCAACTCCCTTTCAGAAATGTGATGTAATTAGCACACGGATAGGCTTTCCAGGAGCATGACTCTTCAACAGACGCGAGGAAGTACTTTGGTGCCCTTCTGTGGTCGCAATCTTAAAAAAGATGACAAGTGAATTCATACAAAAAGCAGATGAGGAAATTTTTGTCTGGGTGATGCGAATAATGTATGTCATAGTTAAATGGTGATTTTCTTGCCACCTCTGCTCGTTGGAAGGTTGTTAAGGGAGTTAACGAGGTGACGACCAACGACGATGGCAACGAAAACGTCACAGAAAGCAATTACGTTTGCCTGTAGGTCAGGTGACCTCCTCAGACTAGTAGCAATTATCATAGATTAGTGAGTGCGTTTGAGTTTTATTCTTGGCGTTACCTCAACTGTCAAGCATTATATTATTTCAATACCAGAGATAAGTTCTAAAAAACATTTATTCTCTTCTCGTAGATTGCTTAAAATGTGTGTATTTACCCAAGAATTTGTTCGATAAAAATCAGAACTACCTCCCAAATTCCGTAAAAAGATAAGAAATATTTCGGGAGAATAATTATGATTGTCTCCGTTTTGTAAATGCTTACTTTTTGTCAGATCACTGAGAGGACAGCCTGGCTGGATGCTTCCACCATTTGGCCAAAAGTCGGTGTGACCGCTCGCACGGATAGTTCCTTTGATCCCAGCGTTGGTATGAATGACATCAACATATTGAGCGTCACTTTTATCAAGCCGAAAGCTGGTCGAGACTGTCATGAAAAACAGTCTAGCAGGATCTAAGCCTGATAGCCAATAAAAATGGTTAGCGTGACCAGTGTGTGTAGGGGACATAACTTTCTTTATTCATATAACGTATTTGATTATTTACCTGTTATGCGGCCCAAGCTCAATCCATACTTATCCTGCACATAACTCCCAGCGTAACCTGCGACTTGTGCTCCAAGGCTGTGGCCCACAATGTAGAATCGATTTACAGCGGAACTATGCGAGTGAGAAGTACTGGCGATGAGGAACCTTATGAGCTCTCCTATCTGAGCCCCAACAAGCCTAGCATTCCCAGTGGCTTGGCCATATGGGGATGCAGCTCCTTTGGACCAGTCTACCATTATCACATTGCAGTCCTCACGATTCAACAGTGCGCCTTTGATTTCATCATAAATATCCTTAAGATTGCCTAGTAAGACGTAAAATACTCAAACTTTGATTTTCGTTTGACACAATGGAGTGAATTTAAGTTGTTTTTAAAGACCACTTCTGTAAGATTCCGAAATCCGAACCATTGGTACAGGAGTACACTGGAACCGTAGATATAACACCGAAAGGCCAAAAATGCAAGGGACTGGCAAAATCTGTTCGCTGTTAGGAGCTTTCGTTATATCGAGGTTCTTTTTCATATATTTTACTATTACTTGGTTAAAGAAAATCGTTCGTTATGCCGAGGTCGTTATATCAAGGTTCGTTATATCGAGGTTCCACTAAAAATGTACTAAATGTCGTGTAGCTGTTTTTTTTTGTTATTTATAAGTATTAGTTTGGTAGCGCTCTCACCAGTGGCAGACCCAGACCTTCAGATAAAGGGGGGCCTGGTCTTCTAGACCCTGAGATAAGTGGGAGGGGGTCTTAAAAAATTGTTTCGGCCCTTCGGAACTCAGTTTGATCCAAAAATAAGGGGGGGCCGGGGGCTCCGGGACCCCTCCCCTGGATCCGCCACTGCTTACTACGCCTAATAATAAGTAATAAATGTTTAATTTGATCAATTTTAGAATTAGTAAAAGCTGGATCTTACCTGTAAATCCATGAATAAGAAAAATCGTTCGTCTGGAAATCTCGAAAAATGAATCTCTGAGCTTGTTTACAACGCTGTCATCAATGATCTTCGCAGTCTGACTGTTTTTCCTGGTAAATAGGAGAAAAGAAGTTCCAAGTTTGGATGGTTCTTGTGGAAACCGCACCAGAAGATTCGGATGACGGTCAAAGCAGCCATATTTGTCATAACAGACCTTGGATTTAAAAAGCCAACCTATAGAGAAAAAGTTACAATGTCTTTGGATTGTAATTGATTTTTTTCCGACTTGGATACCAATGCACAAATAGATATAAGGTGCTATATTTAGGGGCAACGGAAATGATACCAAATTATGCACTGAAGCACACGTACCAACTACGCGCTATGGCCAATACCTTACGCATGCGCACATCCATATTACTCTGGTAGTGACGGCCATAGACAGCTGTTTTGTCCTTATTAGGGCTCATCAGCATAGCATAGCCCTCTGGTCAATGAGCGGGGGAAAGTGTGCTTCAGTCCATGAGTAATTTAGTATTGAAAAGGAAATGACTTGAATGAATGAGGGAAAGAAGAAAGAAAGGAAAAATTAAGGGAAGAAAGGGGAAAAGGGAATGAATGACCAGTAAATGAATGAATGAACTAAAGACCGAAAAATGAGGGAAGGAATAAATAAATATGATTTGGTAAAATCACAATCATCTCATAGCTAGTCACTAGTTGAACGCTTAGTAATCAATCTAGCAAACAATACGCAACGTAACGATTTAAGATGATTCTTTTGGGGAAACGTAAAATCGATAATATTCGCCTTCACTTAGCTTATTGTGGAGAAAAGAAGTAAAATAAACCTTTTAGGACCCTGTTTTGAGTTCTTTTGTCTTTTTAAAGCAATCTAGGCTTTTAGCACAAGTAAGTTAAGAATAATTTCTACGAATTTTACGTTCCCACACGAGCCCTATATATAGATCGTCACGTTACGCAATATTACTTAATATGTTAAGCACCCTTCCATTGCATTGAACAGGTTATTTTTTTTAAACAAGTGGAAAAGCAGATCCATAAAGTATAAAACACAAAACTGAACTGTTGATTTCAAAACATTGGATAAAGGTGCACTAAATCAGATAATACCTTCACTCCTAGGCCACTTAAAAATTTTAACCTCGCACTAAGCGCTCAGTCACTTTTTTCATTATAAAGAAGGCCTCTTAACAAAATTGCCCAAAGGTCTTCGTATCGCAAGAGGAGTGAAAAGCTTTTAAATTGCAAGTCACCACCAATAATATCATGAAACGGTCATCTAACCACGAAGTATAGCAAATAAAAGACTATTGCTAATTTTTACACTGACAGTAACAAAGTAAAGACTTTTTTTTGTTCCAGTTTGTTGTGATGGTGATCAACATGCATTGTCTTGCATATCCATGTAGTCGCGGACAAAATTTTCCTTCCTTTATTATAAGTCAGCTAAGGTAGCTTTAGGAAGGCGTGCCGTCTTGCATGCCTGGTGTTATTGTCATATTTGATACAAACGTAACAATCCTGAAAAGCCCAACAGTAGATCAAGAGCATGAAAAATGGTGAGATTAACAGAATCATGTGGCAACGCTCTCAATTGTAGCTTACCAACGTGGTTAAATACAACTTGATAACTGACAACTCCCCACTCCTGAATTTTTATACTAAAAATAGCATATGGACTGATGACAAAAGGGGTTTTCCGCCTCATCTGTAGCCGAGACTATTCCACAACCTTAGAAACATAATTCTAAACTCTAAAACTCACCACTTGACAAATGAAAAAGAATCAAACAAGCCGGAGAAAACAGCATCGTTATCTGTATTACACCAAACACTTTGATAAATAACGTATAAACAGTGCTCTAATAACTTGATCCGTATTCAAAATAATAAGATTCAGCAGCTGAGCAGCCGTTTTAATTTAACAGTGTGAACAGTGGGATTTACCTTAACCCTATAAAGCTATACAGACCAGGGGAGGAAGGGTTTGAGGCTCCCTTAGCTAAAAGGTGGAATAACTTTAAAACTGTTCAAGCTATGACCGCTCAAGTTACGCCCACTTAATTAGCAAAAGAATAGATGAAATACAAACATGCGTGATCTGTGGATGGAACCTCCTATTCTGGAGACTAGACTTTGCCTAGTTTAGAGAAAAAAAGATTTAAGTGTTGATGACCTTGCCGGTCCCGTGAAATAGATGGCGATCCCGCAACACGGCCGGCAAAACAAATTAACAAAATTATACAATCACGGACACAAAATTGATATCAAAACGGTTTACACAAGCAGATTATAGCAACACCAAAGCTCACACACATTCGATCAAATAAGCGATGTATAGCGATATTTGCTAGCTTCCTAGCTTTCCCTCGACCTTGCTCGTCCAAATAACTGTCGTATCCCTTGCTAATTTATACATCTTGCCCGTTACTACGCGACGTCATACTGGCAGGCGGAGTGGGTGAAGAAACTTAGGTGGAAAACAATAGAGTTACCTACCCCCCCTGCTGTTAACAAACATAGTATCAAGTTCTGGTAAGGATGTGAGGTATATATGAAATAATTCATTTTTTTTTCAAGTTCTGGTAAGTTAAGAATTCTAGCTTCAGATACTCGAGGTCTTTTTCGAGGCCATTATTTGGCATTTTTGATTACGGCAATGATCATTAGAAATCAGTTTTTATCTCCTTGCCTCTCTACTATAATATTTTAATCAATCTCGGAAACAGAAAAAGAGAAATACTCAGCTTTAGGCAGGAGATTTCTGTTGTTAAAACTAACCAATAGAGCGGTATTATGAAACAACTTACCTATCCAAAATTGTCCGTAGGAATAAACATTAAAACATGTGTCTATAGTTATGTTGACTACTTGTATTTAAAGTGAAATTAAGAGGAAATATTATGTGACATTTGAAAAACTAAAATTTAATTCATCTTTAATTTACAGAATGCAACAGTGATACCAGTCCGCCGTTATCGCCTTACTCCGCCGGGAGTGCGCAAGTCCGTGTCCCAACCACAGGGAAACCAGTCCACCGTTAACTCCTTTACCTTGACATCCCAAGTTCCAGCAGCGATTGTGACGGTAAGCCCGATCAAGCTTCGACTCCAACCAAACATTCAACCAAAAAGAGGCGACAGCGCAAGACCTTCTTACCGATCGAGGTTCGGGAGCTGGAATTAGCATTCAGACGGCGGCCGTATTTGCTAAAGAAAGACGAGGAGGAACTTGTACAAAGACTCGGAATCACGGCTAAAAGTTTAAAGGTGAGTTTCTATCATTCATGTTTCCTATCATGAGCATAGATTACAAGAAACAATGTGTATTTGTACCCTAAGAGGAACGGAATTACAATTCGTAGCTCGGCAACTGTAACGCGATATTTCAGTCCGAAATATTTTTAACAGCGGTATGTATTTGTTCCGACGTAAACCTGCCAGTAATTACATGTGATCTTGCAAATAAAAGTAAAACTTATTGTTTGTCATCGTAATTTCCTAAATTTCGTCGAAATAAAGTCATAGTGTTTTCTTTAAGTGATGTGACCTATAATGTTACATTTCATAACGCAATTTCAACGCTATTTTTCAGTCCGAGGGACCACGCATCCTTGGAGACCCAGGGGCAGTCTGAGTCGGGACGATAAAATGTTCGTGGTGAAAGCTGTAACTTTCATCACGAACATTCTATCGTCCAGACTAACTTCCCCTAGGTCTCCGAGAGTGCCGAGGGACCTGATATTAACTGTTTTGTTATATTTCTTGACTTTCACTTAAACAGCGACAAAAGAATAACCGGAGCGAATCAAAACAGTCGACTCGGTTCTTATAAGGACACAAATTTAATTCTTAAAACCACTGAATGAATGATTTACTTTTTTCCGTATCAGTATTATGTGCATCTTTTTCCTCTACTAGCTGCTATTTCTCTTCAGGGATAACTTTGAAAATCGTTGCTTTTTAGCTTGCATGAGGCTTCCTGTTTGTGTTGTGGACTCTTGTTGTGTTCATCCCCGAAAGTGAAAACTGCCAGTGTTTTTCCCGCCTTCTGTTACGCCACTTTCCACCATGCTTTGATCACGTGTTGTAATTTAATTATGCATCCCGAGCAATCCCGAGCGGGGTTAATAGTCAAGGCCATGTGACCAAAATTCAACCAATGACAGTTCCTGTTTAGTTGAGTGAAAGTCTAAGAATATAACAATAACCAACCAACTTTTTTTATTTTATTTAAACTGTAGCTTCTAAATTTTGCCTAAGCAAGTCCTGGGATGCATGGCATACCATGCAAAACACAAGCAACAAACACAGCAGAAATGTGACGCTATTTTCTGTAATTACAAGGTTATCTGTTAGGGCGACACGTTTTTATTAAAGTCAAAGCATTATGGAGGTCAAAATGTTGCTGAAAACGTTGTAGAAAGTGTTGGCAATGTTTCCAAATCAAATTTAAGCCAAATTAATAAAAAATGGAACAAATGGAAACATTCATATTTCATAACATTTAACTTCATTTATTGCAGACAGTTTAATTGACACTGATCTTAAAACAGTTTCACAATCACCGTCCTTGGTATTACCGGCATTGCATTGCATAATAATAACAATTCCGAATAGGTACAGAAGTAAACAAAACGTGCAGCAGCAACGGATCGAATTTGCCGTCAGTGTCAAATAGAATACCGAGAGTCAAACCCCGTTGATACGGAACTCTGAAGGGGCTATAGAAAGTGTTCATATTAACGGGGTGTCCGATGTACTAGGCGGGGTGAATCTAGGGAAAATGCAAGGGCTTCCTTTCCCCCCCGGGGGGGGGGGGTACTGCCATATATGGGCTATATAGGATGTGCCGCTGTGAAGGGTATGGTTTTCAGGCAGTTTACTCTAGGATAGGGTATATAAATCAGAGCGTTTGGGTCTAGAATAGGGTATCATTTTTTAGGAAACTGATCAGTTGGTTGAAGATTTTATCTAGACAAGGGAAACAGCTACTCTAGGATAGGGGGATGTGGGGAGTTTACTCTAGTATAGGGTGGCAAAATTCAGCTGAACTAGCTCTGGTATAGGTTAAGGGTTCCAGGGTCCCAGCGGTACATCCCCACCCAGAAATTCCTAAAGTACCTCCCGGTTCTTTCCCCAGGGTTAAAGAAGAATGTTCCTAATATTATGAACGAAACTGATCTAATTGGTTGAGCCGTGATTTCAAGACTCTAAATGTGATTAGTAGTACGTTGTGATTGGTCTTGTGTCACAGCCGTAACGGAGCGTTAGCTATAGTCAGTCAAATTTTCCTCTGTCAAGTTATTCGTTTGTTGATTCAGCGGCGTTTGAGTCTAAGTCATATATATACATAACATTAAGAAGCGAATAAAGTAGAGTTTGTCTCGATATACATTGTAATCGTCCCATGCATTGTGTAAGGAAATCCAAGACCGTCTTGGATTCTGGATTCTTTGTCAGTGGAACTTGGATTCCGGATTCCTTGAGCTGTTTTCCGGATTCCAAAGTCCAGAATTCCGGATTCCACATGCAGGGGTAAACTATGGACAATCCAAGCGAAAAACGCTCAATTTGTTTTTACTTTTGCATTAACTGTGTATCTCCAATATGCTAGTTGATTATAAAAGTAGCCGTAGAAAGTGTCAAATTTTTCAAATCTAAACCTTTTCGACAGGATCTATAAATAAATCGGAATAAACAAAAGCACCCAGACTTATAACATATCACTGATTATATTGCAGACAGTACACTAACACTAAATTGCGTAAAATTAACCGACAAAGTGAACCATTACTCCAGCTGTTTCGTCTTTCCTGCAATAAAGGAGAAAATGTCCTATTTATCTGTTTTGTCCAAACTAAGCAGGGTAGAAGTATTAATATTTGTGATGTTTCGTTCGAAAAGATATTTTGCTCTAGCCAAAGTATCCCAGACGCTTCCTTCCCTCTAACATTGATCAGCATCTAATTTCTCCTAAAAAATTCACAGCATAACTGTCTTTTAAAAGAATAAAAGAATTAATCATGCACCAAGAAAAGGAGGTTGAGGACAAGATCTCTCGTGCTTATCATCAGGAAAATTTGCGAGGTACAGTGTGTGACAACTTTAATGTAACGTATGATGACTCGGATTGAAAGAGAATGGACGAGGAGCGACAGTACACCCCCCCGGGACAAAGTATGGCTCACCAAATTCATGTAGCAGAAACCGAGTACGGTAGTTAAACCCTACACGTGATTAGAGTTTTACTTATTAGCTTTGCAATGTTTGCCTTTTTTTTTATCAAAGACAAGGTAGGCCTGCGGCCTTCTACGTCAATTCCATGTAGACACTGTCCAATGTAAGGCGATGCACTAAAAATGCCTTTCACAATCTCGGAGAAAAAGCGAAACATCATTTGTATCTATTTCAGTTATTTACATTCAAAACGGAATCCGATATCAAACGATCAGCAGTAGATCTAATTTCGGACAAAACCAAAATTGAATCTCGGGGGTAATATTTAGGGAGTTCGAGAAGTTTGAATTGGCTCCAGTGCTTGTAATCGAACGTTTCGGTAATGTTTTTTTCCTTTTCTTTCGCATTCTTTTCAACAGTGAACAAGAACTGTGATCATGATACATAAAAGAACAAAAAAGGTGCATTGAACACATGCCTACATTAATAAGTCATTAATTGAGTACATCGTACCACAAAAAGGATCCTTCGAGGTTGTTTGCAAGTAGAAGCTTCCTCCCTTTTTAGTAAGATCAGCATCGAAACCCAAGCTTGGACATTCGCCATTACAGCTAGTGCAACTCCCTTTCAGAAATGTGATGTAATTAGCACACGGATAGGCTTTCCAGGAGCATGATCCTTCAACAGACGCGAGGAAATATTTTGGTGCTCTTCCGTGGTCGCAATCTTAAAAAAAATAACAAGTGAATTCATACAAAAGGCCAGTGAGGTCATTTTTGTCTGGGTGATGCAAATAATGTATGTCATAGTTAAATGGTGATTTTCTTGCCACCTCTGCCCTTTGGAAGGTTGTTAAGGGAGTTAACGAAATGACGACCGACGACGATGGCAATGAAAACGTCAGAGAAAGCAATTACGTTTGCCTGTAGGTCAGGTGACCTCCTCAGACTAGTAGCAATTATCATAGATTAGTGATTGCGTTCGAGTTTGTGCTTTCTCATCTGTCAAGCATTATATTATTTCAATACCAGAGAAAAGTTATAAAAAACTTTTAAAAAACATTTATTCTCTTCTCGTAGACTGCTTAAAATGTGTGTATTTACCCAAGAATTTGTTCGATAAAAATCAGAACTACCTCCCAAATTCCGTAAAAAGATAAGAAATATTTCGAGCGAATAATTATGATTGTCTCCATTTTGTAAATTCTTACTTTTTGTCAGATCACTGAGAGGACAGCCTGGCTGGATGCTTCCACCATTTGGCCAAAAGTCGGTGTGACCGCTCGCACAGATAGTTCCCTGGATCCCAGCGTTGGTATGAATGACATCAACATATTGAGCGTCACTTTTATCAAGCCGAAAGCTGTTCGAGACTGTTATGAAAAACAGACTAGCAGGATCTAAGCCTGATAGCCAATAAAAATGGTTAGCGTGATCAGGTGTGGTGTAAGGGACATAACTTTCTTCATTTATATAACGTATTTGATTATTTACCTGTTATGCGGCCCAAGCTCAATCCATACTTATCCTGAAAATAACTCCCAGCGTAACCTGCGACTTGTGCTCCAAGGCTGTGGCCCACAATGTAGAATCGATTTACAGCGGAACTAGCCGAGTGAGAAGTACTGGCGATGAGGAACCTTATGAGCTCTCCTATCTGAGCCCCAACAAGCCGAGCATTCCCAGTGGCTTGACCATATGGGGATGCAGCTCCTTTGGACCAGTCTACCATTATCACATTGCAGTCCTCACGATTTAACAGTGCGCCTTTGATTTCATAATAAATACCCTCAAGATTGCCTAGTAAGACGTAAAATACACAAACTTTGATTTTCATTTGACACAATGGAGTGAATTTAAGTTATTTTTAGAGACCACTTCTGTAAGATTCCGAATTCCGAACCATTAGTATAGTTACACTGATAGAACGCCGAAAGGCCGAAAATGCAAGGGACTGGCAAAATCTGTTCGCTAGTAGGAGCTATCGTTATATCGAGGTTCTTTTTCATATATTTTACTATGACTTGGTTAAAGAAAATCTTTCGTTATGCTGCGTTCTTTATATCAAGGTTTGTTATATCGATCGAGCTTCCACTAAAAATGTACTAAATGTGCTGTAGCTGTTTTTTTTTTGTTATTTATAAGTATTATTTTAGTAACGCTCTCACCAGTGGCAGATCCAGACCTTCAGATAAGGGGGGGTCCGGTCATTTAGACCCTGAGATAAGTGGGGAGGAGGGGGGCGGTCTTAAAAAAAATTGTTTCGGCCCTTCGGGACTCAGTTTGATCCAAAAATAAGGGGGGCCCCGGACTCCCTCCCCTGGATCCGCTACTGCTTACTACGCCTAATAATAACTAATAAATGTTTAATTTCATCAACTTTATAATTAGTAAAAGCTGGATCTTACCTGTAAATCCATGAATAAGAAAAATCGTTCGTCTGGAAATCTCGAAAAATGAATCTCTGAGCTTGTTTACATCGCTGTCATCAATGATTTTCGCAGTCTGACTGTTTTTCCTGGTAAAAAGGAGAAAAGAAGTTCCAAGTTTGGATGGTTCTTGTGGAAGCCGCACCAGAAGATTCGGATGACGGTCAAAGCAGCCATATTTGTCATAACAGACCTTGGATTTAAAAAGCCAACCTATAGAGAAAAAGTTACAATGTCTTTGGATTGTAATTGATTTTTTTCCGAATTGGATATCTATGCACAAATAGATATAAAGTGCTATATCCAGGGGCAACGGAAATGATACCAAATTATGCACTGAAGCACACGTACCAACTCCTCGGTATGGCCAATACCTTACGCTTGCGTACAACCGTATCACTCCGGCAGTGGCAGCCATAGACAGCTGTTTTGTCCTTATTGGGGCTCATCGGCATGGTATAGCCGTCGGATCAATGAGGGGGGGAAAGTGGCCATACCGCGGAGTCGGTGCGTGTGCTTCAGTCCATAATTTAGTATTGAAAAGGAAATGACTTGAATGAATGAAGGAACGAAGGAAGAAAGGGAAAAGGGAAGAAAGGGGAAAAGGGAATGAATGACCAGTAAATGAACGAATGAGCGAAAGACCGAAAACTGAAGAAAGGAATAGATAATTATGACTTGGTAAAATCACAATCATCTCATATCTTGTCACTAGTTAAGTGCTTACTAATCAATATTTCAAACAATGCGCAACGTAACGAATTGAGATGATTCTTTTGTGGAAACGTAAACTCGATGATATTCGCCTTCACTTAGCTTATTGTGGAGAAAAGAAGTAAAATAAATTTTTCGTGCCCTGTTTTGAGTTCTTTTGTCTTTTTAAAGCAATCTAGGATTTTAGCATCAGTAAGTTAAGAATAATCAAGTTTTACGAGTTTTTACGTTCCCATACGAGCCCTATAGATCGTCACGTTACCCAATATTACTTAATATGTTAAGCACCTCTCCATTGTACTAAACAGGTTATTTTCTTTAAACAAATGGAAAAGCAGATCCGTAAAGTATAAAACACAAAACTGAAATGTTGGTTTCGAAACCGATGGATAAAGGTGCACTAAATCAGATAATACCTTCGCTCCTCGGCCACCTTAAAAACTTTAACCTCGCACTAAGCGCTCAGTCATTATTTTCATTAAAGAAGGCCTCGTAACAAAATTGCCCCAAAGGTCTTCGTATCTCAAGAGGAGTGAAAAGCTTTCAAGTTGAAAGTCACCACCAATAATATAAAACAGTCATGTAACCACGAAGTATAGCAAATGAAGAACTATTGCTAATTTATTCCACTGAGAGTAACAGAATCTCGACTTGTTTTTTAAGTTCCAGTTTGTTGTGATGGTGATCAACATTGTCTTGAATATCAAGGTAGTTGCGGACAATTTTCCTTCTTTTATTAACAGTCAGCTAGGACTAGGGGAGCTTAAGGAAGGCGTGCAGTCTTGCATGTCCGGTGTTATTGTCATATTTGATACAAACGTGCTAGTTAACAATCCTGTGAAAATTACCCAACAGTAGATCAAGAGCAGAAAAAATTGTGTGATTAAGAGAACTATGTGGCAAAGTTGTCAATTGTAGGTTACCAACGCGGCTAAATACAACTTGACAACTGACAACTCCCCACTCCTGAATTTTTATACTAAAAATGGCATAATCATGTGACTGATGACGAAAAAGGGTTTTCATCTCATCTCTAACCGAGACTGTTCCACAACATTAGAAACATAATTCTAAACTCTAAAACTCACCACTTGATGAATGAAAAAGAATCAAAGAAGCCAGAGAAAACAGCATCGTTATCTGTATTGCAACAAACACTTTGATAAATAAATAAAAAAATATTCACGTATAAACAGTGCTTTAATCACTTGATCCGTATTCAAAATAATAAGATTCAGCAGCTGAGCAACCAAAGCTATCCAAATGAATTATCCGTTTTAATTTAACAGTGGGATTTACCTTAACCCTATATAGCTATTCAGACCAGGGTAGGAAGGGTTTGAGGCCCCCTTAGCTAAAAAGTTGAATAACTTTAAAACTGTTCAAGCTATGACCGCCAAACATTTAAAGTCATCGTAACGTTTTGTGTAGTCTTGTTGCCGTGGCAACATTGATGTTACGATGGCAACCGAGTTTTTACAGCCCTGCTTTTTTAATTTGCATTTTTTCTATTAAAAAAGGCTTCATTTGTATCTTTCTTCATTGAATTATAGCTGTTAATGCAATTCCAGCCATCTAGAGATTAAATGGAGAAAACAACGTTAATATAAAACGACAAAATGGCAGATTCTGGGTTTAATTTTCAACAACGGCTATTTCTCTCCCAATTTCATAACTTGTCGATTGTTTTGCTTCCTAAGTATTCTTATGTACGCTGATCAAGTTTTCTTTCGCGATTTCCTCCATTCACACGGGTGTTAAGTAAAAGAGAATGCATTTAATTAATTCAGAATAAAGGATCTAAGATAGAAAATACTTCTAGTTCCTTCTTTAATGATAACGGATGTCATCATAACATCACTGCTATTGTTTAAGATTATTTATGTGTAAGCCAACCTCTTGAATTTATTAGACACCTTCCTATTTAAGTGTATTTCGCTTATGGCTACTTAAAGTGAAATCTGGATTTTCCTAATAAATGCAGCAATATGACGTCAGGATGAGGTCAAATTACTTCATTGTGTCAATCAAGTTATGCCTAGATGTTTAAAATGATGAGTACATTATACTGTGTAATTTTGATGGCCATATCTTGAGCGGTTTTGAAGTTATAGGGAGGATCGAGGCTTCGAGGCCTCACCCCGGTCGCAGGAGGCAGAAAAATGCCCGGTCTAAATAGGGTTAACAAAAGATTACTGGAAGACCAGGAGCCGATTACTTATCGGCTCCTCTGGAAGACCAATTACCCAGCTAATTATTCATAACCAACTGGCGCTTACCATATTTGGAAGATGCCATCGATTAGAAGATAAATTAGATTGGAAACGATCAAGGTTGGTCGATGGTATATTTCCTTGGAAACGAGGCTGCTTGGGCAATAGTGAGCTAAAAAAATGGCGTTCACGGCTATCCCAAGACGTGTGAATAGCTGAATCTCTGACTAATACTAAAATTGAATGAGAGAAATGCAAATATACGCAAAGCATATTGCACGATGGATGTTATCTACCTTTTGTGGAATATCTGCAAGGAAATAGATCTGTTTATTACCTGAAACCGTGCAGAGAAACAGCTCAAAGTTTTGAATGAAGTCTACGAGGAGGTTAGTCTGCTACAAAGCAGACGCAACGCTCCTCCTAGGCTCGATTACCAGCCGCTGTTCGGGAAAACGAGCCCGCACTCATCCCCCCGACGGCGGAAATAGAGCCTACGCTCCTCCCCACAGTTGCCGACACTAAAAACGGCTGTGTAGCAGACTACGAGGAAGTAAGCTTGTTAAGAAATTAGAAATGTTTTGAATGAGCAATAAAATGATTATTGTATTCGGCCTTCGCATGATGTGAAGAATTATGCTGATCTCGGAGGCTGTTATCCGCCTCGGCTGATAACATCCTCCTTGATCTGTAAAATTCTTCACATCATACTCATATCCTAAGACTCGACGTGTTCCAGCAAGAACTTGAAATCTGTCAATTAAGTTCGTTTAACATTCTTCATTGAGTGGAAGCTGGATTAGAATTTTTTTACAATAAAGGAGAGTTAATTTGCCGCTATATTCTATGTTTTGTTCTTTGTTTCACTAAACCTAAAGGCTCTAAATAGGTAATTTTAGTTCGGTCGTGTCGAAGGTTTGTTGCCCGATGCTTACAGTCACGTTTTGCCAGCGTGGATTGTTAAATGGATCGTTAAATTCTGTCTTTTTGCCTGTCAGGGAAAGCCGTTAGACGGAAGTTTTCTAAAACGTTAAGAATTCATTTATACTTTTCTGTGTTCGGAATCTTTAAGTTTTATTGTTCAACGACTTTTTTGGTTACTTCGAACAAAACTTCATCGCTGTGTAAATAGTAAGTTCTAGTGGTGTTGTAAATAAAAAAAGGTTGTACTTGTGATAACATGAAGTCATTTTTAAATCGTTTTGGAAAACGGGAAGAAGGGAGGGGAAGGGAGACTTTGTAACAAGGATCGCGAGTGTTGCATGCTTTGTAGTGCGCCGATACTAGCACCCTGCTAGCGGCAGAGGCCTCTTTTCCCTTGTCATTCGCTGGTCACCTGGCCTTACTCTGTTGTTCACGGAGTTGACAGAGAATATTTATACGCCTGAAATAAAGCTACAAACCTTTTTTTAAACTCAGCTTCTAAATTTTTGCCTAAGCAAGTCCTGAGATCCATGGAGTACCATGTGAAACACAAACAATAGACACTGCAGAAATTTGACGCTATTTTCTGTAATTATTAAGGTTAATTATCTGCTGGGGCGACATCATTTTTTGCCAAGGGAAGACATCTTGTGCTTTTATGCTTCTGTGTATGTTAAAGGCAAAGGATTAGGGAGGTTAAAATGTTGCTAAGAACGTTGTACAAAAAGTAGGCAAGTTTTCCGAATCAAATTAAAGCCAATTTATTAAAAAGGAATTAACGGAAACATTCACGTTTCATAACATTTCATTTCATTTATTGCAGACAGTTTTAAAATCAAGAAAAACTGACTGACCCAAACCCAATGGCCAAATCAGAAAAACCGAAAATCCCATCCACCCACCCTCTTTTAGCAGGAAACTCTTTGGCCTTCGCGCCTCTGTCAGCGTTAATGGTCAGGTGACAACGTAAGCAGTGTACCCATTTTTTTAGGGCGACACGATGATAAACTAAAAAAATATTTTACCTGATCTTGGAGATAAAGCGAAACAGAAGACGACATGTAGCTATTCCATTAAATGAAAGTTAAACGGAATTCGATGTCATAAGATTGCGGGATGTGATTTCGGACAAAAAAATGGTTTAAATTATACTAGGTCGCACTAAGAGGTTTGAGCTGTTGCTGCAAGGAGTGTAATCTTATTTTTCCCATTTTTTCTTTTCAATGAATTCACTTTATTGAAGTTTAAAGTGACCAGGGAGGATAAACATAGGTATATGAAATAAGCAAAACGTGCAGCAGCAGCAGATCAAATTTACCCGATCAAAAAGAATACAGTCAAACCCCTCAATTTGATACAGACACTGAAAGGGCCATAGAAATTGTCCGTATTACCACGGTGTCCGGCGTATCAAGCGGGGTGAATTATTAAGAGAAAATGTAAGGGATTTCTTTCATTTTAACGAACAAGGAAACAAGGGCTAAAACCTTGAAAGAATTTAAACGCTGTCTTGCAAAATTTGATACTGACAAAATGAATTTCGAACCTATTTTAGCTACAACTAAAAACAGAGATATCGGTTACGAATACTTTTAACAGTTTTAATTTTCAATTGTACATTTGCACAACCTATTTTAGCTATAACTAAAAACAGAAATATAGGTTAGAAACATTTTTACAGTTTTTTATTTATAATTATGCATTTGCTTTCAGTATTCCTTATTCTCCTTGTAATTGTTGTATGCACGACCCCGCCAGCAATGCTGATTTTTTTTTTCGTGCTAAAATAAAGTTTTCATCTTATCTTAACTTATCCCCAGGGTTAAAGAAGACTGTCCCTAAAAATGAGCGAAACTGCCCATATTGACCTAACTGGTTAAGCCGTGATCTTCTTGGTCATGATTGAAGACCGCTCTAAATGTGATTAGTGCGTTTTGATTCGCCTTTTGTCACAGTCATAACGGACCTAGTTAGTCAAATTTTCCTCTGTCAAGTTATTTGTTTGTTGAGTCAGTGGCGTTTGCGTCTAACAGTTGTACTTACACATTCAATTAAGAAGCGAATAAAGTAGAGTTTGTCTCGATATACATTGTCCAATCGCCCCATGCATTATCTACTACATAAAGCATGGGGTAAGGAAATCCAAGAGATCGAGTCTTGGATTCTGGATTCCAGGCACTGGATTCCCCGGCTGATTCTCTGTCAGTGGAACTTAGATTCCAGATTTCAATCTTTAAGGGATTCCTGATTCCTTGAGCTGAGGGTTTTCTGGATTTCAAAGTCCAGAATTCCGAATTCCACTTGCAAAGGCAAAATATGGACAACTCATGACAAGCGAAAAATGCTCAATTTTTTTACGTGTACTAACTGTGTATCTCCAGTATGCTAGTTGATTATCAATAAGTTTGTCGTGTTGATAAAAGTACCTGTAAATAGTGTCAGATTTGTCAAATCTCAGCCTTTTTAACCGGACCAATATGTGAATAAATCGGAATAAACGAAAGCACCCAGACTTCATAACATATCACTAATTTTATTGCGAGAGTACTCTAACAGTGCGTAAAATTAACGGACAAAATAAACTAGGTACAGTTATTGAACCATTACTCCTGCTGTTTTAGTTTCCATCGGCCTTTAGGGCGTCTTTCCTGCAATAAACGAGAAAATGACCTATTAAGCTGTTCTGTCCAAACTAAGCAGGGTAGAAGTATTATTATTTTGTTATGTTTTGGTTCGAAAATATATTTTGCTCTAGCCAAAGGATCCCTGACGAATCCTTCCCTCTAACATTGATCAGCATCTAATTTCTCCTAAACAATTCACTGCTCAACTGCCAAACCAGTATAACCGTCTTTTAAAAGAATAAAAGAAATAATCCTACACCAAGTAAAGGAGGACAAGATCTCCTGTGGTTATCATCTTTAAAAAGTGCGAGATACAGTGTGACGACTTTAATATAACGTATGTTGACTCGGGTTGAAAGAGAATCGAAGAGGAGTGACAGCACCCCCCCCACCCCTCTTGGGGGAAAATAGTAGGGCTCACCAAATTCATTTGGCAGGGTTAAATCCTACCCGTGATTAGAGTTCAACTTATTAACTTCGGCTCTTTTCTTTTATCAGAGACAACGTAGGCCTGTCTTTTACTTATAGTCCGTGTAGACATTCTCCAAAGTAAGGCGATGCACTGAAAATGCCTTTCACCATCTTGGAGATAAAGCGAAACATCATTTGTTTCCATTTCAGTTATTTGAAGCCAAAACAGAATCCGATATCAAACGATTAGCAGAAGATCTAATTTCTGACAAAAGCAAAATTGAATCACAGGGGAGGGGTAATATTCAGAAAGTTTGAGAAGTTTGAATTGGCTGTAGTGCACGTAATGGAACGTTTCTGATCAGTAGTGTTTTTCTTCCTTTTCTTTTGCATTCTTTTCAACAGTGAACAAGAACAGTGATCATGATACATAAAACAACAAAAAAGGTGCATTGAACACGTGCCTACATGAATAAGTTGTTATTAATTGAGTACATCATACCACAAAAAGGATCCTTCGAGGTTGTTTGCAAGTAGAAGCTTCCTCCCTTTTTAGTAAGATCAGCATCGAGACCCAAGCTTGGACATTCGCCATTACAGCTTGCGCAACTGCCTTTCAGAAATGTGTCGTAATCAGCACACGGATAGGCTTTCCAGGAGCAAGATCCCTCAACAGACGCCAGGAAGTACTTTGGTGCCCTGCTGTGGTCGCAAGCTTTAAAAAATAACATCAAGTGAATTCATACAAAAGGCAAATGAGGAAATTTTTGTCTGGGTGATGCAAATAATGTAGGAAATAGTTAAATGGCGATTTTCTTGCCACCTCTGCTCGTTGATAGGGTATCAGGAAGTTTACCAAATGACTACGACGATGGCAACGAAAACGTCAAAAAGCAATTACGCTTGCTTGCAGGTCAAGTGACCTCCTCAGACTAGTAGCAATCATAGAGAAGTGAGTGCGTTCGAGTTTTGTTCTTGGCGCTACCTTAACTGTCAAGCAGTACAAAATCAGAGAAAAGTTTTAAAAACACTTTAAAAAAAGATTTATTCACTTCTCGTAGACGGCTTAAAATGTGTCTGACTATTTACCCTTGCTAGAGTGTGGTCAGTTAAAATCAGAAGTAGCTCCCAAAACTTTATTTCGTAAAAAGATAAGAAATATTTCGAGCGAATATTATGATTGTCTCTACTTTGTAAATGCTTACAATTGAAAAAACAGCCTGGCTGACTGCTTCCACCGTTTGGCCAAAAGTCGGTGTGACCGCTTGCAAGAGTGGTGCCGACGACCCCAGCGTCGGTATGAATGACATCAACATATTGAGCGTCACTTTCATCAAGCCGAAAGCTGGTCGGGTCTGTTATGAAATACAGACCAGCAGGATCTAAGCCTGATAGCCAATAAAAATGGTTAGTGTGACAAATGTGTGTAAGGGACGTATCTTTCTTCAGTTATATAACGTATTTGATTATTTACCTGTTATGCGGCCCAAGCTCAATCCATACTTATCCTGCAAATAACTCCCAGCGTAACCTGCGACGTGTGCTCCAAGGCTGTGGCCCACAATGTAGAATCGATTTACAGCGGAACTAGCCGAGTGAGAAGTACTGGCGATTAGGAACCTTATGAGCTCTCCTATCTGAGCCCCAACAAGCCGAGCATTCCCAATGGCTTGGCCAGGAAGGGATGCAGCTCCTTTGGACCAGTCTACCATTATCACATTGCAGTCCTCACGATTCAACAGCGCGCCTTTGATTTCATAATAAATACCGTCAAGGTTGCCTATGTAAAATACATAAACTTTGATTATAAAAATGCCAAGTCAAATCCCACGTTGACACCAGACAACCTTGATTCAACTTTGATTATAGTCATTTTCTTTTGACACAATGGAGTGAATTTAAGTTATTTTTAGATACCACTTCTGTAAGATTCCGAATTCCGAACCATTACTATAGTTAATAGTAATAATAATAATAATTTATGAACTTATTGTGCGTAGCTTAACATGAGAATGATCAGCTGCGCATTACAACTGCATTACTTTAATAGAAACAAATAAAAGATAATGCATTAAAAAAATAAAAAATAGAAGGAATATATATGCATGCAAGTAAGAACTGAATATAAAATTGCTCACCAATATAAAGGCTTAAAAAGATAAGTCTTAATATGCGCCTTATAGTTACACTGGAACCTCGATATAACGCCGAAAAGCAAAGGGACTGACAAAATCTTAACTAATATTACGAACGGTTTCGATATATCGAGCTTCTTTATATACCGCATTTCCTCTAATGGTAGCCGTACCTCGATTAAACGCGTTCCTCGAATAATCGCCCCCCTTTGATGGAAATACTTAAAATAATCGCCTCCCTCGAATAATCGCCTCTCCCCTCGCCCCTCTCCCCATCTTCTCTTCCCGTTATCCCCTCCCTGACAAGTTGAAGTGCACTGCGATTCAGCAAACCTGATCAGTGACAAGTCAAGCGCTACCTCTGAAAATAAATCAAGGAACTAAATTTGTAAAACTTAAAAAGCCCATGTTCAGTTTATTTGACGTGATTATTTTTTGATTTAATGGGAAAATAAAACAAAATATTAAGGGCACGACTTCCACTGAGCAATATTTGAAATAATCGCTTCCCGCGAAAAATCGCCCCCTTTTTGTGCGAAAAAAGAAATAATCGCCCCCGGCTATTATTCGAGGAAATACGGTATTCTACTATTACTTACTAGGTTAAAGAAAATTGTTCGTTATACTTAGCTACAATGGTCGTTATATAGAGGAGGTTCCACTAAAAAATGTCGTGTAGCTGTTTTTTTTTTGTTAATTTCATCAACTTTATAATTTGTAAAAAAGCTCGATCTTACCTAAATATCCATGAATAAGAAAAATAGTTCGTCTGGAAATCTCGAAGAATGAATCCCTGAGCTTGTTTACATCGCTGTCATCAATGATCTTCGCAGTCTGACTGTTTTTCCTGGTAAAAAGGAGAAAAGATGTTCCAAGTTCGGATGGTTCTTGTGGAAACCGCACCAGAGGATTCGGATGAAGGTCAAAGCAGCCATATTTGTCATAACAGACCTTGGATTTAGAAAGCCGACCTACAGAGAAAAAGTTACAATGTCTTTGGATTGTAATCACTTTTTTTCCGACTTGGATATCAATGCACAAATAGATATAAGGTGTTTTATCCAGAGGCAACGGATATGCTACCAAATTATGCACTGAAGCACACCTACCAACTCCGCGGTATGACAATACCTTACGCAAGCGCACAACCATATCACCCCGGCAGTGACAGCCATGGACAGCTTAGCCTGTTCCAGGCGTTCAGCTAGTAGAGCGCGGCGGTAAGTGAATTTTTCTGTACTATCTGAACGCCTGGAACAGGCTATGGACCACTCAATGTTTCGCCTTTATAGTATTGCAACTCATCAGCATGGCATAGCCGTCGGGTTAATGAGCAGGGGAAACTGGCCATACCGCCAATTTGGCACTTGTGCTTCAGTGCGTAATTTGGCATTGCAACGGAAATGACTTGAATGAATGAAGGAACGAAGGAAGAAAGGAAAAAGGGAAGAAAGGGGAAAAGGGAATCACTGACCAGTGACTGAATGAATAAACGAAAGACCCAAAAAGTGAAGAAAGGAATAAATAAATATGATTTGGTAAAATCACAATCATCTCTCATAGCTAGTCACTAGTTAAACGCTTAGTAATCATCTAGCAAACAATACGTAAAGTAACAATTTAAGATGATTCTTTTGGGGAAAAGTAAACTCGATAATATTCGCCTTCACTTAGTACTGTGGAGAAAAGAAATAAAATAAACTTTTTCTTGCTGTATTTTTAGTTCTTTGGTCTTTTTAAAGCAATTTAGGCTTTTAGCACAAGTAAGTTAAGAATAATTTTTACGAATTTTTTACGTTCCCATACGAGCCCTATAGATCGTCACGTTACCCAATATTACTTAATATGTTAATGCACCTTTCCCATTGTATTGAACAGGTTATTTTCTTTAAACAAGTGGAAAAGCAGATTTTACAATACTTGATGTATAATGTTACATAGGCTAGAGTCTCTAAATAACAAAATTTAATCATAGTGATCTTCAATAGGCTTTCATAATGTAAGGTGCATTGGGGACAGAAATGCGCTTAATAAGAATCTATAGTGTTATTATCATTATTATTATCATTATTATTATTATTATTAAAAGCAGATCCGTAAAGTATTAATCACTAAACTGAACCGTTGGTCTCGAAACAATGGATAAAGGTGCACTAAATCAGATAATACCTTCGCTCCTCGCGCAGCCATCTTAAAAATTTTAACCTCGCACTAAGCGCTCAGTCATTATTTTCATTATAAAGAAGGCCTCGCAGCAAAATTGCCCCAAAGGTCTTCGTTTCACAAGAAGAGTGAAAAGCTTTCAAATTAAAAGTCACCAGCAATAATATAAAACGGTCATGTAACCACGAAGTATAGCAAATAAAAAGCTATTGCTAATTTTTCCGCTGAGAGTAACAGAGTAAAGACTTTTTTTAATTTGTTCAAGTTTGTTGTGATGGTGATCAACATTGTCTTGCATATCCATGTAGTCGCGGAAAATTTTCCTTCTTTTATTGAAAGTCAGCTAAGGCTAGGGTGGCTTTAGGAAGGCGTGCCGTCTCGCATGCCTCGTGTTATTGTCATATTTAATTGATACAAACGTACTAGTTAACAATCCTGTCATAACTACCCAACATTAGATCAAGAGCAGGAAAAATGGTGTGATTCACAGGAACATCTGACAACACTCTCAATTGTAGCTTAGTGGCTACAACTAATGATAACTGACAACTCCCCACACCTGAATCTTTTATACGAAAAGCCTGAGATGGTATATGTGACTGATGACGAAAGGGGTTTTCATCTCATCTGAAACCGAGACAGTTCCACAACCTTAAAAACATAATTCTAAACTCTAAAACTCACCATGCACTTGATAAATGAAAAAGAAGACCTCGTAGCAAATTTGCCCCCAAAGGTCCTCGTATCGCAGGACGAGTGAAAAGCTTTCAAATTACAAGTCACCACCCATAATATAAAACGGTCATGTAACCACAAAGTATAGCAAATACAAAACTATTGTTATTTTTTCCGCAGAGCGACAGAATGAACACTTGCTTTTTTTCAGTTTGCTCTGACGCGGTGATCAACATTGTATTGAATCTAGTTACGGAAAATTTTCCTCCTTTGTTATAAAAGTTACTGTAGCTTCAGCAAGGCGTGCCGTCTCGCATGCCTGGTGTTATTGTCATATTTGATACAAACGTGCTAGGTAACAATCCTGTGAAAACTGCCCAACAGTAGATGAAGAGCAGGAAAAATAGTGTGATTAAAAGAATCATGTGGCGACGCTCTCAGTTGTAGCTTACCAACGCGGCTAAATACAACTTGATAACTGACAACTCCCCACTCCTGAATTTTTATACTAAAAATGGTATATGTGACTGATGACGAAAAAGGGTTTTCATCTCATCTGTAACCGAGACTGTTCCACAACATTAGAAACATAATTCTAAACTCTAAAACTCACCACTTGACAAATGAAAAAGAATCAAACAAGCCAGAGAAAACAGCATCGTTATCTGTATTGTAGCAAACACTTTGATAAATAAATAAAAAAATATTCACGTATAAACAGTGCTTTAATAACTTGATACGTATTCAAAATAATAAGATTCAGCAGCTGAGCAACCAAAGCTATACAAATGAATTATCCGTTTTAATTTAACAATGGGATTTACCTTAGCGTTAAATAGCTATTCAGGCAAGATTTTCCCAATAATGAAATGCAACAATTGACGTCATGATGAGCCGTTTGTAACTGGCTTTAAAATCACTTAAATGCCTTTTCTTTTGTTCTTATTTTTGTTCTTCTTATTTTTTTATTATAATTATTCTAATTATTACACCTAGAATTTTCTATACATTCTACGTTGCCCTAGAAAATTCGAAGACATTCTCACAATAGATAAAGTTTTCGGAGAAAATTTGAAAGGACCCCTAAAAATTTCGGCTAAGGGAAAAGCTCGTCAGGTAATCTGACGTTTTCGGAAAGCTTTCACTGTAGGCTGTTATTTTCGGGAAAGGCGAAAAACAGCCCTTAAATATTCGAGAGGTTCAAACCACTCCTAGGACGACCGAACAGATCAAATTTTTTTATCGATGCTAATTATTCATTTATATTGCTTTTAAAGCACTCCAGGATGCACAACGAGCCATTTCAGATCATTTCCCAGAAAACGTCGTTGGGTGCCCCTGTCATTTAACAAGGACGACATTGCTTGTGTCCTAAGACTCACTGTTCAAGCAAGAACTTGAAATCTGTCAATTAAGATTGTCGTTTAACATTCTTCATTGAGTGCAAGGTTGCTCAGAATGTCTTTACAATAAAGGAGACTGAATTTGCCGCTATATTCTATGTTATATTCTTTGTTTCACTAAACCTAAAGGCTGTAATTAGGCCATTTTAGTTCGGTCGTGTCGAAGGTTTGTTGCCCGATGCTTACAATCAGGTTTGCCAGCATTGATTGTAAAACGGATCGTTAAATTCTGTCTTTTCGCCTTTCAGGGAAAGCCGTTACACGAAGTTTTCTAAAACGTTAAGAATTCCGTTCATACTTTTTGCGTTCGGAATCTTTAAGTTTTATTGTTCAACGATTTTTTTGCTTATTTCGAACAATATCAAAGATTTTTCATTTTGCTTTAAGATATATAGCTTTGTCTTCTTAAAAACTAAAAGTTGCTTTTGCTCTTAAAATATCTTACTTGTGAAAACTTTGTTATCGAAGATTTGTATATCTGAGTCGTTCTGATGATACCACGGTCGGCTCTCGGACGGCTCCGTAACGGTTTTAATCCTTTTCAGTCGGTGAACCGCTAGCGGCACGCGCTGTTTAATTACTGTTAACATACAAAGTATTAAATGAACAGCTATGCGGTTCGATAAATAATTTGTTTGTCGGGCCGCTAGCTTTGTTTTTCGGTATATGCAGGGTATAAATAAGGTTTCAGTTCCAAATGATTCTTCACTCAGTTTGTTGCTCAACTGTGAAAAGTTATCAGCTCAGTCAAATGGATTGTGCTCAGTTGAAATCTATCGTTTCCCTTGTGGATTCTCTTCTACGTAACACGCATGTCAGAAAGTCACGTGTGCTGTCATCAAATCAAGTTCCTGTTGGTGAATCATCCTTGGCTCCTGTGTCAAGCAAGTCTCTAACTGACTTCTCCATCTGCAGCATCCTGGGTCTAGAACATGAAATCAGTCAACCTTCCCCAAGTTCCGGTAAGTTAAGAATATTCTAGCTTCCGATACTCCGCGAGGCCTTAGTCGAGGGCATCATTTGGCATTTTTGATAATTTTCATCCTATTGCCTTTCTACTATTTCAATCCATCTCTGAGTGAACAGAAAAAGAGCAATACTCCGCTTCAGACAGGAGATTTCTGTTGTTAAAACGTCTAGCCATTAGAGCGGTATTATGAAACGACTTATATCTATCCAACCCGAAAATTGTCCGTAGGAATAAACATTAAAACACGTGTTCATATTTATGTTGACTACTTGTATTTAAGTGATATCAAGAGGAAATAATAGGTGACTTGTGAAAAACTAAAATTCAATTCTTCTTTAATTTACAGAATGCAACAGTGATACCAGTCCGCCGTTATCGCCTTACTCCGACTGCGCAAGTCCGCGTCCCAGCCACAGGGCAACCAGTCCACCGTTAACTCCTTACTCTGACATCACAAGTTCCAGCAGCTATTGTGACAGTGGGCCCGATCAAGCTTCGACTCCAACCGAACATTCAGCAACGAAGAAGCGACAGCGTACGACCTTCTCACCGATCAAAGTTTGGGAGCTGGAACGAGCATTCAGACGGCGGCCATATTTGCTAAAAGAAGACGAGGAGGAACTGGTACAAAGACTCGGAATCACGGCTAAAAGTGTGAAGGTGAGTTTCTTTCTTTCATGTTTCCTATCATGAACGTAAATAACGAGAAACAATGTGTATTTGCACCCTAGGAGGGACGGAATTTCAATTCGCAGCTCGGCAACTGTAAAGCGATTTTTCAGTCCGAAATATTTTGAAAAGAAGAATGCATTTGTTCGAATTCCGACGTATAACAGTAATTTTATGTGATCTTGCAAATAAAAGTAAAACTTATGGTTTGTCATTGTAATTTCCTAAATTTCTTCGAAACAAAGTCATAGTGTTTTCTTTAAGTGATGTGACATACTACAATGTTGCAGTTGATCTATTTTTCAGTCAGAAAAACGGTTCGGCAAATGTATACAAATCAATGGTACTGTGTGGTGCCGTGCCGGTGTAGATTATTGCCATGTTACTGCCCCAATTTAGTTAATTTTTGTTCTCTATAATTTCTTGCAGTATTGGTTTCAAAACCGACGAGCCAAGTCTAGGAAACTGGAGAGAGAGATTTCATCCGTCTGTCATACGAGCCTGCCAAACCAGTTTGTTCGCCGACCCTATCCAGCCTGGAAACAGGGCGAACGAGTGTCCTGTCCAGCGATGGAAAGCTACTTTAGAGATAACCGGAGAACAGTTGCCAGTCGTCAACTCTCAGTCAAGTCAAACAGTGTACTGAAGTTCCACCCTGACCAGTTCACAATCAGACCAGTTGAGCCGGCAAGACTACCGTACAACCGTGCCTCGTACAGATATCAACCATACTAAGTTGCAGAAAATAAAGACTGTGATGAATTGACTGTGAATACGATAAAAGAGCTGAAAAAGCTTAAAATAATTTACAAGTATGAAACAGCTCAAATAACACCATACAAAAACTGAATGTTATCTAAGTAGTTTATTAGGAGAAAAATAATTTTTGTTCATCGCTTTGTAAATAGTTCTAGTAATGAAGCTGGTAGTGTTGTAATAAAAGAGTTTCTACATTTTATAACATGAAGGTTGATCGTCATTTAGTAATCTTTTAGCTTCATTTATTGATGAACGGGGAAGAGTGGGTAATTGTGGTAGTGATAATATGAAGTTTAATCGTTATTTGGTGAGTTGACAAGGGATCAACAGTTGGAAACGTTTGATTTTAGAATTTAAAATGCTTTTTTTTCGACTCAGCAACAACATTGAACGGGAAAGTTTGGCAATGAGGATCCCGTAGTGGGATTGATGAAAGGAGAGCGACCCGAATCCTAGGGCCGACATTACTTAACGAAACTTGTGTACTCTATAAGTGATGGAAAGGACACAAAAATATCTTTGAGCAGAGTAATTAGTTCACTAGATTATAACAATTAGCGCACTTTTCTCTGAGCGAATTCAACTCAAAAGGCAACAAATGCACGAAACGGCTTGGATGGATCAAAATTGGGCTATTCCTTGACAATGCTTAGTCCTGGCGGTGAGACTGAGATGTTCGCGCTATGAACAGGTTTGTGAGCGGTTTAATGAGTTTTTTTATAACACAAAAGAATGAATAAATGCCGAACAATAGCCACACAGAAACACTTAAGCTGACTGCACACTTGTTGCCTCAACACCCGGAAATAACTGCTTCAAAGTACGGAGCGCATGTGCTCTTGCAAGGTGGCGGCCCGGTGCTTAATCGTGTTTTTGTAAATTTCTTTGCCGTCCCTGTACAACTACGATGTAAATTAACCTAGTAATTGTTATTAAAATAAGTCGATTTGAGAGCGGGAACGGCAAGGCGAGAAAATTTATCACCTCTCTTTGATCTCGTACGCATGGTCCCCCTCCCCCCTTTTTTCCAACCTAATTTCTCTAATTTCCAGTAACTGGCTGACCTGGTTATATGAGCAAAAAAGAGTTTTAAAGGACGCAAAGTTTATTTTTCAGCGACGTTCATCACTGGCGTCGAGGTCGTGGGATGGTAAGGTCCCTGGCTACTGGTTTATACGGTTCGCAAACTGTAATTTATTTTCAGTTTTTGTGAATAAAGCTGCCCGTTTACTTGCTCTTCGTCGCCGAGGATGTTTCACGAAACGTCAGGGAGTGATACGAGGCGACTCTATACTCAAGCTAATTCAGCTGACTGGTCATGATTACCAATCAAATTCAAGCGTCAACATTGCCTGAATCGGATTTGATCGGATTTTCCCCTGTAACACAAGTACACTAAACAATGATAGGGTAACGAAAGTTTATACGATCAGGTCCACTCCTGACCGATCCACTGGGTCGGCAAATAATCTTTATAATTCTACGAAGCTAAAACGGAATATTAAGATAAAGTGATGGTCATAAACATCGACAAACGCGTTTTTATCAGAGCTTTTAATTTTTATACTGTAATTTCTGATTAAGTTATGATGGCCCATTGAGTAGTTTTATTTTAATGATTCATAATGCTGCATGCTATTCACGGTTGAAACGTAAACGCTGTTGAACGTAAACAATGTAAAACGAGAACCTTGTTAAGTTTTTGCCGTGGCCAAGAGGCTACAAGTTACGAGCTAAAACATTGATGCGAAGAAAGAGAGCAAACCTTTGACGATCCGAGTCGATTGCTCATAGTAAGAACTTTGCCTCGATCGGACTTTCACTGAGTACTCCACATCAAATTCCTGACTACGAAGTAGACAATATTTCTAAACTTTATGGATCCAGGCATAAATAATCATAGAGAATTCGAAATCTGAATTTCCTGTTATATTACATTTTGGAAGAAAGAAAAATCTAACATAATAACAACAACAACAATTTTATTCCTTACATTCACATTCCAAGGAGTAAATTAGCTCGCTCCGAGCTGGAAAGCTATAGTAGTCATGGCGGGGCAATTAAATTAACTCGACAAAGCCATCGAAATTGAGATTCGAACTCGCGACCCTCCGAGTTCTAGATGGTTATGTTCAGTTATGTTCTATTAATCCTAATAAAGACTTAAATGCTGTCTTTACAATCGTTTGCCAGCATTATTGTAAAGACTGAGTCTTTATATACTGACAATCGGTCTTTTCGGGAAAAGTGGCTACTAAAGATTTTAATTTCTCATAAGAAATTACTGATACTTTTTCGTGGAATCTTTCGTCTCATTACATTATTTAACGGCTTATTTCGCAAAAAGATCATCAATTTTATGCATTTTTTCTGAAAATAAGGATTCGTCTCCGTCAATAAACAATAAAAGCCATTTTTGAAAGCTTTGTTATCCAAGATTATGTTAGTTAGTCAGATTAAACCGCGATCGCCGGCTCTTTATCGCTTTCAGGTCTTTTAAAAGAACCGCCGCCGGCACGCGCATGCGGGTCTATAAATATTATGTTTGTCGGGCCGCTAGCTTTGTTGTTCGGTATATGCAGGGTATAAATAAGGTTTCAGTTCCAAACGACTCTTCACTCAGTTTGTTGCTCAACTGTGAAAAGTTATCAGCTCAGTCAAATGGAATGCTCTCAGTTGAAATCTATCGTTTCCCTTGTGGATTCTCTTGTACGTAATACTCATTTCAGAAGGTCACGTGTGGTGTCATCAAATCAAGTTCCTGTTGGTGAACCATCCTTGGCTCCAGTCTCCAGCAAGTCTCTAACGGACTTCTCCATCTGCAGTATCCTGGGTCTAGAACCTGAAATCAACCAATCTCCCTCAAGTTCCGGTAAGTTAAGAGTTCCATCCGTAAGATACTCGAGCCCTTAATTAGTCGAGAACATCATTTGGCAATTGTATCAATACATTTCCCTTTCTATATAAAATGTTATCCCGTTGCCTTTCAACTATTTTAATCCATTTCGGAAACAGAAAAAGAGGAATATTCAGCTTTAAGCAGGAGATTTCTGCTGGTTAAGGCTAGCCAGATAATAACATAATGAAACAAATTTTAAATATCTATCCAAACCGAAAATTGTCCTTAGGAAGAGACATAAAAACATGTGTCTATGTTAATGTTGACTATCTGTCTCACAGGCATTTAAGTAGATTAAGAGGAAACAATACGCGACATGCGAAAACTTTAAAGTCTATTCTTCTTTAATTTACAGAAAACAACAGTGCTACCAGTCCGCCGTTATCGCCTTACTCCTACTGCGCAAGTCCGCGTCCCAGCCACAGGGCAACCAGTCCACCGTTAACTCCTTACTCTGAAATCACAAGTTCCAGCAGCGATTGTGACAGTGAGCCCGATCAAACTTCGACTCCAACCGAACATTCAACGAGGAAAAAGCGACAGCGCACGACTTTCTCAACGATCGAAGTTTGGGAGCTGGAACGAGCATTCAGACGGCGGCCATATTTGCTAAAGGAAGACGAGGAGGAACTGGTACAAAGACTCGGAATCACGGCTAAAAGTCTGAAGGTGAGTTTCTATCTTTCACCTTTCCTATCATGAACGTAAATTTCAAGACACGAAGAGCATTTGCAACCTAAAGTGAAATGCAATTTCAGCTCGATTTTGTTCTTGACTAAATCATTTTCAGTTTTGTCGGGAAGTAAGATATGTTTATCGATTCAAAGCTTGGCAATTGCAATGTGATTTTTCACTCCAGTCAGAAAATGTTTTGAATACAAGTATGTTTTTGTCGGACAGTAGTTGCATGTAATCGTGCAAAGTTTTGCTTCATGTCAGTCATCGTTCTTTTCTAAACCATTCACGTTTTTTTAGCAATTTTAATTGAAATTCTTAATTAATTGTACACTTCATAAGGCAATTTTGAACGCTATTTTGCTGTCAGAAAATGTTTTGGAATTCATACAAATCATTATAGGTTCTGTGTGTTGTGTAGATTTTCCCTGTTATTGCCCTAACTGAGTTAATAGATCAGATTTTTGTTTTCTTTCTTGCAGTATTGGTTTCAAAACCGACGAGCCAAATCAAGGAAACTGGAGACAAAGATTTCATCCGTCTGTCAGACAGGCCCGTCAAACCAGTTTGTAAGCCGCCCCTATTCAGGTCATTGGAAACAAGGCGAACAAGTGTCCTATCCAGCGATGGCAAGCTACTTTAGAGATAATCAGAGAACAGTTACCAGTCGTCAACTCTCAGTCAAGTCAAACCGTGTACCGAAGTTCCACCCTGACCAGTTCACAATCAGACCAGTTGAGCTCGCGAGACTACCGTACAGCCGTGCCCTCTACAGATATCAACCATACTAAGTTAAGACTTTTGTTTAGTGTAAGATTGTTCTGAATTTGATAAGTAGGCTAAAGAACTGATGCTAAGAACATTTTACAAATGTTATAAGTTAGACGTAATAGCTCGAATTAGATAGCACTGGATATATCTCATCTAGTAGTGTAATAGGAGGAAAAGTATTTTTAATAATTTCTGTGTAAATAGTTCTAGAAAGGAAGCTGGTAGTGTTGTAAATAAAACAGTTTTTAGTAGTGATACCATGAAATTATTTGTTAATCGTTCATTTTCTTTTATCATTTGTTAAACGGATGAAGAGGGGAAGGAAGACTTTGGAAACAAGGTAATGCTGCCTTGAGGGCAAAAATCGTAGCTTGCCATTTTTGAAAAACACTTTATTCGGTAATTATGGGACTTTGTCATCTAGTTTACCACAGCCGACTTCTTATTTCAGTGCATTTTGTTACAATAATCTACAATTTTAGGTTTTAGAAACAAATCCTTATATTACTGAACATGACTGAAGTTATTTAACAGAAGCAAAGCCCAAATTTAAAGATTAAGTGTAACACCAGGCATTAAGAAGTCGCGTTTTTTTTATGTCGCGGTCTCCTCCTATAATCCCTATCCTGTTTCCACAATCTTCATCTGCTTTTTGCATTGGATACGCCATCCTGCCTTCCATCAGCCAACCATTTCTACAATAAAAAAAGAAGTGCAACAAAATGCACCATAATGTGAATATTAAATTAAATATCATTATTATTATGAAAGTGGAAAAGATCCTCGCAGTTGAATATTAAACAACCTTCGCGGTTGAAAAGAACCTGAAAAATCCAGGCTTGACGGGGAATCGAACCTTCGCCTTTGCGATGACCGGGCGCATAAAGCTAACTTGAGAGTAGGTCATTGTGAGTTGGTAGCTAGTATACCCGATGGTGGAAATGAAATGAAAGGAAATGTATGAAATGACTCATATTACGACCTGTGGATAAAGATACTGATGAAAGTGGAAATGGTCCTTGTAGTTGATATTTTTTTCAGGTTCTTTTTCAACCGCTTAGGTTGTTTTTTTCCAAATGCGAGGATCATTATCCGCAGTTGAAAATATGAGCCCATTTCACAAAAACACAAAAATGGAACAGTGGAAGAAAAGGACTGTGCACTCTCTGAGGCTCACTCTCTCTACTGAGAAATAAAAAAATGTCTAATTCCCGCCGCTCAATCATGAGACTTTACCAGGGGAAATACAAATGTTCTCATAAGTTACGTACTCTTTAGTTGCTTTACCTGCAAATCTGAAGTCCAGCTTGCCAGGCAGCGGTTAGTTGATCCAAAGTGGCGAGAGACCCGTTGAGTATTTCACACAGTCGCATAGCCTCAAAATAGTTGAGTTGAAGCTTGCCCACTTGTGCCTGCATAACACCTTGTACATGTAGCTGTTTTACAACCTCGATGTGAGATTCGTCTGAAATAAACCAGAAAACACATAAACTTCGTGAAACTTTGCTCGGGGAGAATTCATGTTCCATATGGTCTTAGGGGAGTCTTACCCCCATTTCCGAATGTTCACGGCAGCTTTAGTTTTCGAAAGATAATCTCGACATTTCTTTTTAAAGCTTAATTTTTGTTGTTAGCTTTCATTTTTCTGAGCGGGGATAAAAGAAAATATATGAAAGGACTTGAAGTAGTGGTCGGTACTGTAAAATCCTTACCAGGAATTTGCTTATCAGAATGCTCCGTTTAGCTTTGAGAATTATTATTAGTTAATTGATTCAAAGACGTTTAAATGATGAAGGTTGAAAAATTCTTGGATCTTGGTGGCATTCTCACTCAGAAAATAATGAACTCTTGAGTAGAGTTTGTGAGACAATGTTCGTCTACACACCTGCATGAAGAAGGTGAATAGGCCTCATAATTAATTCACGAGTGGCAAATTTAAGTCCTGAGAAAAAGTAAATCAAGACAAGGAAGGAAATTCTCATTTGTTTCTCCTCGTTTCCGACGTTTTGGTCGGTGAATGAAGAACCCTTACGGGCATTTGCTCGGAAAATTGGTCATTTTGGTCAAAATTTAACCAAAATTGGTCCAGATCATTCCAAGGAAACCCGCTCTTACAAGTAATCCTCTTTCAGGATTTCAAACCGGAATCTGTTCCGTTGCTAGCCTGGGGTGCACGCGTTTTCTGTGTATGGGTGCAGGCTTTAGAATTCCGTGACGGTCTGACTGAGACCTTAAAACTGATGTTTAAAATTTATTTAGAAGTTTTCCTTTCTTCGTGGTTTATACTAGAGGAACCTTGTGTCACCTATACAAAATTAAACGTAGCAACTTACTGACGTTGCATTTGTGGTCAATGTAAGGTAGCACTCTAATTTCCAGAGAACAATTGCACGTGAACATCTCCAAGGTTGGGCCGTTAACACACAATCCACCGTTTCGACATGGGGACGACAGACAGGGCAAAAATCTGGTAAGATCCTGTAAGTACAAGGTAATAATGCCTGTAACTGAGCGTTAAGAATTAATAGCGTTACTCCGCCCAAGATAATTAGGACATGACAAAATACACTTTTGATCGATCTACAATAGTTTTCAGAACTCACCTTTCTGTCTCTCCTTAAAACTTAGAAAACGGCCCGAAATATTAGTTCGCATGTTTATAGTAAAAAAGCGAAAGCGTTTGCTTTCGTTTAAGAGAAAGGTGCTTCACTGAATGAGAAGGGGAAAAGAGTCATCAAACTCTTCTGAGAGGCAACGTAACCGAGTGCGGGTGAGTTCATCGGACTTTTAATCCGGTGGTCCGGGTTCCATTCCCGTTCCGACCACTTAAGGTGGATTTGTTTTTCAGTCTTCCGGAATATAATTGGCTATGTAACGTTTTTATATAGCCAACTGGCCTCCTGATAGTTTTTAGGGCTATTTTATCCTGTTAAGTTCTATCTGGATTATTGGTTTCTAATTATTTCAGTAGAATACTTACAAAGTAGTTGGAATTAGTTAAGTGCACATTAACTACAACCAGGAGCCATAATCGGGATAGGGGACCGCAGCTGGGTATCTTTTCCAGTAATGGGGTTGGTTTCATCAAAATGGCCAAATATACTATTTTTAGGAAAAAAAAGTGTCATCTCGTGTGACAAGCGCGCATTTTTTGCGAGGGCGCCGAGAAAAGGTTCAACAAACAAAATGGCGTCGGAAGTTCCTTCCGTAGGAGATTAATAAATTCCATTTCTGTCATCCTCTGAATTTGAGGCAAGACCTTGAGGAGAAACCCTTTGACAATAAGTCTAAATGTGATGACTGTGAGTGGGATTCTACTTATGTTAAACACCGTAGTGACAGTGTTTTTGACAAATCCAGTGACAAAGAGATATCGTAGATCAGTCGTGCGAAGAATACCCCGTTCGGACTAAACAAACAAAAGTACTTGCGGAGGGCGGAAAGTTAACAACAACAACAAATAATTATAAACAATTTTCCCCAAATAAATCTTTGAATTCATAATAAATACAGCTCCACCAGCTTCAAACAGTGTCTACCGGCAGAATTTCACGGAAATAATACTTTAAATAATTATAATAATTTTCCTACTCGACGTTATCCTTGGCAGCGTTGCGCAGTGATCCAGGAGCCGACCTTCCTTGCAGATGGTGCAGGTACGACTCTCAGCTCTGAGCTGTTTAATTTTTCTTTGTATAATTTTTTTTTTCGTTCTGTTTTGTTGTTGTTTTGTTTTTAATCATGTGTTTTCTGTTGGCTTGTTTCCCTTTATTCTCGCAAGGTTTTTGCGACAAACGTACTTCTAATAATGTTTATATAATCTTGGTTCATTCTTCCACTGTGCATGCATTGTATATCGAGATATGAAGCACTTGGAAAGTTCAGTGAACACTCAAAAAGGGTCGCAAAACGATCACCCATCTCTTAAAATTCCACACGAGATCCGCGCGAATTCGTGGGTTCACGCTCGAGTTTGTGACGTTGAGGGTGACGCAGTTTGTTCTAAAAATAGCATATTTGGCTATTTCGATGGAACCCCGCACTTGCGGTCTATTATTATACTACCCCGATTATGGCTCCGGGCTAAAACAAACTTTAACCTACATTTTAACTACGAAAATTGGCCAAGTTCGAAAATTTTTATCAGTATATTTTGGTGAATACTTTTTTTGAACCAAAGTGAAAATATTTCGCGGATAATACTGAAGGAAAAAAAAATGATCTCTCACCCTTGAAAATAATACTTACTGACATTTTCATGCCGTAATAGACAAAATTGATTCTATTTAGCAGCTTATGTGGTTCAAGAGCTCTTTCAGAATTGCTAAGCTCACAAATGTGTAATCCGTTGGTGGCTATCCGACCAAAGTTAAATGACAGGCAACTTCCTTGAGGCATTTGCAAACATAAGAAGGCACAATCCAGTCCACTTTTTGTCTTCTCTACCTTGATTATGTTACCCACATGTGATGCTGACTCTATGCTGTAAAATAATGCTTCTTTTCGTTTATTTCTAGCGGCTGATACTTCAGAGTCAAAATCCAACAGTTGAAGTAATAGAAGCATTGACTTCAATAGGTTTGAGAGCAAGGGACGACAAAGGCAATTACAAGCCATTTGTTTGCCGGCCAGATTCAGTCTGCAATAAATTACAACGCAGGAAAGTTTGATAATCTTAGTCGCAATATATTTATATTTAAAGGTTATAGTACAAAACTAATTTAGTAAAAAACCCCATGACTTTAACGGCTTGGAAACTAAAATTTGATAGCATTTTGTTTTGAATAAGGGTATGGGCATGATTTTCAGTTGAACATGCCTAGCGAGCGCAAAAATCGCATCCAGTCTGAGGATTAATGAGAGAGGGAAAATTTTATATATTTAGGCATGTCAAAATTCAAGGGAACATTGGTACTTAGATATAACATCTCATAGGCATGGAAAAAAAGGGTTCATGCCCTCGCAGCCCAAAATTGACCAAGCTAAACTTAGGTCCCAGATCTCTCGCCGGGTTGATAATTCATTCCCAGTTTTTGCTCCTCTGGTTTGGCATGCCGGGCATGCCGATGGTGAAGCCAGTTGGTTTGGCATGTCCGGCATGCCAGGCAAGAAATTGGCATGCCCAGCGAGACTGATTTTGATGTTCGCTTCAGCATCATATCCCTAGAATCACATATAATCGCGAAATATATCTTAGGGAGCTTGAAGTTACAGGTTTCATGCCTGGCAATAAATGCAGATTATAACAAAAAAGTCATGTTTGTCACAATGTGTGTCACGGGATCGACTGGCAAAACCGAAGACAGAAGCCTGGATTTATAAATAAAAAGCACAACAAAACAACATTATTCATGCATAAAATAGAATACTTAACTTGCAATCAAAGATTAATCCTTTTATTTCAAACCGATACTGACATTTCTGGGTCCATATTTAAATTTGATCGCGGAAAAGCGTCTTAAACAATAAGATAACAAATCTTCTCAGTATAAACTTATCCATGCTTAAGTTTTATCGTGTCGGAATGTTTCCTGGTCAACAGCATAAAAGACTGGTGAAAATTAAGCTTACCAGGTCGTTCAAGTCAGTACGAGAGTACGACGTTAATACTGCAAAGACGTTCTGATCTGGTGAATTTGGACTGCCTTCTCAGAGAGATTTTGCTTAGTTTTTCAGTGCGCTTCTTGTCGGCTATGCGAATCTCGCAAACTGTTTTAGTCCTTGCTGACGATAGTCCTTTGAGCAACGTCATCTGCGTCATCCTAAGATACCCCGAGCAAGCACGAAATCGGCCGAATTTCCGCAGAAGTGTTTTCGGATGACGATGAATCTAGTTTGTTGTAGCGTGGCAGTTGTGGCGTCACGATGTCGTCATGTCTCTTCGCATTTGTTTGTCTTTTTTTTCTGCGGTGCATGATTGAGATGTTGGTGAAAGCTGGACAAGAAATGGATTCTGCGAGAGACTGTAAGTACAAATTTAGTATTAATTTGGTAAAGAAAAAGCCTGAATATCGAACAAATCCCGTGAATTAGTCTTTTGGCATTCAGTTTATCTTACTGTTGAGCATGCCTAAGAACTCCGGCATAAGTGTCATAAGTGGTTGTCAACTCGTTCACTTCGGATTGTTTCTGATTGTATGTCTTGTAATCTTCTTCTGCTGCTAAGAAGACTAGAGAAAACCTCAAAAATAAAGAAACCAAAGTTAAAAAAAGTCAGATCTAATTTTATAGCTCGAGTATAATTATTTTTGGCGCCTACGGTCATATTTTTTCACTGTACTGGTAAAGTTACTTATTTTTGCTGCATAGTTTGACTGTTGTTCGAAAGACAATCAAACGGATATTACAATCACTTTTGGAGACAAAATAAAATATCCGTAAATCAAATGCCAAAATCAGATTTGGATTTCGCTTTATAAAAATGAACATGCTGCAGGTGTCAATGCAAAGTTGTAAACAACTCAATATAAGCAGTCTGTGAATGTGCGTTTAGGTCCACAAAACTAATTTTTCTTTTGGACATCTCATCCAAGCAAAGACTTAAGGCTTACATTGCTTGTTTACGAGTGTACTACAAAATGCTTTGCTACAGTAAGCCTCTGAGAGGCGATTCTGGTAAATTTATAGGACGCTAAAATGCAAATAATTCTAAGCTTAAACAACCTGGCTGGGTCCGACTTTTGAATTACAAAATGTTCACGTTTGCTGGCTCTACTTTAAATGAACATGGTTTTTTGAAATGATTTTGTACTATTTTAACCCGAAAATTATGACTGGGTTATAGCTTTTAAAACGGACGAAAACTAAGCTAATCACATGTTCAATGTAAAAAACTAAGATTTAGTCGCTTTTTCAACTTTGCTTTGTGGGCCGAAAAATTTACCTTTACGCAAAAACAAAAGCAAACAATGAGGCTTTTATTCGACATATTTCTCAGAATTTTATCTGATCAATTTAATGTCACTAGCATTGTTTTCGTATAGGAATTTTCCTAATTATATGAGCTTTTACTTTAATAATTTTGATACTCTATAAACTTCTCATTTGATAGCTTCACTTTTTTATACACCGATTGAGAAACAAATTCGCTCTCGTTAAATCCTATTTTATGACCAATTTATTAGAACTCTAGGTAACATACCAAATGGTGTAACCGGACAGGCTTTAACCTTTGGTCCTAATTTATTTTTCTTCGCATCCCCTAATCAGTTGACGGGCCGTGAGAGAATATCGCCACAAAAAGATGCGAAAAAGTTTTCGCTGAGTTTCCTTTACATATTTCGGCTTTATATGGGTCTACACCTTACCTGCTTAAAAATGAAACTGTTGTTCAATTAAGCCAGTCAAACTCGGTATAATCTTGACTTGCAAATCCAAATGCAAAGGTTTATTTCGCAGTAGAAGAGCGTGTAAACATCATCGAACAACGCAATGTAAATTGGCTAATGTGAAACCACGTTTCTCAGTTTCACTTTATTTACCATGCATTTATCTCAATTGCACACTCTTGTGAAATTAGCCTCAGACAATTAGTTGCGACCTTTAACAGACTCAACAAGCCAGTATGAAAATATGTTAAGAGAAGCTAAGCTCTACATGTTCTTTTTCTTTTTTCTCATATTGCCCTTGCATGTGTTAACATTCCATTTCTTTTTTGTTACAGGTAACTTCCAGACATGACGAGGAGATAATTACTTCTCTAGAGAGCAATTCTTTGATACTGTCAGTTATTACTGACTTACTTTGCGTTAAAAACAGAGAAAACAGATACTGGTAATGACACAAAAACATTAATGCCAGGCAAGCCTACAAAACAAGAAAGAGGAACTCAGACTCCTTATCAAAATGTGAAACAAGATAAAAACAGCTTTTCTAACGTAGGGAAATTTGCTTTAGAGAGATTTGTAATTGAAACGTTATATTCAAGCACATTGCATTGTCAAACATCATAATTTACTGAATAATGAACAATGATTTTGGGGCTTAGCTCAGTTTGTAATGAACTTTGAAAGATATTCTATAACCTTGTATTTTTAAAAGCTTTCATGGAACATAGATGCATTTTATTATACAATGAAAATAGTGTCTGTCTCTCTTTTTACTGATTTCAGTCAATAAGATTTTATTCGCAATGTGAAATGGAAATCCTATTAAAGACTCATTAAAAGGGGTGAGGAGTTTTTACAATCCCCCAACAAGTCATCTCCATGATGACGCTGTTTTATCACTACGGCAGAATCCCTCAGGGTTTTACTTTCTTGTGAAAATTAGAGCTTTTGTTATTTAAACTTCGCTGGGACAACCAAATGGAATAGCAATGACGTCATCGTGTAACCGTACATCAAAAGATAAGCACGGTGATCTGTTTAGTTTTTTTTTTTTGGCCAGGCTTAAAATATCTGTAGATTCAAGGAATTATAACCTGTGCGTTGAGAGAATGCCAGAGACCGATTTTGGCATGCCCGGCATGACCCAGATTATGGCACGCCCGGCATGCTAGAGAATTTGTCATGCCGGGCATGTCAGAGAATGTGGCATGCCCGGCATGCCGGAGATTTTGCTGGGTATGAATTACTTATTACTAGAACCTAGGCTTCTCGCGGCCTGGGTGAGAAGGTCACGGAACCTCAAATTGTGCTTACAGGGCATGCGAAATTCTGTTGCATGCCAATTTCAATGCAAAACCACTCTGGGGCCACCCCCTCTATTACCAGTGAGCAAATCATTGACGATAGGCATGGGAAAAATCCTTGCATGCTAACCAACATTGAAAACGTAGCAGAAATGTCCTTAGTTGCTGAGTCATGCCCTAGGGGAGGCTTTAAAATACAGAATTTCCTGACATGGATGAGAGAATTTTCCGTAAACAGCATGTGATCATGCCGGCTAGGACGCATTTCCTCCGTATTGCCCCTTTTTACAGCTAACTAGGCTCATTTTTAGGTTCCATGGCCTGAAATGACGAAAAATTCATGCCCTGAATGTAAAAAGTCCAAAAACGTCCTCGAAATTTTAGTTTCCAAGCCGTTCTTTGCTAGCAGAGAATGTTTACACTCTGAAATGGGCTGATTCCACTTGCAAGCCTTCTGACAATCTGTTTTAGATCAACTACGTAGTTACCTCGAAATTAGCAAAAGTAAATAAATGAATAATAAAATAAATAAAGAAAATAACTGCATAAATTTTTAGCATTGTGAAATCTTTTTAAAGTAGCTGCATTACCTGTTAAGTCCCGCTCTCGTAAGATGTTGTCCACCCGAGCCAGACATTCTGCCAAAAGATAAAAATGTTTACCATCAGTGATGGCTGGCAAAGAGTAATAATTAATAATTTATACAACAATAAAAGGCGCTAATTGGCTCGAAATCTTTCTAAATAGTACTGGTAATTACTGTATTTAGAATATAACTTTTCTCTAGTTATTATATTTACGCTAATTAGCCCTCTTTGACTGGATTGTGTATTCAAAATTAGAAACTGTTACCTTGAATGCGTTGAGGACCACAAAAACTTAACCTAGTTTACCACCATTCTTGAATAAGGTGTAATCATGATTTTGGTTTTTATTATTATTATTGTTCATAACATTGTTTACTGGCAGGAGTTAGCCGTCCGGC